GAAAGTCTGTCCTAGAGCCCAGCTCGAGTCCATCCTTATATACAAGTCCGATCCTAACTGAACAGTGCTGTACAGTCCACTTTGTCTGGATATGTTGGATATGCCGAATATCCAACATATCCTTGACTCGGTTGGATATGTCGAATATCCAACATATCCTTGACTCGGTTGGATATGTCGCATATCCAACATATCCTTGACTCGGTTGGATATGTCGCATATCCAACATATCCTTGACTCGGTTGGATATGTCGCATATCCAACATATCCTTATCCCTTATCATATCTCTTATCATCACGTGACTTGTACCATAGTTCTTCCGTTCCTGGGGTTTCCCCAATGTTCCGTCCCGTCCTGCATATATGATGCGCCGTAGCCGCTAGGCGTCAGCGGGGCACGCCCTGGTCTTCATGTTGGGTCGTAACAGGCCCCTACCTATACTTATAAGTATACCCTTGACCTAATTTTCTTAAATATTCCCTTTATTAAGGCTTACATTAGCTTATACCTATCCCATCGAGTGCCAATTGGCAACAGGTACATTATGCCCAGTTTTGACCCACTTTTGCCCCCTCACCGCGGGAATACATGACGGTACGTCATCAACCCCTATATTTTCCCAGCTGCGTCCACCACCACAACTAACATTTCTACAGATGGGCAACTGTCGCGATGTCCTCAAGCGACTCTGATGCGTCTGATTCGTCAGCGCTTTCACATATCACCGTCGCAGTACTTCCCGAAGACCTTGATAGCGCCTGTACAGCTCAATGTAGGCCCGAGAGGTGTGATAACGCAACTGTACGCCCACACGAATCGCCTCCGCTAGAAAGGGGCACACCGGGCCAATTCAACCCCCTCGACGTGCCCTACCGCGCCGCAACAGTACGGGGTCTATCTACTACCCCTTTAGAGCTTTTTCAGCAGTATGTGCCTTTGAGGCTGGTTGAATCGTGGGTACAGTGGACCAATGAAGCCGCAGTACGAGGCCCTGTTCAACAACACTCTCGAAGCAGCAACTGGAGGCCAACCTCTGTAGACGAGGTCTACCTGTTCCTAGGTATTCTTTTCTATATGGGAATACACGTCGAGAGCAAGATATCGCAATATTGGTCAACCTCTCAAAATAGCGAAGACCCCATTCATCTGTTTACTCGCTTTATATCACGCAACCGCTTCCAGATTTTATTACGCCGCCTATGTATCTTCGATACTGCCAACTTTAGCCAGCCAGACTCTCCGCCTACGAAGAAACGGCGCCGCAGCGAAGCCCAGACTCGTGAGGACCTCATGCCTAAAGTGTACAGGCAAGTCAACCAGTGGTCTAGCCACATACAAGAAGTAGGGGATTCTTTCTACATACCTGGTAGTAACCTCACGGTTGATGAGGCAATGGTTCGATTTACAGGTCGTTCAATTGAGAAAACAACAATACCTGGAAAGCCTACACCAGTTGGCTATAAAGTATGGGTTTTGGCGCAGTCTGGTTACTTTATACGTTGGTTGTGGCATGTTCACGGCAAGGGACCCTACGGGCTCGTTCCACAGCAGCGCTCACAGCGTCACCAAAAGAAGAGGGATGAAACTAGCCTTACGCCAACCCAACGCGTAGTTACCACACTACTAACGCTACTGCCAGTTGCTGAATACCACGTTTTTCTTGATAATCTGTTTGCCTCTGTCAAGCTCTTCAGGGCGTTGCGGTTGAACTCAATAGGGGCTACGGGAACCTGCCGGAAGGATGGGGGAATCGATCGATTACTTGTCGATGAAAAAGAAGATGAAGGGAGGTATATCCCATGGGGGGAAATCCACTGTATCCCTACGAAAGATGGTCAGGTACGTGAAAGAATAGGCCGTAATCATAGTATCTAACATATCCCTAGATCAATCAACTGAGCTGGAAGGACAACGCTCTCGTCCTTTTCCTAACAACCGTCTTTCGTGGTACTGAAGAGATCATACGAAGCCGACGCCGACCGAATAAATCCTCTGCGGCAGCTCGTGCTGCCCGGGAAGTTTTTGGCACCGAAGCCAGGAAGAACCTACCGATCCCACTTTGTATCGACGAATATAACCATAATATGAATGGCGTAGATACAGGGGATCAAATGAGGTCTTATAACCAGTATGGGCGACCAGTTCGTCGCGGTGGGTGGCAATCCCTTGCGTGGAACTTTCTTCTAGAAGTAGTTCTTGTAAATAGTTTCCTTTTACAACGCTGGGGAGAGCCAGGGTGGGCACGAGTCAACTCTCAATATGAATGGCGGCGGTCCCTTTCTGCCCAGCTAATTCAACACTTTGGGCCATTAAGTAATGGAAGGAAATACAGCCGGCCCCAACGAGCGACAGATAAAAGGAATAGTTCTATTCCGTCGGAACAGCATGTAAGGGACAGGCGGAAAAATCCCTCGGCTTGTGTAGCTTGTACTCAACAGAAAAGAGCACTAGGCGAGACTACAGGAAACTCACGATCCCACAGAAAAAAGACGAGGTCAGGGTGCCTGCAGTGTGGAGTAGCGCTTTGTAACTCGGATGATTGCTGGTACCTCTTTCATAGTCAGAGTATATAGACAACAGAAGTATCCATAATCTAGGCTTTTTGGTTGGCTAGAAGAAGTCTTGGCTGTCTCCTGAGTGGTCAGTTCCCCTCAAGGGCATGTACCTGTTGCCAATTGGCACTCGATGGGATACGTAGGGCCTGACTACTAAGCTATTTGTTACGACCCAACATGAGACCAGGGCGTGCTCCGCTGACGCCTAGCGGCTACGGCGCATCATATATGCAGGACGGGACGGAACATTGGGGAAACCCCAGGAACGGAAGAACTATGGTACAGGTCACGCGATGATAAGAGATATGATAAGGGATAAGGATATGTTGAATATGCGACATATCCAACCGAGTCAAGGATATGTTGGATATTCGACATATCCAACCGAGTCAAGGATATGTTGGATATTCGGCATATCCAACATATCCAGACAAAGTGGACTGTTCAGCACTGTTCAGTTAGGATCGGACTTGTATATAAGGATGGACTCGAGCTGGGCTCTAGGACAGACTTTCCATAGCTTCTTCAGCAATTAACTTCGTATCAGGATTAACATCCGCTTTCAGCTACTACCTTGACAAGACTACGACTGATCACCGAAGCCTTACCCACCCTTACGATTGACAGACATAGTTTCCTTGAAACTATTCCACGACTACGATTACTGTTACCAGTTCCGCAGCCTCAACTTCTGCAAACTACCCCTACGACTAGCTGGCCGTAACACCACGACGCTAATCTAAACATTAATAAAAACAAAAAGTAATATCCCGATATACTAGATTAAAGCTTAATACTACCCTTATCTATCCCCTTAAAGTAGCTTTACTACGGCCTATCCTCTATTACTTCCTAATAGCCCGAATAGGCTATAGAGACTTTGAATAATACTATTAACGATTTAACTATATAAATATATAGCTTTCCTACTCTTATAAAGAGGTAAAACAGATAGACTATTTAATTTACTACCGAAAGACCTTAATAAAGAGGTAATAGTGGCCTATCCTCTACCCTTCTAGTCCGCTCGAACTTATAAGACCTATAGGATCTTTAGAACGATACTTTAAGGGATTAATTACTAACCTATAAAGCTTCTAGGCCTTCCTCCGTATAATAAACTTCCTTTAGAAGATCTACCTACGGTATTAAAGGCTAGGCTATAACCTAGCCCTATACTAACGAACTATTGTTGTTGTTGTTGTTCTATTTAACGCCATGGCGGCAAGGGCGCAGCCGCCCTTGCGGCAGACCTCCCGGAGGGTATGTGGCGTGAAGGGTCGTAGGCTCTAGCTATATACTATATAGTACACGCCGTATCCTGACGTCCTCCAAATCTTGCTCGTGAGCTACTATGTGTTCTATCCATCCCTAGTTCCCACTGGTGCCCTAGTTCCGTTATAACCATCTGGTTTCTTAATAGAGGTAGTTTGTCGTTTGGAGGATAGGTTATGACCTATCTCCTAGTACCGCGGGCAGATCTTCTGGAAGAAGTCTGTCACGCAGAGGAAGGCCTGGAAGCCTTCAGAGTCAGTGATTAGCCCCTTGAAGTAGCGATCGAGGGACCCTATAGGTCCTACGGGCTCCTGGCGGCTGTAGGGGTAGAGGGTGGGCCACTGTTGCCTCCTCAGTAGGGTCTTTCGGCAGTAGACTAGATGGTCTGCCTCCTTAACCCATCCACAGGAGCAGGTGAGTAGTGCTTCTGTGTGGTTAAAGCGTTGGTGATATTGTTTAAAGTCCCCGTGGCCTGACCGTGCCGCGAGGAGGTGATGAAGGGCAGCCCTAGGGAGGCCAAGTTCAGGAGGGCAAGCAAGGGTAGCCTTGAGCCCTAGTTGGGTATAGCGGGGAGTTGCCTCTTGTTTCCACCATCGTCTATATTGGCGTCTTGGCCGCTCTTTAGCAAGCCACTTGATACCTGATAGAGTAGCTAGTTGGCCCCTAAGGACTGGTAGAGTTGTTCCCTCCTTAGCTAGGCTGTCTGCTTCTTCGTTTCCTTTAATTCCTTGGTGCCCAGGAGACCAATGGGTTTGTATATCGTGTATCCTAGCTACCTCCTGGATCTCAAGGAAGGCCGCTTGTGAGGAGTCTGGGACCTTACCGCGAATCCCCTGAATAACGCTGGTATTGTCGATGCAGATGTGTATAGGCTGGCCTTGGGAGGTCTGAAGGGCCCGTCGGAGCCCAGCCCTCGCCCCCTCCGCCTCACCATCAAACACTTCTGCTAAGCCGAGACGGCCGCAGCCCTGGGCTATACGTTTATTGTTGCGGTAGATAACAAAGCCGAACCCTGTAGCCCCGTCAGGAGCTTTGGAGCCGTCTGAGTATACGACTGTATGCTGACCTGGCACAGTCTTGAGCCAGGCCTGGAAGATCCTAGTCCGATAAACGTGACATCGATCGAAGATTTGCTGTTTTAACACAGCTTGTTTTTGAAAAAGTTTACGATGAGTTCAAAGATTGTATGTCAAGTTTTGCTGCAAAGTTGCTTATTTCAAAGTGTTTATTACTGATGACTCCGCAGGCAACTGAGCAAGATGTCCCGGTTCTGGTTGTGGGCGCTGGCCCTGCTGGGTTGCTTCTAGCACTGCAACTGGCAAAGAATGGTATTCGGAGCTTACTAGCTGAACGAAACCTAGATTCAACCAAATGGCCAAAGATGGATATCACCAATTGTGGAAGCATGGAGCTACTGAGGAGACTCGGGATTGCTGATGACCTGCGGGCTCAAGGTGTCCCACAGCACTACTCTTTCGATGTCCTGTTCAGCACGGGTCTCTCAGAAAACGGGGAGCTCATTGACAAATGGGTATGCCATTATCTTTCCGGGAATATTTCCTGGCCAATAATGTCGTGTGCTGACGAGATGGTAGGATCTTCCTTCGCCAGACGAATGGCGACAACGGATGCACACTTGCAATGATGGAACCATGCCCAGAGAGCCATATCAGCGCTGCAGCCAGGCCATCTTTGAAGCGTGGCTAAAGCGTCGCTTACAGTCTGAAGAGCTAATTGAGGATCACTTCGGCCTCAAATTCGAAAGCTGTGTGGAAACCCCCGACGGTGTAAAGTCGGAACTCGTCGTCGTCGTCACTGGAGAGCGACACCTAGTGTCCAGCCAGTATCTGGTCGGCTGTGATGGCGCTGGCAGTAGCGTCCGTCGACAACTCGACATCAAGATGATTGGTGGTCCTGTGTGAGTTAGCATGATTTTCAAATTGCTGGCAACTGTGAGTCTCTGACGAGGAATTTCTCAGCCCTTCTGCGATGTATCTCATCCACTTCAAATCACGAGATCTTACGGCATTGCATAAGCAAGGTCAATTCTGGCACATCTTTTTCACCAGCGGCAGCGTCATAATATCGCAAGACGAAATCAACACTTGGACCATCCATATTCCTATATCTCTTGACACGGATTGGAAATCTCTTGACCCAACAGAGTCTATATACCGAGGTCTGGGCGGTTCTTTGGCCCCTTATGCTATCAAGATCGACGAAATCCTCGTGTGCAGCTTGTGGCGCCCAAATATTGCCATCGCAGAGCGTTTTGCGTCGGAAAGTTTCAAAGTGTTCTTAGCTGGAGACGCAGCTCATCAAAATATTCCTACTGGGGGATACGGCATGAATACAGCTGTCGGCGACATCTTTGATTTAGGCTGGAAGCTATCAGCTGTTCTCAATGGCTGGGGAGGCCAAGAACTGTTGCGCTCCTACGAAGTTGAACGCAAACCGGTTGCCATCCGCAACATTGAACGTTCTGGTCAACATTTTCAGGTTCACCAGACATACGTCAAGTGGGTGACCGATGAAGGGGCAGATATCCTCTCCAAGATGGAAGAGCGTAAAAGTCTGTTTGATCGCATTAAAACACATACCGAGGCCCACCAAGGCGAGAATAAGGACCACGGGATCGAAATGGGTTATTGGTATAACGGATCACCCGTCATTCTCCAGAATGAAGCTGGAGAAGTGGAACAGGAACCTTCGTGCCATCTTCTTGGCCCGGTGGTCGTGCTCCTCGTGTCTACCTCAAGGACGGGGACACCAGTATTTTCCACCTGTTTGGGGCAGAGTTCTCGATCATTGACTTCACAAGAGCTTGGACTTGGAGTCAAGAGTTTGGAGCCGCAGCTGCTGAGCTCGAAATTCCGCTTACGAAGGTTCACTTGCCAGAAGAGGCCCAGGCAAGAAAAGTCTGGGGTATAGACGCCGTCCTTATCCGTCCTGATGATCACATAGCTTGGAGGTCGCCACTTGACGGGAAGGGAACAGATGTGAGAGAAGTGCTAGAGGTTGCATCAGGCCAACGCCCACAGACACGGACAAAGGAAACCAACCCATCTTCTTCTGCATTAGAGGGCGTCAAGCAGCATGGATTTACATCAACCTTGGGCAATGTCGTAGACGATAGAGTAGATCTTCTCGCCCCATTTCAGCGCTAGAATGTCTTGAGACTCCCAGGATCTGTAGCACCTCATTCCATTCTTTGGTCTACCTCATTATCATCATGAAATCGCACGGGACAATCGCACCTTGCCCTTTGCAGACACAGCAGGAGCTCCTCCGGGTATCACTTCATCAAGAAAATGCCTTTCCCAAACCACAATGGTTTTCTCTTTCCTTTCTCCATGCATCGCTACTTCATGCATTCCCAACATGGTACCCAAGCAACGCTATTTCCCTTGCACAATGGGTGTTGTCATTACCGTAAACAATGAAGCAGAATTCGCTAAGCCCCAGTCACCATGTAACACTCGTGGAACCCACAAATGGGAAATGCATGAGCAGACTGCTTCCAATATTGCGTGAATATGTGCCGTCAGTGAGTCTGTCTACTGTCCATTTTATTTTCAGTGCCTGATGTCAAAAATGAATTTACTAACAACTCACTTGCGACCCGACGACCTGAACGACACAGTGACCTCAGAACCATCCTTCAATTGACTGACGTCACGCGTCAGATCGTCAACCTGCTTCATTGTGGTGTCCAACTTCTGCACAGTCTCGATAATGGTTTGATGATGGAGATCAAGACGGTGACAAGAGTTGCCCAGAGTGGTGCCCATCGGTGTGCTCTCCTGAAGACCCTTGTAGTGTGCCTCCATCGCGCGGAACGCCTGGGTCTCAGAAAGCAGAAAGTTGAGCTTTTGATTGATTTCGGCCATGGAGTCATCAATTCCGCTGCGCCACTTGCGAAACTCCTCTACTTCAGGGTTGGTACCAGGAGATGCCGGCGTCTTGGAGGAGGTATCTGCCGGTCGGACATCGGGCCATTTGACAGCGCTCGTCTGTACCTAGGGAGAGTTGTTGTCAGCATCATGCAGCTCAGAAATACAGGGCTTGTTAAATACCAGGGGAGGGATAGGACGAGCTCCTGGGAAGTGTCCCGGCATCTTCGGCCAGTCTCCAACTGTAGTCTCACGCTGTCGCTTGTTGTTAGGAGGTTGGCGGTCCATCTCTCTAGATGCCATCAGAAAAGATTTCGGGCCTGCCGATAAATAATTTTCGTCGCGTATGATGTTTTGTGGTGTACAAGAGTCGTGCAGAGTGAAGAAGACCTGCGCGTTGCGCGGTTGACAGTGAGCTGGCAGGGGCTTTTTGCTATATCGCGAGTGCTATGTCGCGAGAAAGGCTCAGGGTGCTCTTGATGGTGAGAATGGGAAGAACTGAGTAGGATGAGATTGCGGAAGGTAAAGATCACCCCTTGTAGGAGACGAGGGTGGTTGTGTTGGTGACCAAGGCTGCCTTCACCTCCCACCTCGCCAGTCAGAGGTTTTACACGTAGGTACGGCACGAATTCATGTGATATCTACATGATGCGCGTGACTATCGAGCCCTGAGACCTCCTTACCCAATCACTTCACCTTCATCCATTGTTTATCTGGTGATCGTATTCGAAATATGCAAAGGTGAAGTTGATGGTGGAGTGAAGCCTCACAGAGTCCCACAATTACCCCTTTTGGACAAAGACGGCGAAACGAAGTTCAGATAAACAAACGGCAACTTCCTTTGCTGCCTACGGAGACAGGCGGGCCTTAAACGTAAAGAAAATTTCCGGTTTAGCCGCTGGGTGTTCACTTTACTTCGGCCATTTCCACTAACTTCGATTCGAGACCTTCCACTTGATCACGACGGGGTCTGATGAATGTGTCACAACCCGCCATCCGAGTTTGACCTCTTGTTGCAACAAGCGGACAAAATGGTCCTTTATACCATCCAGGCTGGAACTATCATGCCTTAGTAGGTCTTCTTCACCTGTAAGAAATGGTAAGTTCTTCTGGTGATGCCTATCGAAACAATCACGGGGGAAACGTTCCTGACGGTACGAGCGAAACATAGAGACGCCCGCTACAACATATCATTGACGTGTATATAACATTTGAAGCCAAGTTTCCCTCGCGAAGTGGCAGATAAATTTTATCGTATCCAACAAAAAGGGAGTAAGCGAAGCATACCTGAGTCAAGCTGAACTACCACAACCTGGCTGGCCTCGACTGACGCTTGTCAAGTCGTCCGAATCGGGATGTCTGCTCATGCACAGACAAACTTGACTTTGCAAGCAAAAGCTTACTAGCCCAACGGTCAATGCCGTTGAATCCTCTCCACTTTCCGATTCATCAGAGATTCGAACTCTCGAGAAGTCCAACTTGAGAGCTGATTGGAGGTCTTGGACACCGTTTTGCCAGCTTGTTTCTCGGGAGGCCATCGCCGAGAATCCAAATCGTGATAGCCTTAACCAATAATCTTAAAATTCAAAAGTTCTAGTCGAATCTTCTTTTGAGCTTGATTCTAATCCTTAAAATGCGCCCCTGAAGGATAATTACTTTCTTCAGCTTCGAACACCCTGAGCGAGGGGGTTTAATGTTACATTCCGTTTACCCGCTTGCAGAACAGAATGATCGCAACATGACTAGGCCATCGCCGTCCCATAAACTTCCGCATGGCCAACGATGATCCCTGTGAAGATGAATCATTCATAGAGCACTATCAGTAGAGCTGCCAAGACAGGAGCCGGGTGGGCGGATACGACACCCTTCTTGAAGTGCCTTTGGTCTCAACAAAAGGTATGTTCAACCTCGTCTACGAGGACCAGCACACGCACCATCTGTTGAATGTTTGTGGCTCTTCATCCCCGCCAAGGCTGTCTACCCGCCTTGGCTGTGCTCTTGGCGTGTGGTGATTTGAGCTGCAGATATCTCACGAACACTACCGCAGAAGAGCCTCACCACACCAAGCATTGCGAATGGGGGCTTGTCACTACTTGGCAACGCTTGGCGCTTGGTTCTTGGCTTTCCATAAATAATCCTCCAAGCGCAAGTTCGCAGCAGATTTGCAAACGCCTGCACACAGCCACTCAAAGTTGTTCGTGCCACCAGGCCCCATGACTGATCTGTCCTGTGTGACTTGTTCTGAGTCTCGGAACCTCTCGCTGCAAATACGACTTCATGATCTCTCGTAGAATTTTGCCTTCGCTGATCGCCCGGAGCCGAGATGACAGAGTTGCCCCTGTGTTTAGACTGGCTTATTCTTTCGGCGCCGGCTAGCCATTTCCCTTACCTTGGATTGGGCTGGCTGCCACCTTGAGGCTCGCGGATGCAGCCGACAGCGATTGAGAAGGCATGAAGGGAAAAACATCAGACACAAAGGCTGCTTTCCTTGCCCAATCTCCCAGCCTGAAAGTTGGCTCAACGCCCGCTTGTTCTTGAATCGGGGAGGAAAACTGTAGTTCAAAGCACAAACCCGAGTTCGTGCCGTGCGTAGCCCGCGCGCGCGCTGGTTGGTGTTGGCCGACCTGGACTATGCGCAGCAAGGATCCGTATGGAGGGGAAGCTACTGAAAATGTCCGAACACCAAAACAAAATCCCACTTGTAGCCGCAAAGCTTTGACTTGCTGGAAGGTGACATGTTCACAGCTGGAAACAAACTAGGTTGCCCTTGGTTAGGGCGGCTGGGCCTTCTCAGGTGGGAATGGTGGTGAGCTTGCTGATATGGCAATGGGGACTTATTTACTGCTCTTCGACAGCGAGAAAGGCACAACAGTAAAGTCAAAGTTGCGGTATCTCCGGATAAGGAGGGCGGAAATTTGAGATGACGCGCAGCTTCAGGGCTGCCCAACCTTCGGCTCTCACCCGTTACTTGTCTCGGCGGTGAGAGTCAAAATTGCGCCAGTTTGTAACTCCTATGAAGCTCCCATGATGGAGATCAATCATTAATCAAGGTGGATTCAAGTCTAGTGGATCCGATGATCTGGGAAAACAACGTCGTATTATTACATGTATTCTAATGACTCTTCACCAGGGGGCCTCGGGAGCGAGGCGACGGCCGAAAGGTTAAACGGCGTAGTGCCGGCAACGGGTCCGCGGGTGTGCGCCGGCGGTCTACTGGTCAGTGAACAGCTAAAATGCAACCAGAATGAACTGTTACCGTTCACGCCATGCTAGAAGTGTAAACCAGGCCAGTGTGGTCGTAGCCCTCGGGGACCTCGTTGCAAGTGCTCTTCGGCCCTACTGCGTTCATCCTGGCGTGACTTCACGGACCAGGCCTTGGAAGAAGGCAGTGAAAGTTGGAAGTGAGAGAGCGTGTGCATCCCAAAGGCAAGATGAGAAAGAGAAGGGTGACTCCAAGGTTTGTTTCACCCCCGGACAGAGTTCGCCGCTCGCGGCCAATCCCCGCTCGCGGCCATCCCCCATCAATGACTGTCCTAAACTTCTGGACGACAGCTTATCAACCGGACTCAAGGCAATGCGTGTCTCAGGAAGACCGCTGTAAATTCGGCTGACCCAAAGGTGAAAGGCAAGTACAGCCCGTCGTGAATGTACGCGGGGACGTACGTCGTCTGAAATGTTGTGCCCCGTGCATGCCGAGAGCGACATCGAGATCAGTGTCTGAAGCCCTCTAGCTCAGCAGTCACCAGCAAGTCGGAACTTAGCACCCCCTTGCATTCGAGGCGTACGAAGGACAGAAGCTTTAGATGTATCCCCGTATGTCGTCTCTTCCCCCCAATACGCACGCACTGAAACGACGTGGGCTAACCATCAATGCTCAGACCGCCAGAGGGGTTGGGCTCTGCAAGGCACGGTCGAAGCTAGAAGATGGTGAGGGATCATGACGTCCCGGGAGAAGGAAAACGAGGCGTAAATAAGAGTCATCGTGCTCCCGTTCTTCTGCTCTGTTGTTCGTCCCGAGCGTGACTCTGTTATTCAAGGGCGTGCCAAGCAACCATGGGATAAGGGACCCTGATCACGATCACTACACTCAACAACTCAACATGAACACCTTCAACCCTCGTCGGGTCTCGTACCTCAGGCCGCCTACCACGGTCATTGAGGTGCGCGAGTCTTGGGCGTCGCCACACCCTTCGCTCAGCTCCTGGATCGGATACCCCCCTTCGGAAAGATCGGCCGATGAGAGGTTCGCATCTGCTGTCTGGAAACGCACTTTCAACCATGTCGACTACGCAGCGTACAAGGCAGCCTGCGATGCCGAGAGGGAAGCCAAGCCGGAACGAGATCCTGATGTCTTCTCCACAACCTCGAGCGGAACACGGAAAGGCTTCTCAAGACTGGGTGCCATGCTTACCATTTACCCATACCGTGATATGGGATGGCTTGTTACCATGGTTTTCATCGGGGCCGGAATCTGCCTCGCTCTAAACGGCATCTTCAGTCTCATTCATCTGCTCGGCCCTAAACTCGACTTCTCTGGCCGCGACAAAGGTGTTCAGGTCACTGTTACCCTAGGCAGCTCTCTGCTTGCTCTCAGTGCTTTCATGGGCCTGCTCGCTGCATTCAACGTCGACAGAGGCACGCTTGACCCCAAGAAAGACGCCCCCGATGCCTACAAGCCAGCGCTTCTCGGCAGCGAAGAATGGGTCTGGTGGCCCAGCTGGTACGAATTCCGCAACATCTTCTGGCCAAGCTCAGCTTTCCGCGCCGGTATCCTTCAACTCCTCGCTGGGTCTTTCTTCACCATCGCCTCAATAGCTGTCCTCCCCGGCGTCCTCGACCTCACACACCCGGACGCCTCCATCATCTTCGTCTCTGCACCTCAACTTATTGGCGGCAGCCTCTTCGTGCTTGCCGGCCTTCTCATAATTTTGTTGTCCCAGGACAAGTGGTATGTCCCAAAGCTGCTGGACGCCAGTTGGCAAAACGGATTCTGGAATTTGGTCGGCGCAAGTGGATTTATGGCTATCGGCGTTGTGACCTTACTCGCAAAGACTGCGACTATGGCAATTACCTCACTGTTTCTTATGAGCGGACTAGGGTTCTTGATTGCCAGTCTAATCCAGTGGTACATCATTATGGAGTTCTACCCGGTCGATCCTTATGTAAAGGATCCGAACCAGGCGGCAGAGATCCCTTCGCAATCAATCTATTAACGACACTTTTATGAATTAGGAACAGGGGTTAACGGGGTTGGGGCTTATACCAGAAGTAAACAGAGTTTAGATACCGACTCAGATTATAATTGATGATTTAATGACTTATAACACACGGCCTCCAGTCCCTCTTACGCAATGTGACGCGGACGAGAAAACCCCAAGGGTGCAACATTCAGCCTACGTCCGAGGGCACCGCGTCAGCTGAGTAACCATGGCCCGCCGTGGGTCATGTTTATTAGTTCCTCTCAAATTTTAAAGTGGCACAGCTGGTTATCGTTCAACATTGAGAAAAATAGGGGATCGCTTGATGAGATCGCATACCAGATTTCCTGGCTGTCCCACACAAGTCATGAGACGGCCATTCTATGTCCGATCTTATGATCAGCCCACGGCTAATCCTTCTACTCAAAAACCGGTCTTCGAGCCGTCTGACCTTTTCATCAGGCCTTTACAGAATCGCGCCATGACCATCTCCGCTCTCAGCCATGCCTGCCCCTGAGACCAAGTCGTTGCAAACTGCGAGATACTTACTTCAATATCATCATAACACACTGTACTTCTCCCTACTTCTGAGCTCTGCGATCAGCAATGGTATAGAAGAGGCTGCCGTCGTAGATGCCACGGATATCCTCCTTAGTCATCCTCCCGTCTGCTGGCCACAGCATAAGATATGTGGCGAACCCTGCTCGTTGGTTAGTACCGGCCAAATGTCTTCGCAAAAGTGCCAGTAGAGGACTCACACTCAAAGAATGCACCGCCCCATCCAATCGGATCAGCCACAAGCCTTTGCCCCTTCAACATTGCGAACACGTCCCAGATGGTCATGTAGTCTCTTCCCTCGGCATACTTGGAGAACATGTCCTCGAACTTTTGAGGGTTGAATCGCCCCTCGGTGTCATACGTGTTGGTGTCACTACCGTGCTTGTCCTTGTGCACTCTGTCGAGAAAGATGCGAAAGAGAGGGTCCGGCAAATATCCGCTCACGGTCGGATAGGAAAAGTTGCCGTGGATGATGAAGACGGACAGAACTGAGAGTATAATGCCGAACCCCAAAGCGTAAAATCCCCAAAATGTGTCAGTGGGATAGATAACACCATCTTTGTCCTAAAATTCTCGGTTAGTTTCGCTTTATGGCCGGAATACGGAGAGCTTACGCTATCGAAGAACTCGCAGTGCTGCTGCAACACAGTTTGATGACGGTGTCTCCGCGCCCAGCCATGTTCCGTCGTACCATTGGGCTTCTCGTAGGTAGCAGCGATGTTCGCCCTAGGGGTACCTGCCAATCATGAGTGGCCTGCTCTGGTAAGACGTGACTAGATCGTGATCATACCAGTATGTGCCAGCTTCTGATCTTTCTCAGGTTGCAAGAAGGGTTTGCGCTGTTGCGTGATCGGAACCTCCGGAATCGACCAAACGACAGGTTCTCCCAGCTTTTCAGCCGGTTTCTGAGCCGGTTTCTGCGGCTTCTGCGGCTTCTCCATCTTCGTGTAGTTATGATCCTCGAGGGTGGCCATGGTCACGATGCTTGGATGTGTGGTGTATGAGTGAGAGAAACGTGAGCCAGTCAGGACTTGCGTATTAGAAAACGCCTGGTTCGTGGTGGCATATATCATGCTATCTTGAGCTTCGTGAGCTAAGACATTTCCGAACATGCGCTGTTCATCGTGACGTCACTGAGCCCGTTCAAATACCTCAGACCATCGCGGTGTTCAGGCCATAATCCGTCGTGTCTCCCCTGTGTCGCTTCTGCATGTGATAATCGGCCTGTTGCTGACGGATTTGGTCGACAGTTACTCAAATGAGCTCGAGTATTGCTCATGATAGGTCGCTTCGAGCCTCATTCCTGCATGGATGAACCACTTCGGGCCGAACACGTCCATGACGGTTTGGTTGGAGAAATGAGACAACACAATTGTAGATGTAAGTACCTTAACATTGTCCTGGTGACAGGATGTCCCCCACCAGTCACATAATAAGACATCATGCCTCTTGCACCTGGTTGGTGTACTAACTCGAACCTGGAAGACATTGAGTGTACGGCGAGCCAACGTCCGCCAATGCCCTGGTCAATTCCTGAGAGATCACATGCGTGCACTCATTGGTGACTAGATATACCGTAAGAAAATCCCCTAAGATCCCAGCAGTCAGGAAAAGGAAAGACTTTCAAAGCGCTTGAGGTGGAAAGTCACATGTACGCAGTACCCAATGATAACGATGGCTGAGTGAGTGATGAGGGTGAACCTACCAACATCGTGATTAAGCACTGGTCACTGCAACCAACTCCTGATCTAGCAAACAAAGTTCGTCATTGGTTCTTTATTTCTACAAATTTTCAAAAGTAAGTAAGGCAAAACAGCCTCAGATCGCATTTGGAATTCGGATGTTGACATGGTCAGCGCTCATATCTGCCCAATTCTCATGGCCATCCCCCGGGCCACAGTTCTTAAAACCCACCACTTGAAATCCTGTGCAATAATTCCATATGTTGCGGCCTATTGGTAGTTCAGCAAGGGAGACTAAAGTCACTGTTGCTAATCGGCACGATAATTCAAAGAAGTGCTTGTAAATGAAGCCATCGACTTGAAGGTAACTGTAGTTGTCGATTTTGGCATTCATATGTGGAAGGATGGCTTCATATATCCTCTGGAATTGAGAGAAAGTAATGTAGTGGCGAAGAAGAAACTATTTCCAAGTCAGATCGTACATCGAGAGACAGAGGATGTGAAAGTCTAAAGCTGGCTATCACATCAGCCAACGATGGAATTTTCACATAGAAATTGGCTCTCGGCTGAGTATTAGGATCCGTCGCATCGTCAACATACCGGTAGTTGTCATACTCAAACGACTACCACGTCCGCATTTAGCTGCGATGCGATCACAACTCAGCATGATAGTAAGTTCTTCGGTGACCGAAAAGTCGCACGGGGGCAAACGGAAGTTTACGACTGAGTGTTTATATCCAGGACCTATCGTCTCTTTTCTCTAAGCCACGGCCATCATGCTGTTCGTGCAAGTTCGTGCAACGGCCAGAGCAGACCCCATGATGATCTTTGCGAGACGAACGGGTCGCGAGGGGGTTGCCCGCCTTTATTCGCGAAACCCGTCAGCATGAACCATTATGCCCAGGCGTGTTGGTGGGAATTCGGGCCAAGGCCCGTCTTTATGGGACGATGAGGTCATCATCCACATCAGCTCTCTCACGGCTGCCGCCGGTGTGGTCCCCGAAGACACCAGCAACCTGCCGTACCTCTTTTGGGGTCCTGATCGTTGGCTTTCGCGCAGTTAGTGAACGCTTGGACAGTGCTCAGGCTCGAACCACTCAGCGGCAACGGCTTACCCGTCATGAACAAAAGACATCCGTTTGTCATCCTGGTGAAACAAGACTCGCGCAGACATACGTCCCCGAGCTGAAAATAAACAAACGGCGTCCTGCCGACTGCCAGTTTGTCTTGTCTGCCCTCGCCGACCAACTGAAGATACACTTTCGTCTCTTGGCGGCATAGCACAAACACCACAGCTGTATCGACCAAGTGATCGCGAAAAAGTCCATCTCACACGTCAGTGCGGCCCAATGACACTGAGGCGTTCGGCATGCACGACCGTTGAGCCTTGATCTCACACTGATTCGACAGGTTCTTCCGGGGCACAATGTCTGGCCGTCTTGAGCGCGAGGCGGCCTATTTGTCGAAACTTCACTGGTTGTCAAGTTCATCCCAACTCATCGCTTGCGAGCTTGCGAGGGTGTTTGGGGCTAGCTATTATCCCGTGGCGAGGTCATCTTCGGAAGGACCGTGAAGCATAAAGGCCATTGCTTCCACAATAAGAATACGATATTGGTTCGGGACATGTCTGAATGATCGATTCAGACGGTTGAAATTAAGAAGACACTCTGTGAGAATGATATTGATCAGACATCACACGCGCTGGCATCGAACTTGACGAAGATTCACAGTGTTCTTTCGCGATCTAGAAGATCTAACGGCTTTCGACTTGCAACGTGGAAAAAGACCTGCAAACAGTTGACGACCATCAGACGACGACCTTGCATCTCGCATGGAACTTGATACTTTCGTTTCGGCGACTGAGTCGTCGTAACGCGTCAAATTGCCTACGGCTCAGATCAGACAGACCATCTTCTGAAATCGTGAGCAACCCACGCATTGGAGAGGTCTGTCAACGTTTTTTGACAATTCGTATGCCCTGAAAGTGAGACGGTGCCACTTCGGCTCTATCCGCTTGACCACTTCGATGGCTCCCGAGCAAAAAGAGAGGTTCAATGGCATCATTACGTGAAGTAGCAAAAGGATATGATCAGTGGGAGGCTTGAACTCCCGGCCTTGGCATTACTTAACATTTCAGGTGAAATATTAGTACCACGCTCTAACCAACTGAGCTAACCGACCATTTGGTTGTTGTTGATGTGATTGCAGAGTTTTCTTCTTATGGAGCTTGGTGGTGGAGTCGTGAGTGAGTCATTTCAAGAATCGTCTTGATAACGCGGTGGGGGGGGGGGCGTTCAGTGTCTTGCGCAGACTGCCAAGACAGTCCGGGAACATCTCGGGTTTAATAACGTTCGTATCGAGTTGTTACCTGTAGAAGCAGTGCTAAGTTAGAAAAGAGCAGCCTGCTGGTCTCAAGACGTATGGCGACTTTGTCTTTTGAAATTCGTCAACGGTAGCTTTCTGTGAGTGCTGGGGGTTGATCGACTGGCCACTTATCATCGGGCGAATGACATCCGAGTGAACGATCATCGTAATCCTAGGTCGATGGATAACCTGTGTCGACACGCTGCTTTTCGGCATTGCCTTGCGTAAGCAGAAGCCTCAGTCCAAGAGAAGAGTCTAGTAAGGGATCAAGGTACTTAGTCTGTAATCTGTAAAGCCCAGCATGAAGTAGCAAAGAGCATAGCAACTCATACGCGTGAAGCCAGACCGCCAGACAATCATGACGTCGCAAAAGCCCCATGGTGCCAGGTTCTCCCTTCGGATCCGGACCCGACAATCCGCGATGGTTCTCAGTTCCGGAGGGCGCGCCATGTGGCCCTCCCCCAGACCTTGCAGGGCTAGAGTCGCACCAGGAACCAGGCACAAGTCCCCCGCTCCTATCAAGGGGGAAAGCTCCTCACTCGTGTCACCCAGCGGCAGCCCAAAGTAGGCAAAGCTGAGTGTCACGCAATGACCCTGACCGCCGGCCGAGGGAGAGGCGTCTGTCTGTGCCTTAATTCTCCCATCGGGAGCCCTTTTCTACTCTCCGTTTCCTAAAACATCCATTCCATCCGGAAACCTTCCATCACGACCTCTACCCTCGAACACGCCTTGTTCAATACATGCCCCCAACTCCTACGAACGGCCACGGAGAGTCGAGCTCAAAGGCATAGAACGTTTGTGCCGGCCATCTCTGCTTCTACCCCGGATTCTTGAAACCTGGACCCGGTCACACCAACCAACCCACGCCCGGATGTGCTCTCGCCCTGCCATGTGTTAAAGCATCGCTCAACATCGACAAGGCTGTGCACTTCTTCTCGCTGAAGTGACGAACGACAATGGACAAGACTGATCCCGCCATCATGGACTCGGGGGCCCGGGAGCCAACGTGCATCAATGCTTCGCATCCCCGAGCTGCAGAAGATGAGAAGATCTCTCTCCATTTGAATGGCCAGCCCTGCAGCTTCTCGACCGACGAGATCATGCCCGATCAGACTCAATTTCTTCACACTACCAAGGAATCCAAGGAAGCAGACTACGCCAGCCAACAGCACCAGCACCCTACGACCAAACAACCAACCAGACTTGCCACCTTCTTTCCCCGGCTGCAGAGATGTACGAGACCATGGATTACAGGCGCGTTCGCGTTGTACCTCACGGGCCTCATCCTAATCTCGGCCTACTCTGCCAGCAAGCTATTCGACGCCGGCAGTTGGCTAGCCCATCGACCAGCACAGCCAGCGGCGCCAGCAGCTGCTTCTCCGCCCTCTCGGGTCTCACCAGCCTCCCCAGTCCGGAACTGGGATGCGGCCGCCTCCAAGGCGGCGGCCTTTGTGGCCCAGCTCAACCTCACCGAAAAGACTCTGATGGTCACTGGTCAGCTCGGGCTTGAGGCCGGCGGTTGCATCGGCAACATTGTGCCGATCGAGCGCGTCGGGTTCCCCGGACTCTGCTTGCTCGACGGCCCCACGGCGCTGGACCGCGCCGATCTCGTCAGCGTCTTCCCCGCCGGTCTCACCACAGCCGCAAGCTGGGATAAGGAGCTCATCTACCAGCGCGGAAAGGCGCTTGGCGAGGAGTTTCACGACAAAGGCGTCCATGTTGGACTTGGGTGAGTTTTGCATTCCTTCAACATTAGCTCAACATTCATACTAATTAGCTGCGCAGCCCGGTCGCCGGTCCACTTGGACGCCAGCCCCTGGGAGGCCGCAACTGGGAGGGATTTTCAGTTGACCCCTACCTCACGGGCATCGCGATGCAACTCACCATTCAAGGAATGCAATCAGCAGGCGTACAAGCGTGCGCGAAGCACTTCATCGGGAACGAACAAGAAACCCAGCGAACCAACTCGTGGCTCGCAAACGGCACAGAAATCGCAGCGATTTCGTCCAATATTGACGATCGCACGCTGCATGAGTTGTACCTGTGGCCTTTTGCAGACTCCGTCCGTGCCGGAGTTGCCAGCGTAATGTGCAGCTACAACAGACTCAATCAAACCTATGCGTGCGAGAATTCGGGCTTGCTGAATGACATCCTCAAGACGGAGCTGGCTTTCGAGGGATACGTCATGTCCGACTGGTTCGCGACGCATTCGGGGGCCGAGTCTATCAACAACGGGTTGGATATGAATATGCCTGGGCCCATCGGCCATGCCCAAATTGTCTCGGGCGAGACATACTGGGGTCCCAACATTACCGATATGATCAAGAATGGTTCAGTCACAGAAGACCGTCTTGATGAGATGATCCGGCTGATCATGACACAATACTATTTGTTCGACCAAGACAGTTCCGACTATCCCACTGTCGACCCATCCATCGTCTTCACAATCGCAGCTCAGTCAAATCTTCTAGACCTGCTTCCCTTCGAGCCACCACCAAGCCGCGATGTCCAACGAGATCACGGCAGGCTTATCCGCAAGCTAGGTGCCGAAGCAACAGTCCTCCTGAAGAACCTCAATGGGACCCTACCCCTCAAGAAGCCAACTAATATCGGCGTCTTCGGTAACGACGCTGCCGACCCAGCGGACGGCCTCGTCTTCGGAGCCGGTTTCGAAATTGGTACGCTCTCCGTCGGCGGCGGCTCGGGCACGGGACGTCACACCTACCTCATCTCCCCACTCGAAGCAATCAAAGCCAAAGCGCGTACGACAGGCTCTCGCGTGCAGTACATACTTGACAACAAGGTCCTGGCTGCTGATGACTTTAGCAGCCTGTACCCTATCCCCGAAGTCTGTCTCGTCTTCCTCAACACGTTCGCGTCGGAGGCCTATGATAGAACGAGCCACGAAGCCGACTGGAACTCGACGCTGGCTGTCGAGAATGTCGCACGAAGGTGTCCTAATACTGTTGTTGTTACACACTCGGCCGGTATCAATACCTTGCCCTGGGCAGACAACCCAAACGTCACTGCGATCTTGGCTGCACACTTGCCGGGGCAGGAGTCTGGAAACTCAATTGTTGATGTGCTTTGGGGAGACGTCAATCCCTCTGGAAAGTTGCCTTACTCTATTGCTTTCGATGCCAAAGACACCGATATCCCCATTGTCAACCTCACCGAGGCAGAAATCACGTCCCCTACAGCATGGCAAGCCGATTTCACAGAAGGTCTTCTCATTGACTACCGTCAGCTTGATGCTGAGGGCATCAACCCCAGATATGAGTTCGGCTACGGTCTCAGCTATACCACATTTAACCTGGATGCATCCCTGAAGATCAAACAGCTAGCAAAGAGCGTTGCCGCTACGCCTGATCCCACAACCCCGAACTCCCCCGGAGGCAACCCAGAGCTCTGGGAGCCTCTCCTCCGCGTCACTGCCCGTGTGACAAACACCGGCGCCGTAACCGGCGCTACTGTTCCCCAGCTATATGTAGCCTTGCCGCAGGACTCTGTTCCCGAGGGCACTCCCATTCAAGTTTTGCGTGGTTTTGAGAAAGTCTTTTTGGAGTCAAAGGAGTCAAAGACGGTCGAATTCGAGTTATTGCGTCGTGATTTGAGCTATTGGGATGTGGCGTCGCAGACGTGGGTAATTTCCACTGGATCAATTGAGTTACGCGTTGGCTTCAGCTCTCGCGATATCAAGGCCAAGGCGAAACAGGTCGTTTTATCCTCCTAGGGCATGGTCTTGGAGTTGAAAGAAGGTTCTGGATTTCTGAGCATGGTTCAAAAGGTTGAAGCAGGTACCTAATGCAGTATAGCAACAATTGACTCTTCATGCCTCTCAGCTCTATACAATCTCAAACTCGGTTTCCGCAAACGCAAGACTTTCCTCCATGGCCTCACCGTCCATCAGGTCATGAATGTAACAGTCCCCGACTATCCGTGACTTCTTCTGCTCATCGTCACGGACAATGATGGGATAGTCACACCCATACAGCACAACAACCAAGTCACCCTTCCTTACCCCATCCACAGCCCACCCGAACCTGCCCTCCTCCGAGCGAAAGAACCTTCGATCATAAGTCCACTTCGTATGCGCACCAATAAATTTCTCTGCAGTCTCTTTCTCCTTCATGTAGTGCGCAACCCCATCCTGTGGCGCCAACCCGTGAAACTCGATCTCGTGGTCCGTCCGCTCCTGGAGAACGCGAGCAAGTCCCTTACCCGGTTCCAAGGCGATCTTGTAGTGTATCTCGAAGCCAATCACGTAATCCTCGCCAGGTCGCTTGTTATCCCGCGTTTGGTTGCACATGAAGGTCCGCCAGAGGTTTTCCCATGTCTTGGGGGTAGCCGTCTTGTCTGGAAAGGCAACGTCGGTTACGCTGCGGTACCACTGTTCTGCATGTTTTCCCATCTTTTCTATTGTCTCGTTGAGTCTGTACTCGGCGTCGTTAATGGGGCTCCTGGGTCTGTCGGCGTCGTCCTCCGCTCTGCTACCATCCGCTCTCTGTTGATCGTTTTCCTCCTCGTGTTTGAAGATTGGGCCGCCATACTTTGCCATCTTTATGGCCTTTGAGTCGCTAGGTTTGCCTAAATTTTCAGCGACGCCTTTTTCAACTTCATCGGTGCTGCCGCCTCCCATTGGGCCTTGCTGATTCGGCCCAGGAATCTGTCTCTTGCATTCCACCTGAGCCACCACATCGACAATCCTGCCCTTGATATGCAAGACTCCTGTATCCTCATCGATATGCATGATCGGCTTGCTATCACCGGTAGCCGAGGCCTTCAACCCACGGATGCGAAGCGGCTCAGTCCAGCCTGGACGAGTCCAGTCAGGCACCCAAGACGGAAGTTTCAGGGTCGTCGGCTTCGACGACTCAACACAATGTGTCAAAATTTCCAGTGATCCGGTCTTTATGTTCTTGACCGCAAAGTCAGTGAATACCTTTTCGGAAGTCTGAGAATAGTCGACAACATAGTCTCCCTTCTGATTGATGAGGCCAAGCACCCCGTAAATCTTGTCGCTGGGGATCGTCGCTTGAAAGTCTCTCAACTCTTCTAGCAAGGTAAGAAGCGGGGTGTTAGTGAACGTCGCCGCTTCATCCACACGTTCTTTGCGGAGTTGCTCCATGAACCCAATGGCTTTGAAGCCCTTGCATTCGCTAATCAGTGTTTGTAGTTTGAAGTCTGACAGAGCGAGAATGACGACCGCCATAAAGTGCCAGGGAATTTGTATCGGTCCAAGATGAACCATGACCTCGCGAGAGTTGACGACCTCCTGGATGATCCAGGTACGTTTGAACTAGAAGGCCTTTAGCAAGAGCAGAGATATCGTCATCATCGCACGTTGATACTTACCCATGACCGATTCAGCAAATCAGCCAAGAGCCCCCAGTCAAGCCGACGTGTATCTGCATTGTTGAGGAAATGCCACTGGACCTCTTGCATCGTCGCGCTCGCCATATCAACAACCTTGCGATGAACAAAAATGTCGTCAAACACTTCCGAAATAGCATACAGCGTGCGGATAGCGTGCAAATCCATCTCCGTCGACTCGCCCAGCCATGCCCGCGTCCTTACCGCACCAGCATATACCCGTCTCATGACTTGAACATGCTCGTTCCGCTCCTTGATATCCTGCTGATTGATACACAGCGCATCAACCCAAATCCGAAGCGGCTCTCCTCCCTCTTCGCTTCGCATTCTTCGAAGCGCGCGGAAGAGTTCCCCGCCGACGATGATCTCCACGCCGTCACATGTGATGGGGGCATCGGGCATGCGGCCACCTCCTCGGATGTACTGCTCGCCGTGATAGGGATGGTCGCACAGGTCTTTCCATTTGGACGTGCCAGACTCGGAAATTGTGTTGCCGTCATCGTCTTTGCCGTAGACGGCCCAGGGGACATCAGACTCTGGGTCGATTTCTTTAGCGGCATCGATGCTTTTGCTCCAGCAATAGCTCAATGCCTCGTACGGCTCGTCCGGTGAGAGGAGGTTAAGGTGCGAGATGCCGCATATAATCTTGTCGTCAAAGTTGCCGGGTTGGACGGTGAGAATGCGGGTTTCGTTAGGGAGGTTTAAAGGCTGGTAGGGATAAGTTGCCATTTTTCTTAGCGTAGCAGTGGTTAGAACTAGAAACCACCTGGCTGCTATGTCTGATTTTGTGACCAGAAACAATCCTCTAGGAATAAGGAAGACAGTCCCGATATATGTCAACTCCTAAACTAATCTCGTCTCCTAAGAGGTGACTTTTGTCATTCGGTTCCAGTAGGGCTGTGCTAGGCATCAGCTTAGTAGAAGCACCTGCAAGCGTCATCTTACTCGATCTGGATTGGCTGAACCCATCAACCCTGGTTCATGATTATTGCTGGATGATTTTCCACTTGGACTAGATTTACGGGAGTCCCACTGAAGTTTAAGCGGAGTGCTCCCTGCACCGATGACAGAACAGGTTCGTGCAAGAATCCTCCCACTAGCAGCTATTTGCTATCGACGTACCCCCTGAGACTGGCTACCTCTTCAACGCATGAGCTTCTTGGAGCACAACTACCTTGTAGCTACGATCAAACAAGAACATTCATTGCACTAGCTCTCTAATAAGGTAGCCATACAACGTGTGGGAAGACAAGCCTCTATCGCCAGTTGTCCGCTTCTTGCCGTCTCAGACACGCGTTGGGGCCGAGTTAAATAGAGAAGTTTAGTTCGGCTGTGTGCTCCGTTCTAGACTTACGTCCAGGAGAAGCCGGGGGTAATAATTCAAAGAGCTAGAGTCTGGTCTCCAGCGCGGCAAGTTGTGCAGGAACTGCTATGAATAAGGCATTGACAAGAAGGTCGAGGTAGCAATAGAATATTGTGGTAGGCTTCGACCGCTGGAATGACCCCTCTAGGAAGGTTAAAAGCTGTTGAGTTCGATGCAACCCAACGTAAAAGGAAATTCGGTCAAAAATGCGCCAGAGCAATATGTTCGGACAAATGTAACTCAATGAGTCATTTTCCACTGAACGCCAATCAAGCTTGCGAAAATTGACGTCCGAACACGAGCGTGCGCCAGTTTGTCCTCCATCGCTTGATCTTTTAAGCGCGGCCCGAATCTGACATCATAATCTTATTTAAACATCAACAAACCACTCCCAAAAGCGCACTTGCAACATATTGGCGTATTCAACTCACCGCATCCTTTTGGGACGTTCTCAAGCATCGGTCCGCGAAATGCCTGTCCCGCAGCGAATCGCTCCGTCTAGCGAAACTCTGAGAGAATTTTACGTCGGCAAGGATGTGAATGACGCTCCAAAGCCGGCGGTGGTCTTGGACGTTGCTAAGGTCCGGAGGCACTGTCAGTCAATGTTGGAAGCTGTCGATGACTTGAGAGTTGGATTTCGCTTTCATGTCAAGACCCATAAGGTAAGTGGTTGAATAATCAAGTGATATGTAAGATGAGCTTTGTGGACGAGACCTGCAGATATTGACGACTACCCCAGACCAAGGAAGTCACAAAGCTTCAGGCAGGCGAGAATACAAAGAAGATCAACTGCATTGTATCAACTGTAGCAGAGATCGACCACCTCTTACCAACCTTCAAGGAATACACACAAGCCGGTCGCCCCGTCAACATTCTCTACGGTGTCCCGCTCCTGGGTTCCCAGATTGAGCGTCTCGCTTTATTGAGCAAGGAACTCGGCAAAGATGGACTCACAGTCATTGTCGATCACCCTTCCCAACTAGACTCAATCCGCCGCCTTTATGCTCTGAGTGGTCTCCCGGTAGGGGTCTATCTGAAAGTAGACACAGGCTACCACAGAGCAGGTCTTCCAGCCACAGCTCTGAACAAGGGCGGCCTACTGGAACAACTCACGCAGCTAGACGCGGAAGGCAAAGCAGTCTTGGTGGGACTGTACTCACACAGCAGTCTCAGCTATAAGGATGACACCGCCGACCAGGCGATGCACAACCTCGCCGGGGAAATTGAAGGCTGTCTGGAAGCCCTCCACGCCAACGAGAGTCTACTCGCGGCCAACGCCTCGAGAGAAATGACCATTAGCGTCGGGGCGTCTCCTCAAGTCACCTCTATTGAGAACCTGATGGGTGATACTGCGGCAAATGGATCCGGTGAATTGCGTCTCCGGACAGCGATCAGCAAGGTTCGAGATGGGTCGCCGACGGTGAAGTCCACGTTAGAACTCCACGCTGGCGTATATGCTCTCCTCGACATGCAGCAGATGTCTACCCGCTCGCGGAAGGCGCTAGGGAGCTACGAAGACGAGGTCGCCATCTCTGTTGTAGCAGAGGTGTGCAGCGTCTACAATGATGGCGAGCGGGATAAACCAGAGGCGCTCGTGGCTGTTGGCGTGCTGGGTCTCGGAAGGGAGCCTTGCCCTTCCTATTCAGGCTGGGGCATCGTCGGGCGTCAGCCAGGGTTTGAGATTGCGGGAGAACGGAGGCTAATTGTGGATCGGATCAGCCAGGAGCACTCCATTCTCTCGTGGGAGGTTGGCCCCGCGGAAGACTCCGATCTGCCACCGATCCCGCTCGAGGTTGGTCAGTCTGTTAGGATCTACCCGAACCATGCCTGCGTTACTGGTGCCCTGTATGGGTGGTATCTCGTAGTTGACTCAAGCAAGTCCAACAAGACCGAGATCGTGGATGTTTGGGTTCGAGGATCGGGATGGTGAGAGGAATCATGTGGAGCCCGTGAACATGACAGATCAAGGGCCATATCTCTTATGGATCAAATCGAAGACGTCTTTATATTTCAAGTGCCTCCACCAACTCCTTCAGGGCTTTCAAGCTCCCCTTTTCCCATGTTGTGACTTTTCCCTGCCACTTCTCCCCACCACCGCCGCCCTTTACCCCCGTCACAGCGTCCTTGATCTTTGGTACCAGCGCCTCAACAGCAGCCTTCCCACCAAGAACGGAGATTTGTCCGCTGTTACCATCATCGCCAGTAGCCAAGACAACAGCCCCACCGCAAGCCATCACAGCGTCCTTGACACCGACGGTAACCCACTTCACAAAGTCCGCGTTGCCATCCGCTCGGTGAACCCAGACACTCTTGGTAGACTGCAGCTTGGTCTTGGCGGCGTCTGCTTCAAACTCGGCAATATCGGCAAGTAGCTTCTTCTCCCTCTTCTTGAGATCCGTCGCGGAGCTCTGCACAGTCTTCACGGTCTGAACTACTTCATCGGACGTGTTTTTGCATGACAGCAGCTTTGAGAGGGAACTCATTGCACCAAGAGAGGCTGTGGCGAGGTTGATGGCTCGATCTCCGACGGAGAAGTACAGGCGGTAATTCTTCCCGTGGACTGGTTCACCGTGGTGGACGAGGATGAGTGAGATGTGGGATGTTTGGGAAAGGTGAGTGCCACAACATCTGCGATCTAAGTGTCAGCAGTGAAGACATTTCATGAAAAGTATGATGGGGTGGAAGTTTGTATACGTGTTGCGGTCAATGTCACCGATCCGAATTACACGGACAACTCCTTTACTCTGATCATAGTCCTCCGGCATCTTTTGGACCTTAGCATCGTCCGGTGTCTCAACTGTGATTGGGAAGCTGGCGCGAATGATCTCGTTACATCGGCCCTGGATGGCTTGTAGTTCCGCATCCGAAGGTTTCCGCGGAATATCGACGTAGTTCATTGCCCCAGTCTTTCCCATACCCCAGCCGAGAGTGTTGAGGGAGTCGTGGGTGTTCATGACGGCGGACAAGAGATGTTGGCCCGTATGCTGCTGCATATGATCCCATCGGCGCTGGAAATCGACTTCCTGGCGTACCTTCTCACCGGGATTCAGGGGTTGGGGGGAGTGATAGACGCATCGTAGCCCAACACGTTCGACAAACTGTATCGGGATGGCGGTTGCATCTAGGTTTGAGATAGGAGTGATTGATCCATGATCAGACGGTTGTCCGCCGCCTGGAAAGAAAAAACGCAGCCGGGTTAGCTTAGAGGTCCAATTCACTCATATATGCCGTGCGGTACCTTCGGGAAAGAGGACGGAGTCGGCAAATTCGATCAACCACACGTCGGCGTCGCTGCTATCGGCGGCTGGTCCCGCAGTTTTGTTCTTGCCGTTCTTCTTTGCTGGTGGTGGAGGTCTCTTTTCACATGAGATGACCTCTGCTTCTAGCGTGCGAAGATACGAGTTCTTTTGACAAGCTAGTGCCCCGACTACTTGGGCTCGAGTTGATTCTGTCACTGCCATCTTCCGATGAGTTTTCGCGACTTCTACGGCTTAGCTCAAGTGAAGCTCAGTTTCATCATTGAGATGAGGTAAGCAGATAAGAGAGGTGGAGACGTTGTTTGGAATGGACGTCGGTGTTCGGGCTCATTCGGCTCCGAGTGGGGCTTCGACTCACGTGGTTTTCATTCCGAGAATCCTCCGTTTTGGCCATCGTCAACGACGACGGCAGCATCACTCCATTCCGGCCAAAATACATCATATGTACGAGTCAGGTAGTCTGGAACCGTGACGACAAGTGGCGTTGATCACCGTTGGAAATGGCTCCATACTCACCTACGATGGGCCAACGGCCCTCCATTTTGCCCATTGCGAGGCTGTTCTGTTGCCGCTGTGGTCGGTCGTAACAGAGTTGTCACGGTTGAGCACGAGATGATCTTGGATCGGACGGTCATACTTTAACATATTATACTCATTAGATGTTGCGATAACTAAGACTAACGCCTACTTCTCATCGCGCAGCGTTGGAAGCGCACGTCCACGGCTTGGTGCCCTTTTCATTGGCAATCGACTCAATGGAAGCCCACAGACCAAGCACGCAGATGAGGAAGCCCGTGAGGAACAGGACAACGTTGGCAACAAACTTGCACGTCTGCTTTCCGTCCTTGAACCAGTTGCCGTGGTGCATCCACAGCCAAAAAATGCCGGGAAGACCATACGAGAACCACGAGGCGAAGAGCGCGCAGATGAGGCCGAGCAGCGAGTTGAAGACGGGGATGGACTCGGCAATAACCATGGAGAGCACCCAGATGGCGACGACGATGCCGATCCACGCGATACCCGAGAGCTTCGTGCGGCGAATCATGTGCTTCGTGTTGCGGAACAAGCGCGAGAAAATGTACTTTGCGGCAACGTGGCCGTAGATGACGCCGGCGATGACAATGGTCGGGATGGCGATGCCCCAGATGGCCTTGCGCATCGTCTTGGAGCCGGCGGCGGAGAGGGCGGGGGAGGGGACGTCCGGGCCGACGAAGACGTAGATGACGATGGCGGCGAGGAGGTAGAGCGTCGTGTCGGCGATCTGGAGGAGGGCCAAAGCCTTGGGCCAGTCTTCGGGCTTCTTGAACTCGCCGATGACGCTGAAGAAGCAGGAGTGACTCGAGAAGGCGATGGCGATGTTGGTCACGGCCAGGAAGGCGCCGGTGAAGCCGAGCTGGCGGGCGACTTCGATGCTGCCGGAGCCGATGGGGCGGGTGACGGCGACGTCACCGAGAGTCATGAGGACGGCCAGGGTGATGGACAAGCATGCTGCGAATTTGTGGTCAGTTGAAACTCAGCCAATGGTTTCCGACGTGGGGTGAACTCACAAGCCATGGACATATAACTGGTATACTTGAGCGTTCTCGGGAAGTTGAGCACGGCAAAAACAGCCAAACCGACAACGGCCCACACAATGGTGCAAGTGGACGAGTTGGACAGGGTGTTGAGGCAGATGGTCCAGGTCAACAAGTGGCTACCCATGACAAAGACCTGGAAAATGACCTGCGCCCAGCCAAAGACCTCCTGGAAGATGGCGCCCATGCCGATGGACTTGCCGATGACCTCGACGGCGTCGCCAAAGTTCTGCACAAAGGGGTACTCGTTGCGGAACTCGGCGAGGACGAGGCCCGAGTATGTCGACAGGCCGCTCATAACGAGGATGAGGATGATACCCGGGATGAGACCGACGGTCGCCAGCACGGAGGGCAGCGAGAGGATACCCAGGGATACGGTCTCGGCGATGAGGACGATGCCGCCTTGCCTGAAAAGTTGTGAGTCAGCGAACCGATAGCAATGATGTTGTTGGTGGGCGACACGTACCACCAGGTGAGAGTCTTGTAGTCGATCAGTTCACCGTCCTCTCCTGTCAGAACGCTGTTGTTCTCCTCTGCCGTCGCGGGTATGTAGGCCGGCGCGGCCTCCTCACGGTCGCCTGCATCCTTCTTGGCCTGGTTCTGAGCCTCCGTCATCTCGGGGCTATTCGTCACGTCTGCGGCGTTGCCCATATTGTCTCTAGGTACACACAAGTGTGTTCTGTCGCTCACTGTTTGCTGTATCTGACGCGTTGAAGCTGTCAGTAAGTCCGTCCGTCGTCCTGCGCGATCTAGTCACAGATCTTGTAGAGAAGCAGGATGAAGTTGAGAAGTTGGTTCAGAGTAAAGTTGAACCACGACGGACGTCAGGTGAGAGAAATGAGAGGGAAACCGGTAGAAAATCTCTCTCTCATTCGAAGAAGAGTCATTCCATCCGGGGGGACCAGATTTCTTGATATAATCCACCCAGACCACGCCGCGATCGGCCTCGTCAACCTCACTGGAACCCGCGCAGGGCGAATTGGTCATACGAGACATCTGCCGAGGCGATCTCGGCGCGTCCGCAATGGCGAACCGCGCAGGGCCAGAGCCGTCAGACGGCCCACGGGGGTGTGAGAAGTTGCGAACTTGCAACGGCACCTTTCCCAGCAGAATGACTCGGGGCCCGCACCTCCGGCCCACTCGGGATTGTGGCGATTTGGGGGACTTGTGCCTGGACGTTGGAACACGCCCCCCTGCCCGGCTCTGGAGCCTCATCCACCACAACCACAACCATCCCACGGAAACCCTTCCGCTGCCATTGACTCTTCGCCGTTGATTCCCGACTCTTTGGCGATGTGAAAGTTCATGCCTCTTGAGTATACCAACGTCTACATCTTGCTCCAATCTGAAGTTCGTAAGGCGAGCATGAGTCCCACTACGGCAGCTAAAAATCGATCATTCGACACCAAGCTTTTTCCTACCCCAACCCCCCAAGCTCAGGAAGAAGAAAAAAAGTCAATGGGCTGATCAACCACCCCCAAAGCCAAAAGATGCACAGTCAAAAAGACAAAGAACAGGAAATTCTGCCCGGAACGCGCCTCGTGCAAAAAGTCTTCAAGCGCGCATTACCCATCCGTGCCATCTCAACCCATCAAAAAGTTCCACACGTTGGCCAATATTTACGTGATTATATCCACTTGGCACGGGTTTTACTAATGTTGACGTCCCAGTTGGTTTGTGGAGTTTATTCGAATTCAACATCAACGCAAGTCCCCCAATCTGCCCGTTGCCCATTCTCACGTAAAAGAATTTCCCAAAAGTCCCCTATCAAAAACCTCCAGAAAAAAAAGTCTGGAAATATTTTCGGCCCTATTTCCCCGCGTAGTTCCTCATGATCCACGCAACGCAGCCGATGCCGCAGCCCGCATGCCCGGGGCCGGCGCATGCAGTCAATCTTTTACGCAAATTTGTTCGCCAACGGGTTTCCTGGTGTCTTGCTTTTGACTCTTGGGTCTATGGAAACGGATACTTTCCCCTTTGACTCCGCTCTGGTATACATTGTCTGCATGGTCTGCATAGAATGGCTTATTTCGCCACAATCCGCTTCATTCTAGAAGCTCGCAACCGGCCGACTCCATTCCTCATGCCTTCTTCCTAAATCCTGCCGTCGGAGACTTGGAGGCATAACCATAGTTGCCTGTTCGTAACCTCTCAAGTAGATTCAATGTTCATATCGGAAAAGGCTTGGAATACTATGCATAAACTGCATCCGGGTAAGTAGAAACACGTGAAGGGAACTTTTGGACGCTCCGGGATTCAGCCAGGCCGCCGACAATTTGGCATGTGCTTGCTGTTCTTCATAACCACAAGAACAACGCGGAAGTCTTCAAGAACTAGGTACTCAGAAGCAGCTAATCAAGACAACGTTCCATTTCCCCGTATTCCATAGCCACATACTAACGCGCACACACGTGGATCTGGAGAAACGCGGGAGTCCGTTCCTCGTAGATCCCGTCAACCGCAAAGCCCAACGACGGCTCACGACGGCTCTCCCGAAGTCCACCTTTCCCATTCCCTCCTTTTTTTACCCTTTTGGGACGAGAGGAATGCCTACTCATGGTCTCTTCCTTCTAATCGTATCATTACTCACCCGCAAGTAACCGAGATCTGAGATCTCCTACCCGTTTGCCTACACTTTTTCCCCGGATCTACTCACTTTCCCCCAAGCCATGTGCTAAACGGATCAAACCCTTCTCTTGCCCTTCCCGTCCCCCGCAATCTGCAACATTGATGAAGGGTTCCTGTCACTTTAAGAGGGGGGGAGGGGGTTTCCCTATGATCGAGATGGCGTGCTTGTTGTTTGTGAGGAAAAACTGGAGCCTTCTTCTAGAGAGGCACTGAGGCAGTACTGGTAAGTAATGAGTATATGTAGGGTGTGGTGTGACTGTTCGACGATTGGGCGCTTGTGCCAGATACTCAAATCATTGCTACGAATGCCAACTTAGGTCTACACGGTTTCCCATAGTTGATTTGGGTTTCAGATCAAATTTGGAGTGTTGACTGGATTGTTGGAAGCCAAGCTCACTAATCGTCCCTACCTCGGTCTACACAAAGCTCCTCTCGCACGCCAATTCGAGACCATGAGTTTTCTTCGTCACTTCCAATGGTAGCCTAGCTTTAAAAGAAGAAAAATGTCTGACGAATGTTGGTACATCATCCATTGAGGGATCATAGATCCCAGGTATCTTATCCAGTCTTCCCACCCCTTTTCATCCAAGCTATCGTTTCATTTCATTTCATCTCATATACATTATAATTACAGTGTTAGTTGTATGTAATAGGCAATAGTACACACCGTCAGGGTGTGTCTCGTCATTTCATCGGTGTGATGATCACAACTATCCACTCGACCTTCTCTTCAGCATTCTTTAACGGGGTCCACTGGCTGATGAGCTTCTCCATCTTGCCCGCCTCACTCACCAGACTGGCAAAGCCGGACCTGCTGACCGGTCGTCCATGCTTCTTCGTGCTGCCGTCCGACTCGTCTTTGGACGAACGCCCACCGAGGCCAATGAGACTACCCTTCCGCGCGAGGTAGCCGCCACCTAGCATGATATCTAGTGTGGCGGTCTTTCCGTTTTGAATCACCCGTTCACGCACCGTGTTCTTGAAGCTCTTGGTAATCGACGGCGAGTCTGCGAGGTCGGAAAGGACGGTAAAAATATCTCGGTGCGTAATGCTGTCGGCAAAAAGGCCGAGGCCGAGCGCCTCCAACGCGGTGGCCGAACAAAAGGCAACGCTCAGCTGAGCGGCCTTCCTCTTGTTAGGGTCGGCAGGTAGGGAAGACGACCTTGGCGGAAAGGCGGAAGGTCCGTCGGTATGTTGCAAAACAATGAATCGGCTGTAGCCAGAATAAACAGAGTCCAGCTGAGTGGGTGCCGGAAGATGCTCTTCTGAGCTCGAAACCGTTAGCAACTGCTCCAAGCCAAGGCCAACGCCCTGAGACGGTGACGTGTTTTCCTGATTGTTGCTGTTGTGTGTCGCATGCTTTCGGAAAGGTTGGAAGAGGCTTTTCTTGGGTCCTTTGTTGTGTAGACTATCCCTATTGCGGAGACTTGTCCGCCGTTCCTGTTTTCTGTCTCGGCTGCTCGTACGGCTCATTCGGCGACTGACTCGGGACTCCCGACCCGAGGTCTCTTCCTTGACCTCCTCTAGGGCCGGCCCAAAGTTGAGAATCCGGAGAAGGTCTTTGTAGTCACCAACGTTCTCCGAAACGTTGATCTGCCCACCGAGGTAGTATCGTAGCTTGCCGGAAGAGTCCACAAGCGGGCAGGTAAATAGAAGGTTCCAATACGGGGTGCCGTCTCTGCGGTAGTTGAGAACGAGCTCCAAAGACTCCTCCTCACGCGCGACGGTATCCCGGATGCGTTTGACTGTGTCCTGGTCTGTCAGTGACCCTTGTAAAAACCTGCAGTTGCTGGATAGAGCTTCAATCTTCGGATACCCAGTAACAGAAACAAAAGCATCTGATGTCGCGATGATGGGGTAGTCTGGGCTCAAGGCGTCCGTCAGGCAGAATGATTCGGCAAGACCAGGATATTTGAAGACACGAGTACCGGATAGAGCTGCCGAGGTGGAGATGGCAAGCTGGTGCTTCACGAATACCGGGTAGATAGACCGAGCAACTCGTTGCTCGACGCATCGTGTAGATTCTGCAAACATCGACTCGAGACCCGGGAGAACAGAGTTCGCCATCTGCTTCATGTCGGCATTCAGTGACTTGGAGACGGTTGAAGGCAGATTCGCTGGTGTCGGCATTGACGAGGCTTGTTTCCCAAAAAGTGCTAATGATTTCGCATATTCCTGGGTCTTCAGAAGAAATTCAATGTCCGAGCCGCAGCCTTGATTCTGGGCGAAATGGAAGAAACGTTGAGAGACGGATGCGTTGGCAAGAACCATTTGGAAAACCTCTCGACCAAGGAAGTCCGGTATAGACAAAGTTTCTGGCTCGATCTCCATGACTGGTGGTCCAAAGCTTTGGCGCAAACTTGTTGAGACGCTGTCGAGACTGGACCAGATACCGGGCCCAAATGTCGGGGATCTCGGGGACCCATCGGGGTTATAGTCGGTGTATCGACGGAAGGCGTCTTCGTTTGTGTGTAAGGACAGGCCAGAATTGCTCCTCAGCCGCAAGGACATCTTATTCGGTCGTGAGCTTCGAGGCGTCGCGGGCGGAGAGAACGTCATGGTAGGAACAGGCAGGCAGGCCGATGTTGGACTGCTCCTCATTGCCAAACCCCGCAGACCCTTTGGACTTTGGTTGTAGTCATCGTCGTATGGCGGCGTCACGGGTGACCTTCGAGACATGGAAGAGGCCATGTTGGTAGTTTGGTAAAAAAAAAAATGAGCGACGAGAAAGGAACGTGATAAGTGACAGCCCTCTGGCAGGCTCGGCCGGACGTAGGAATATGACAGAAAGGCTCGATTACAAGCAAAAGAGTAATAACTCTAGAAAAGAGTACCCGAGTATTAGCAACGACTACGGCGCATGTTATGTGATGCAAAGAAACAAAGTGACTGACACCGATAACACATGCCACCACGAGTTGGAGGGGTTCCTCTGGAGATGGAAAAGACGGCCGACGTCCGGTGCTTATAGCAAACGCGCCGGCGGACGGACCCTGACTCGCACTGGGACAGTCTCTTTGGTGTTGTGCCAGGCTTGTCAAACGCCGTGGGCAGTAGGATGTCTTAGGCCGACGCCACGAACTTGTGGGGGAAGGCCTGGCTTGCTAGAGCCTGGGGCTTGGGAACAAACACACATAATGAGCTGCGTCTGCCGAGCGTTTTCCTTGGTCCATTGTCCCATGGCGTAGAGCAACGTTGAGGCCCGATATGCGACTTTGCTTGCGTTTGCAGGTGCGCATCGTCGATCACCGTCATCAATGCCTGCCGGCCATTCCATGAATGAGTTGCCAATATGGGCCTGTCGACCTCGCCGATTAGGACTGGACTAGTTGCTGGTCTGGTGTTCCAGGCTTCACCATCAGGGGTCACCCAGGAGCAAACTGCATGTGAGCGTAAAAAAAGCAATGAGGTCGTGCGTCAAAGTTGGTTGGCGAGTTGATTGTGGCGGCGTCGAGAAGCTCCTTCACACGGCGTTTCTACCTCGCCTAACACCACTGTGCTGGAGCTAAGATGAACGGAGGGCCACCATGCCATCCGAGATCTGGTGTCGAGAATGAGCGGAGCGACGGAGGCGTAAGGAACAACCAATGTTGACCAGGAAATGTTGGCTGAATCATGGTCCACATGGTAGACGATCTCCCGCCATTGCGTGACGACGGAGTGGCACAGGCCTATTTTGGGTCCCTCCCAGACCGCCTGGTTGGGACGCCTGTCCCTGTCGGGGGTTCATGAAGGGGCACGACGCCATTGCGACGCTTTGGCCGGTGGCGGCGGTTGGATGTCGCATGCTGCTTTCGGTAGGGTAGCGTGAGTAGGCTTCTGAAGGCGAGCACGAAGAAATGGCGTTGTGCAAAAAGCGGCGGTCAGCACAAGACGAGAGAAAAAGCAGGGCGACGATGAACGTTGGCCTTGCAGCTGTCATTGGGGGTTCTGTTGACAGGATCCATGGCCGTACGTCAACGCGGCAATTTAGGTATCCGTACAGAAAGGCGAGAAGGAGGGACTTCCGCGTTGGCGTTTCAGTATAAATGAATGTTTCGGATACCATCGACGTGAATGTCGCAGACCGAGTAGAACATGTCGCTCCTTGAAGCTCAGTACTGGCTCCGAGCTCGGTAGGTGGACCGTGGTTGGCGTGCACCGCGGCATCTTCCTTGGACGGGAGACCAACAGTATCCGCGATCTCGTCGCCACACCACCTAATGCTTCTGGTGTTTGCTGGTGTGGCCCGGTGACCATCACAGCTAATAGAGCGGCGGGGACCTTGAAGAGGAGGGGCGTGAGAAGAACTGCGGGCAGTTAAAAACCGACTGTGCGTCTAGCTCATGGCTAGGTGTATCAGGTATCAGTCCTCGCGGGAGGCTCTAAATGGTCAACATCGAGCCGTTTTCAGGTGAAGAACGATCGTCGACTTGACGAGTCGTCACAAACGACACGCGCGGGAGGACGACGGACGGAATTTCGAGAGACACAAAGAGGTCTATGCTTGGTCAAAGTTTGGCGGCATTCCATCGTCTCGCCCGGGCGGCATGATGATCAGACGGTCTTTGCATGGATAGCGGGCTGCGAGATGGCGGGAACGAGTTCAGACGAAAGAGACTGTGGTCTGTGTGACCTAACTGGCTGATTATGTTCCTCGGACCATGCAGAGAGATGCACAGGAGAGGGAGGATGGGAGAAGTCGATGGAGAGATGGAAGGGCCGGGATGCACAGTGCCGGACGGGAACTGCTGACGGTACGTACCTACCGGCTTCAAAGGGTACGTACCGCCAACGCTCGTCGTTTGCGCCTCAGACATCCGTCAAGCCTCAACGGCCGCTCTAAACTTCTCCCGTGCAACGCTCCTTCTTGTCCGGTTAACTTGCTATTCAGCTGTCGAACGGTGAATCTTGATGGCGTCAGGATCAGTCGTGACACGCCCGAGCTTGATGTGGCGAGCTTGAACTTCTGCCATTACCCCAGATTCAGTATTTGAAAGGACATGATATTGATCGGTAAACAGCTCGCCGCCTACCGCCATCCATCCGCGTGAAAGCCAGTGACACTGTGAGGAAATCATGCAGGAATCGGTACCCTCATGCTTAGCAGCGTAGTGGCTGACAACCTGTTGAGAAAAGAAAGCATATTTGAGCCGGCCTCAGGCTCTCGGCCAGACCTTTTTAGCTCACAAGCTGTGGGCTCAAGAAGCATAGCTCATTCAAGCCGGTGACTGTCACGAGAGAGTGGAGGACTTAGGCAATGTACTTGATGAAGCGCTGAGTCACCCCTCTCCTCTGAGTCCTCTCATAGCAGGAAAGTTAGCTTGGTAGGAGTAGAAAATCAACGTGATCCTTACAGTTATCAAATCACAAAGCTGCCCGTAGAAGCTCTTCAGTACCGGAATCAACGAACGAAGTTTAATAGAATCAGGAGTCCGCTTCAAACCTTAGCTACGGGATCTCACTGAGGCTCCAGGTGTTGGCCAGATGCTCAGGCTCCAAGTTCGGTCAATCCCAATCAAACTAAGGAACGCACCAGTCAACATCGCCTATTTGAGTTAGCTGGAAGCCGCCGCAAGTACTACCATCGTCCAACAATTGCCGGCAAAAAGCATAAATTTCACGTTGAGTCAATGAGATAATGGCCCAGTCGTGATGAGGAGGAGAGAAATAGACGTGATGAATTCAGAATTGGACGATGCCAAAGCCCAGGAATACTCTCAGATGACCCTGTTTCACTGTATATCTGAGTGCAATCTAATTCATATTGCATCAGCTTGACTTCTCCGTCATCATTGAAGCTTGGAAGATGGATTTCATCATTTTGATCACCCATGCGGCTGCTCAAGAGAACCCGTCGGCAAGATTGAGATCTAGACAGCAATATCTTTGCAAGTTGAACCGTATCTCTAAAGTGAATGCTCTGGTGGCATGGAGCATACATGTACATGAGCTCTCAGGAAGTTGATATTGGTTAAGAGGTTGAGATATCATCTACCCCTGCCGACGTGAGCTCCAAGGCTCTTGATGCTTATTGCGCATTTCTATGTGCCAGAAGTGCAGCTAGTAAGGTGTACTCAAGTCTTTGATTACTATCTGGGCATTTTGGCCACATTTTGCTTTTTCAGATAAAAGATAGCACTCTTGAGGTTTACGTCCCGTGGCTGACATTCATCTTTCAATCAATTCTTTGAAAGAAGATGCACGACGAGAGGATTCTAGGCCCATGATCTCACTATCATCCTGTATTATGTCAGCAACATTGGATGCAGTAGTTACCTAAAAAGAAAAGAGCTCGCCAGCTGGCCCGGGCGGAAGGCCGCTATAAAGGCTTCCCTGCGGGCACTAAATCGCTAGAACGGACTTTAACGGCGCTGGAAGCAACTGCATTGGCCGGCGAGGGACCCACCTAGCAGAGCTTGGGACGCCGTGACACCTCAACGTCGCCGAAATTCGACGTTCTCCACCTACGACTGCAACCACAACTCAATTCTCATCATCGTCATCCCGCCTCATGGACCTGCTATCCTCCCCTCGAGTCCCAAGGAACGTCAAAGATCATCCGTCGTATATGCAGACCTTTCAATATCACTCATCACAATGCCCCTCAGCCATCGCCTCGGACAAACTCTTGCAGAGGCTCGATCCAAAGCTCGATCGGTGTACCATCTTCTGCGTGACCGCGGCGTCAATGACGAGGCACGCGTAGCTGTCAGAATGCTCCTTGGTACTCTCCACAGCCTTTGGCTATTATTTGAAGACTTTTCAGAAGAAGGCACTCCGCCAGCGTGTCCAGACCACACCCTTTTCGACGACTTGACCGATCTTCTTGATAACCCCAGCCTTGAGTGGTCGACAAGCTCGGCATCACCAAAAGACGGACCCCCTTCTCTTTCAGCATTTACCTCAAGCATCTACCAGATCCAGGGCCAGCTAGGTTCTCTTGTCCGATGCGACTCTTGGGCTGCCTTGCTCGTACGCTTGTCGACGAACGGTCACCGCAAAGATGTTCAAAGCCAACACCTAGATCATGCACTCAACTCTGCACCCAAACCCACAGAGATCGATAGCGACACATGCATTGCCCTACTTCTAAGCGCCGAGTTCGACAACAAGCCGGCTGATTGCTTCACGCACAGGCAATGTGTCGCTGAGAGAGATATGAATCGCCCCGAATATGGTGCAGCAGCAAAGCTTCTGCCGGATCTAGCCCGCCAAAGATACACCGACTACAAGACACCAATCCACGTGCTTTTCCACTCGAGAAAGTCGTCGCACTTTTTCCAATGGCTATTGGAATACGCCAGGCAGGTATGGCCGGAGACTTTCAACCTCAGCTCCGGTGCCCTGTCGATGGCACCACTGCATCTGCTGATGTCGAGACTCGAGGATGAGTCGGTCACCCCTTTCCATGTTGCTGCTTCATTAGGGCTGCCTCGGCTCTGCGAGCAAATGATATCGTGGGGAGTAGACGTCAACAAGCCGAGCCCTCTGGGTACACCTCTTTATTGCGCATTGCTTGGTCAAACGGCCCTCCTAGGACGCTCTGCCGACCCTGCGCAACTAGTATGTGACTGCAAACCTACCGACTCCCAGGAAGAGACAATACGGGTCCTCTTGGATTCAGGTGCTTCGTGTTCCGCGGAAACAGCTGGACCCTGTCAAGACGAACAATTTTCACTGGCAACATTGGCATTTCTGATTTGCCAGGCAATCCGTGCTCCAAAGATCCTACTTCGCCTTCTAAAGTTGGGGATCGCTCTCGACATGAGATTTATCCAGCTCTTCCACGGAAAGGATTCTCTTTTGCATTACTGGCCGTCTCCTCTCAAGCCACCAACACGTTCGTTCTTGGAAGGAATGCTTCCCGCCATTCTTGATAGAGCAATCCCCGAATACGACATCTACAATGATATTTCACTATTGGCTACAGGCATCTATGAGATCCTAGACCACTTCAACCTAGCTCGTCCTTCGAGTATCGCCGGGTCTCGACCTCTTGATGTCTCAGACACCTTGTATGTGGATCTCGTCCGAGAAGCAGCCCAAGATGGCGAGACGGCAGTTGTCAGAAGGCTTATCTTGGATCCTCGCTGGGATCCAAACGCATATATGGCCCCTCAGAGAGCACTCTCAAGTGCATCGTCCGACAATGACTTCGCCTTGGACGAGCCTCGAAAGGCAACAACAATACTACATCATGCGGTCGAGACCGATGAAATAGCTCTAGTGGCTGCCATCTTGACATCAGGAGAAGATGTCGATGTGCATATACGAAACCACAAAGACCAGACACCCTTGATGTTGTCAGAATCGCCCGAGACCTTGAAACTCCTTTTGGACCATGGAGCAAGAACTACAGATACCGATGAGAGTGGGCGTAATATCTGGCACTTCGCAGCCGCCAATTCAGACACCGTCCTACTGGAATGCCTTCAAGAGCACGACAAGCACAAAGACCAGAATCTGAGGGGTGTAATGACTGACGGCCAGACCCCCATTGCCGAGGCCGTCATCTATCCCTTCAACTCGATGAGGCACGGGCGGAAAATAACACCCGAAGCTCTCAAAGGGGCGATTCACATGCTCCAGACCTGCAAGCCGGATCTTGCCTACCTCAAAAGCCCGCAATCTCTTATTTTTCTGGCTGTTGAATGTGGCTCAGCGGATCTACTCCGCAGCTTAATTGACTTCGGCGCAGACCCCTTCGAAGTTGATGAAGAATCTCAGAATGCCCTGCACTTCCTCAACGTGTCGGCCAGAAAGCCTCTGATCGATATTCTGTTGAACTTGGACTTTGAACCCATCCTCAATGCCGAAAGAAAATCTCCGGCGGAAACAATTTTCCAGGTTTTCAATGACAGGGCCCTGTTTGGTCCCACCTCAGCCATACACCCCGCCAGACTAGCCACCCTCGATGCTGGCGTATACAGCCGTCTGCTTGACTACAAGAATATTCTCACCAGCCGCGACGATGCCAACATGGGGCTTTGGGAGCGGTTTTCTCTCACTGTTATGGCAACAGATGCGCCTAGATGGCTAGTAGGAGTGACTGCGCAACCGTCTCTACAAACTGCTGTAGAGTGCTTGATCAAGAAAGGGGCCTTGGCCAGGTACGAAGAGGAGAGTGGACAGTGCGGTATAATCCCAATTTTCTCGAGGTGGACGGAGATCTCTGGCACCCAAAAACTATTTCCCAAGTGGCTGCGAGCAATACTGTTGACAACCCTCGAAGCCACGACGAAATTAGACCAACTGAGAGAATCGCCAGCTTTGATAGAGTTCATCTCACCGGACGATGAGCCAGAAAACCCTGGCTTTGCCGAGGAATGATTGGGCTCGGGGGTGCCTGTTCACGAGTATGTCGTGCTCAACAACCAGCTGAAGTGCACCCTTACGCTACTTTCTCAGACATTGACGCAGATGGGTGAGAACGGGGCCCAGCTTCGACGGAAGCTTGTGAGATGAACGAGCGACGGTTTTCTTGTCTTCGAGAGTTTTCTCGTGTACGTCAAGGCGTTTCCTGATATCGTGAAATGGATTCTGGTGGATCGATATGCTCGTTGGAGGAGAATCACAAGAGTAGGAGAAAGCGCCTTGGAGTGGTGGTCGGGTCGCAGGATACGAACTTCCAGGCATTGGAAAGCGTACAGGGTGGTATTCTGGAAAGTCAGGACTGGACTGAACGAAGCGTCTAAGTTTTATTCAACGGGAGTTGCATAAGCAAGGTGCGAGTACTGTAGCCTTTGGCCTGGAGGAAGAAAATTGAGAGCTGGTCTGAGATAGTGATCCATCGTCTGGAGGATGGGTATTGGGGTAAACTGCATAGCGGAGCGTCTTCACTGTCATGATATCTTATTTTCGATACCAAGATAACTTGGTAAGTAGACCAGTGACTTTTGCCCATCAGCCACGCGTAAGAAAATGAATGTGAGATTATGATCCAGATGAGGAAGGATTGCAATGAAGTGCCCTTGCCGCATTCAGGCCTTGGATCGTGGCAAAGGTTGGTGTACTCGATACATTGACCCCATGGTTCATCGCGCTTTTCTGCCGTGGTTGAATGTGACCTAGACAGCAAGTACACAATCGGAGTGCTTCCACCGGAAGCCACGGGGGCGCCGGTCGGCCCAGGCCTGTCGCTATCTCCAATTTGGCATGGCGCCAGTGTTTAATAGCCTGATGAAATAAAAAAAGAGTTCACCACAGGTGTGGCTACATCTCTTCGTGCTCATGCTGGGATTCGAACTCGGGTACTCTCGCTAAGCCTGTCGTCGAGTAGGCTGGTTGGCGTAAATTCGATTGTCGACCATTGACCGTTCCACCATCCAGCCAGTTTGACCTGACCAACCGACCTAGGAAGGCGCCTGCTGTGCTGGTGACTAGAATGGGACTGAGGAGGGGTATATAGGCTTGAGCCTTGGTCACGGGGGTGTATTCGGAGTGAATATACGGATGCGTGGGTGGGTGGATGATTCACTACTCAGATGATTTCTCTAGCGTCAAGGTGGATTCAGCAATGCCCGTCGGGAAGGAACTCACGTGAGAATCTCATGGTCATCTTGATAGCATGGTCATTTGCCCATCTTATGTTGATTCAACTCCGTTTCCCTCATGTATTTCAACACCTGACCTCAGAAACGATAGAATCAGGAAAGGTCTTGAGTAAATGTGGAAACTCAGCAAATTATGCCTCCTCTAGGATATCACGTATGTCAATACAAGGGTTTAAACTCAGAAGTTTCAAAGTTTCTCGATCTTGGCTTACGACTGTGACAGAATAAAATATTACAAGCAGCACCGCGGACATCGAGAAGGGACAAAGCATCAAAGCCCGATTCGGCTTGCATGCACTTTAAATCAGGCGCCAAAAGATAGAAGACAGTTTACTGCTTGTCGCCATGTCCCAAGATCACCTAAGAACGCCGCTCCGACTTCCCTTGTTGAATGCAATCTGCTCTCCTCTAACCTCCGCAACACCAGCTCTCTCATACACCTCACTGACTCCGTCAATTTCTACAAACTCCACAACAATGATGTAGTGTGACTGTTGAGGGTTGCCTTGTAAGTCCTTCCTCCTCGCCACAATGACACACTTGAGGTTCGAGAGCATTCTATCTGGATTGTCGAGCTCCAGAAGAAGGCCATTAGAGCCCTGGAATTCCCATACAGGCGCCTTGATCTCGCATGCGCCCTCTCTTTCACCTCTCTCCTTCATGCTTTGATCTGGCCAAGCCCGAAAGGGCGAGATGATGTCCGCTTCCCAAGCATACTTGTTGAAGGGAACATTCATGTACCTAATCTCACCTTCGTAAGCCATCCATGACCATGATGGAACATAAACTCCCCTAAGTAGTCCTGAATCGATCCGACTTAGGCATCGGCTTGCTCTTTGCCACAGCAGACATCGATGAAAAAAGGTATCAAAAACTCCATGAGCGCCAACAGTTTTGAAAGTGCGGATGAGACGCGTTTCAAGCCCGCGAATGGCAACTGGCCTGTCACCAATATTGCTAAGCGCTAACCCCGAGTATTTCTGGTAGAGATCTTGGTAAAGCTCAATCTTCATTCCGCGTACGTAGGTGTCAATGGAGTGGGGAAAGTCTGAGTCTCCCAGAAATGAGGCTTTTCGGCTGAGGTATGAAAAGTCAGTTACAGACCAGCTGAAATCAGACCTAGGTAGGCTTACTTTCTCATCTTCGTCATAGTTTCACACCGTACACCCCTTCCACATTCCCAGTACGTCTGATTCTCTGAGAAATAGATTGTGCGACGGGACAGAGCTCGTTCTTGCAGAATCCAAGCCCGCTTGTTCAACTCTCCCTGCTCAACATCACGCCCAAACTCATCGATAGAGGCGCAGACGTAGTAAGAGCACCTGTCAGACTCTAATGTAACACAATATCTATCCGGACGAGATCTCAAAAAGCCGTCCTCGGTACCGCTTGCGCAGCTAGCTGCTAGAGTCGCGTAGGCTGAACTGTAAACCTGTTCCATCAACCGAGATTCCCTCTCCCAGTCTCGAGGATCATCTTGGACGATGCAGAGCGAACCGATCCAAAGATACTCAATACCAAGGCTTCGTGTGACTTTGATGGCATCTTGAAAGGTCTGAGGGAGCTCCGTAATCTTGATCTCCTCTTTGAAGCTTCCCAGATTTTCCTTCAGAGTGCAGAATTTCCTGTGTTGGTCCGGGGCCCCCCATCGATGCGATAGTGCGAGATATTTTCCCGGGTTCGTTTGCCCACGATCCGCGCAAAGCAATCGGCATGATTCAGAGCCTTCAGATCTGACATCGATAACTCGTGTTGGAAGAAAGGTGTCGTCTGATGTTGGGCTGCAGTCATGCGTATCGTCGCAGACACGCATCCACGTCGATAATACTGCGATGTGCGCCGGACTGCCGGCAGCCGGAAGGAATGGCATTCCCATCTGTGCACCACTTAAGGGCTTGTCTTAAACACAGAATCAGCACGAGATGAACGAATGTAACTTGTGTTGCCCTCACCTGGCCGACTGTACAAGACCGCAACTGGCCGTCCAGGTCTCACACTTGACGTCAAATAGCTGTTGAACTTTTCAAAGTGAATCTGCCCGTAGCTCTTGGCTCCCATAGATTCAAGTGAAACATAAATTACGCGACAGAGATCACATGCTCCCGCCCTTTTCGCCAGTGCTTCGATGTTATCAGAAAAGAAGAATCGATGGGACCAGAGCCGCTGCTGAAGGTCTTCGCATCGAGTACAAAGGGTGGCGATCGTGTTTGACAGTGGTAGTTGGCGAAAAATATCGACTTTGGACAACTCTCGTGCTGTGTTGACATCCGTACTGCACTCCCATTCATTATCAAGCTGGAAGAACATTGCTGATCAGAATTTGTAGCTCCTGTTGAGACTGGACGGAGCTTACTGGCTAAGTAGGGGTACACTGTCAGCATAAAGGTCAGGCAACCAGATGCGCAGGTCAAGGTTTTCAACCTTGAGTACCAAGACATACCGTCTGTTGAATCAGTGACCATTAGCAAAGGTCACATATCGTTGGTGGCTACTAACATACAAACTAGATGGGATATTAGCTCTTGATCGTGTATCATCAATATCCGAAGGTTGTCAAAGCAGAGTCCATACCATCTATGCCACGGAAGTTATTAGCCATGATCACTCAGCCTTTGATCACTATGGGCAGACGTACGTACTGTCGATGTCAGTATACAACATTGCAATCTGTGAGACAGGGGGTTCTTACGTCATTAGAATGGCCACTGTCATTTGCACCCGCCAAGTCGGCGTCGATGTCTACCAGCGAATTGGTTATTGGAGGGGATCGAGATCCTAGGAATGTTACTCTTCACCTCATGCACTAAGGCCGCGGCGACCCCCTGTACCTAATTGAGAAACACTCAAAGTGTCTCCGTATTGTCCCGGCCCCTTTGGAGACGCGGCCTGCCAATTCATCCACGCAATTTTGGGCTTTCTGCTCGAAGCTTCCGCTATGATACCAGCCAGCGTTTCATGCATTTCAGTAGATGTCGCTCGATAACGAAGGTCGTCGACGAGATTCCCATTGAAGCTGCTGTTGGTGTCCGATCGAATGATGCTTGGGTTATCTGGGCCATCGGTCGCATGTAGGGTAGTGCTGCCTTGAGCACTGGCGCTTCCAGATGAATCTGTCCTCGGCTTACTTACCTCTATGACTAGGAGTCGTGTGCATATGAGCTCCAAAACCTTTCGAATGGCAGTATTTGGTGGACATCTTGGGTCCCTTCTGATCCATTCCATCCACTTCTGGACGTTGGGTTTAATCCTGGCCGCCCCAGATACTCCAGCTCCAGATACATCGAAGAATTGCCGTGTTCTGTTCACAGGATGAGCTATGTCATCGCCAAAGCGAACCAGTTCGGCCTTTCCGTATAAAAGCCAAATCAGAAACTCGAAATAGATACATCCGATGGACCAGACGTCATACCGTCGCGATCGTGGTTGTTTCTTAGTTAGTAGCAATACAGCCTCAGGTGGCTCGTACATGACTGTCCCGTTCATCGTGCGTGTAGCCTCGTTCCGCATCTCGGTCGCTAAGGTGTGAACTTTAGCCAGACCAACATCCGCAATGACGAGGAATGGCTGAGAACTTGAATAAGATCTTCTGGTGTCTTCAAAGCAGAGAATGTTCTCTGGCTTGAGATCTCCGTGTCGACATGCAGAGTTCTGTGCTGAATGAAGCTTCTGCATCGCACCAGCCAGGCCACAGAGCTGGCCGAGAGCCCAGCTAACAAAATCCCCATCAAGCTTGCGAGGAGGCTCCCTTCCCCAATAGTCTCGGAGATTTCCACCTCCGGCCCACGGGAAAATAATATAGTATCGATCGCCCCTTCTGTAGTAAGCGATCGCTTTGATGAGGTGTGGGTGCTTCAATTCACGGATCATTTCCAGAACTTCTGCCTCAGCCTCGGCTACGCGCTCGTACTCGTCAGCCTTCATATTGACATTTTTCAGTTCTTTTACTGCTACAATCGGATGTCCGTTTGTGTCGACGGATAGGCGCTGTATCATGTGAGTGTCTTATCCATGAATTCTATAGCTGTTGGTATTCCTCTCACAGGGAATTTGGTTCGAACCGTAGGGTCCTGGGGGTGACGAAGTATCAATATCTCTGTATTGATTGATTCTGCGTGAGGAGTAGAAGGGAGATTCCAACCGGAGGTTGGGTGGGTAGTCGAGGTCTAAGTGTACCCCCTCGAGGTGGCCCATGCTCTGCCCCTACTCGCGGCCGAATTGGACTTCCAATCCGACACTGACTATCTCTCTCTTTTAACGTCTAACTGGTACGGTTGGAAGGATAATTCGAACGCTGCGAAGTCGTGTATCAGGCGTGTAAGACCAGTGCTGTCTAATGTGCCCCTTTCTCCTCCTGAGGTCCCTTCCGTGTGACCCATCCCTCCATTCGTACCGTGGCCTTCCCCTTGTCGATGAAGTGTTCCAATCCCTGGTTGGGGCTCGCTTTGGTGAAGGCGTCGGCGAGGTTGTCGTCGCCATTGATCCAACGGATCTCCATTATCTCGCGTCGTTCGTACGATTGCCGTAAGGCCATGATGTCGATCATAAGCCTCTTCTCCTTGGTGGTGCCCAACTTGACGAGGCATTCGTATAGCGAGTATGAGTCTGTACAAACTACCGTAGGTATCGTGGGTAAGTCTAGTCGATCGGTAATCCTTTTTAATGTCGTCGATATCGCGTGGGCGAGGTCGACGCCGTTGACCATACCGTAGACTTCCGACGCGAGGACGCTTCTGGTGACTCGCTTGCTCTTTGTCGACGAGTAATGGATCACATTGCCGTGGATGGAGAAACTGTCCTCCATCATGGTCTCGTTGGCCAGTATGATGATATAACCCAGTTGGGAAGTCAGATCAGCGTTGTTCGCGAATGACCTGTCGACGAAGACGTATAACCGGGTTGATGCCAATTCCAGGGGATAGTAGGTTAATCCCCTATCCAGGCGACTGGCCTGCCAGTTGAGCCTTTTGTTGAGAGCCGCGATATCCTCATCTGTTGGATCCGTGGCTTGTGCTGCCCTGGCGTAGTCGAAGGTGGCTTCTGGTTGACAGATGCTGGCGATGTAGGCGCCGCGCGCGAGCTCTGCGCGGTATCGTTGATGTCGATCCTTCGATGTCGGGTCCACCTTGGTAATCTTTTCCCCTTGCCCCTTTTGCCGGAAGACGACATTATCCCCTTCTATAGTGAGGATGCCGCCGTTGAATGCCAGCGGTTGGTTGGCAGTGAGGATTTCCTTGGGCTTGGCCGTGAACTTTGCCTTCTGGAGCTCATCGTCTTCCTTCTTCATGAAGTCGACGTTGGAGAGCCCCAAGGTGTCGTCCGTCTGCATGCCAACCATGCCAAAGGGCCCGTCTGCGTGTTCAGAGATGAGCAGGCACGGGTCGTACGTCGATGTGATCATCGATAGTTGGACGATGTGGAAGTCGTGATAGGTTGCCCACCAATGGGTGCCCGATTCCGCAAGACCGTACAATGGCTTGAGCACTTCGATAATTGTGCCTTCTGGGTACTTTGTGGCCATTTCCTTTGGCAATTGGGCAACGATCTTTCTCATGAGCCTGGTTGCCGATTGGGTATACGCTTGCGTAATATCTCGGCTCCATACGTGGAATCCCATTCGTATAAGTGATGCCATTAATGCCATCATGAGTCGTTGGCTACATCGTTGTACGGTGGGCGACTGCGTGAGCAGTCCTGCTTTCTCGACGTCGCCGTATCCCTGAATTACATGTCGTGATTTCTCGTAAGGGGTTGGGGTTCCTTTGCCCTTAACCTCACGTACCATACGCGACTTGAAGATGCGGAGGTTTGCGTGTTTGTCTGGGTCGTATAGAACGAATCGGTAGACCCCTCTGTCGCGCAATGTATCTGCTTCGACGAGGTCGGATCCCTCGAATGGCCTTCCCTCAGTGGTAATGATACCGTCCTTTCTTAGCTTGACTGCTAGCGCGAAGTCGGCCTTTTCCTTCGCTGTGTAATATGCGTTGACCTTCGCAAGATCTTCCATTGTGACGTATAATATGGCCCTATCGTTGTTGGTAAAGGACTGTCTCATAGGGGCACGTCGTGTCCGTCTTCGTCGTCGAGGCGGCGGCGTCGGCGATGGACTGTGCTGGGTAGGTGGCTCTTCGTCTTCTGCTTGTTGGTCGTCGGGTTCGTCGTCCTCATCGTCTGAGGGTGCTGCGACGATAATTTCGTCGAGGACAACTTCCTGCTCAATCTCAGGGGGTGGAGGTAGGTCTTCCCCTGGCTCTCCTCTTTCTTGTGGTTGATCTGCGATCTCCTCGTTGTCGTCTCTCAAGTAGGGTCGTACAGCAGTGATCGATACCTCCAACGGTTGGTCTCGATCTCTGGCTACGACGCACGATCGCTCGTCGACGGAGATTAGTCTGAATGGTCCCGTCCATTGATTTGTAGTTGACCTCCAGACTCTCACGTCTGAGCCTAGTGGCATGTCGAGGTTCGATGAGATGTCTGGTCCATTACGTGTAGCCAGGGCTTCATTGACTTGCCTCCTCGCATTGACCTCGCGTAGCGCCTTCATGGCCTTCTCGATGCCCTTCGCGCGCTGGACTACGTCTAGCGACGGTGGCGAGGCTGTGGTCGTTCTTGGATAAGCACCGAAGACGAGGAGCGTTGGGACTAGTCCTTCTGGTCCCATGGTATCATTGCAGCATTTGAATGCTGATTGGAGGCAGTCTTCGTCAGGGGCACCGGGATTCTCGTCTTTGATTATCTTGAATGCCCTTTTCAGCTGCTGATGTGCCCTTTCCACCTTGCCGATGCTGTGATGTGCCTCGACTGGTACCACTTTCAGTTGGATGCCGTATGATTTCGCATTATCCCTGAATTCCGTGGACTTGAAGCTGGTTCCGGCATCTGTTCTTATGCCGTCAGGTGGGCCGAGGTACGTGTCGATCCACGCTCTTTTGACTGCTGCCCACACCGTCTTCGCCTGGAGGTCGTCGAGGAACTGTCCACCTTGGAATGATGTGGCCGCATCAATGATGTGAAGAGCCGGCTTGCCGTTGAGGTAGAAGATGTCGATAACGATCTCCCAGTTGAAGTGAATCTCATCTTGCAACTTGAAGCGGAATCTCCGCGGCCTTTGGGCGTTCATTTGACATTGATGGCAGATTTTCGTGATGTGCTCCAAGGCCTCGGTCTCGACGTCGTTGCCCGACTGCTTGAGCAAGTTCTGTAATCTCGGGACGGATGGGTGCCCAAAACGCTTGTGTAATCTCCTGAGCTCAACCTCGGTCAAGTAGTATACCGACCTGCTTGCGGTCTCGAGCTTCATAAATGCGTGGCCCCATCGTCTTTCTACTTTTTCGAAGTGCGTGCCATTGGAGATCTGGTTCTTGAGGTTCTTGAATGTGATGCCTAACCGGTCCATATCTCTGAGGCATAACAGAAAGGGTGTATTGACCGGAAGGATATGGAAGGTCATGGTTCCGAAGGTGGTGGTGATGCTCACCGTACCAATTCCCACCAGTTGGTCCCCTGGGCCGAAGCTGATAACGGCGATGCCTGCCTTCGACCTGTCGAGCGCTGCTGGGTAGATCTTCTGTAGCGCTTCCAACTGGCCCTGTCCCCCGGTAGACCAATGCGATGCTCCGGTATCAGGGATAATCCCTTGGAAGACGTCTGGCCCGTACCTTTCCTGGGTATGGTATATCTGGGCCGTCCCCTCGTCTGGCTCATCTGGTGGATATAAAAAAGGGAGTAGTGAGGCCCCTGAGCTTGTCTTCCTTTTTCCCTCGGTACGGGTGTGATCACCTAATGCTTCTTCAGCTAGGTTGTGTTCACTCAAGGCTTCGCTAGATCCTTGGCTTCCTTCGTATAGGGCCGACGATCCCTTACTTCGTACGAATCTGCCTTGACAACCATGGAAGAATGCCTCCTCGTTGAGGGTATTGACCGCTTGCCTGTCATTCAGAGTGGAATATCCTCCTGACGATGAGGGAGCGAAGAAGACGTGTTGGACCTCGTCGACGTCGTCGAAATCGTTATCGACGATATCGTCGATTCTGTTAAGGAAGGGATTGATGTCCTCATCGATGTCAGATTCGTGATCAGGATCCCCTTGTGTGGAAGGGCCCTTTCCCTCGTAGTCGATGAGGAATTGCTGGAATTGGCCCGGGCTCGACTTGCCCTCAGTGCCTTTCGTCTGCTTGTATTTCTCGTACGACTTATCCCTTTCCTCTTGGGTATGGCTTGTCGACCAACAGCCGTCTTTCTTGCAGACCCAGCACTTTCCGCGAGGCTGATTTCCGCGTGGCCTGAATCTTGTGGCTGCTGTTGATCCTCCTCGTGTCTCTTGCTCATTGGATCGGTTGCCGTATCTGGCTTCCTTTCCCTTGCCGTTGTATGTACGGTCGACCCAGTGTTGTTGATATGGTGCGTCAACTGCTCGGAATTGCTGTTGTCTGGGCATCCTGGCCTCGATGTTGAAACTCGACCTCAGCCGTGAGCAGAGGGTCTCGTAGTCGGTTGGCGGTGCGTGCAAAGTCATCCTTGCCTCGGGGACTCGCTGGACCGCTGTACAGAGATATCCGACTTTTCTCTCGTTGGTTCCCTCCGTTGGCTGGGTCTTGGCCAACTTGTCGATCTTGTCGATAAGCTCCTCGAGAATCTCAACGCGTGGCTTGCCCTCCATTCCGCGAGCGATAGATCCATATGAAAGTGCCCTTAGCTCGGCGAGGAGCTCGAGGCTCCTATCGTGTGTCTCGAAGCGGCTTCGGATTGCGTCAACAACGCTGAGGAAGTCTGATTTGTCGAGTGTACGCACCGCGAGGTAGTAATATTCCTCTGCCTTACCCGTGAGTACAATCGTGATAGCTGAGTGGTATTGGTGTTCCTTGATTCCTGCCTTCTCGCAGTAGTCGTAGAACATGGTCAGGGTCTCTTGTAGGACCTCGTACTTCCCCCCTGCATACTTCTTCTCTTTTGGGAATATCTTCGTGAGGTCCGTTAATTGCCGTGGGTTAGCGATGATTGGATCCTGCTCCTCGCGTGATTCGCGTGGTGTCGAGTTGAATCGTTGGCTCTGTGTAGTTGAATGTGGTTCTATTCGCATATCACCGTTTTGGCCCATGGGTTGCGATGTCGACGGTAACCTTGGGCTTGTAATTGCAATTGGAGGAACCGTTGCTTGACGTACTTCTGGAGGTGGGCCGCTGTTGGCTTGTCTCATATAGGGGCCGATTGCGCCATTGGTGATCATCAAGAGAAATTCTGGCTTGGTAATGCGCTGCCTGAACTCGCTAAGCCGGTATATTGCGCGGTCGACTTGCTGTTGGTTCCAAGGCGTAAATTCTGATGCCGACAGTGTGGCTGCGAGGGTCTCGTGAGGTTCTCTCGTAGCTGACGAATCTGGTAATATGCCTCGGCCATGAAGGAATCTGACGACTTCTCTGACGATACCGTCGTTGGCGCTTGCAAACCATTTGCCTGGCCAGTGGCCGATATCATCGGTAATCTGGTAAAACAGGGGTTGCCCCTCGAGTCCTTGCTTAGCGTAGATTTCCATTAAGAAAACGAGGGCAGCGTCGACCCGCTCGTTATCTGGTGTATCCGATGGTCTGAAGGTCCACTTTCCCCAGTATGAGTTGTTGATGTCTAGCCACTTGAGAGGTATGGGTACCCTAGTCATCGCCATTCTGGTTGACTCGCTTATAACCGTACCCTGGCTAGTGCTCGTATCAGAGACAGTCGGTGTGTTTGATCTTGGTGGACTGGGGGTCGAGCCGCTTATCGGGCGTGGCAGCAGCAGACTGTCGTCGCTGGCCTGATTAGACGGGGTCTGGCTCGATCCCGCCTCTTCTTGCTGACGGGCGCTAGATCTCGTCGTTACTCCTGGCCTCGTTGCCGTGGGTTCCTCGGGCTCAGCCGCCATCTTGGTCTTCTTCCTTGGTCGCGTGGTGCCCTTTTGTGCTTTGGTCGAAGGGCTCGTACTTCACGCGTTGGAAGGTATAGTCGGTATATTGTCTCGCGGGCGTAAGTCGCAGGCTGCGGAAAATAGATATAATTGTCGCGCGGTCTGGTCGCGGTTGGTGTACTTGACAGACTTAAATTAGCGGTCTTCCCGCGATGAAGTCGGTATAAGTAAAGGGTCCTTCGTCGGTCGTCGGGCGCTCGAGGCGTCTGGCCGGTCGACCGTCAAAGGCGTTGCTGACGTGATGGACGCCTCCTCTCGTGAGATTCGAGAGGTCAAGGGAGCACGATTCCTCTATCCCGTTCGGTATTAGAGGGTCGCCTCTTCTGCTTTCGTGGGATGCCTTGCTGATCTGCGATAGTGGAATTTAACCACTGATCAGTGTTGGTATTCCTCTCACAGGGAATTTGGTTCGAACCGTAGGGTCCTGGGGGTGACGAAGTATCAATATCTCTGTATTGATTGATTCTGCGTGAGGAGTAGAAGGGAGATTCCAACCGGAGGTTGGGTGGGTAGTCGAGGTCTAAGTGTACCCCCTCGAGGTGGCCCATGCTCTGCCCCTACTCGCGGCCGAATTGGACTTCCAATCCGACAATAGCCATGACTTGGCCGAGGGTCTGTGTGCACTTACAAGTCTTGAGCTCTTCTCAAAATGAGATTGATGAATGGACCACTTTCCCACCGTGCTAAAATGACTTTCTCTATATCCATCAGGTTGCTCTAAGAACGGCATTGGGTGGTTCTTGCTAAACGAGTATCTGAATTGATGTTCGTTGAAGACCGGCCCAAGAAATCGCCACTGGGCGTCACAAAAGACCCACGCTGAAGTAACATGTTCCCAAAAGTCGTCGGAAAAAACTCTTTTGGTGATCTCAGAGTGGCCGGTTTCGGTGGAGCGGGTTCTCACTTGGCTGGTTTCGTCGATAAAGAGAGGTAGAATAGAATCGACAAAGTTTTTTTCGTAAAACAGGTCAATCCGTTCCGGGTGGCCAAGGCAGGCAAGGATCGCAAAAACCCTCCTTGCACCGGGCTTTCCACAGACGAAGGAGGCGATGTTTGATATAGTCTCTCGCGACTTGGTCGTTTTATATATGGAGGATAGTCTGTTTGTGACAAACTCCGTAGTTACCCTCTCTTCTAGGACGGAGCATGGGAGAAATTTACTACCCCCGCATGTTCCTGCAGGAAGCTGCGCCGATATCAATTGACGCTGGAAATCGGCCATCTCGCTGCTATGGCAACTTCCGTTGCTGCTTCTCCGAAGACTGACAATAGATGACTTCTTCCACAACTGTGACGGTATGCTCGATGTCCTCCTGGCATATATGGTGATTGAAGATACACGGCGCGAAATCGGTTTAGGCGAATGTTCGAGGTCCCGGTCTCTGTGCGGTGCGTCTACTGCTAGAGTTTTCCGAAGGGGCTGCCTGTGAACTTTTGTGACTCGATAGTCGTGCTCGGACACTTCGCCTTTCTTTGGCAACACGTTCAGCTTTATGTCGCCAATCTCTGCGTCTTGGCATGCTAATGGGTCCTACTCACATGTGATGGTACCCAACAACTACCACACAGCAGTGGTAAGCCTCGCATTTCAGAGATACTTCGACGAGTGGCATAGCCTCCACACGATGGATCCAGGAGAAGTTGGATCTTGTGCGATTGGACTTGTCCTGAGCATGCAGCAACGTACTTATGCAGACACGAGTTGGCGGGCTTAGTGGTTGATGTTTCCCGTTTCCATGACAGATTACGACTTTCCCCTCTTGTGCTCGGCCCGCACCCTCCACGACTACTTTATTGGTTCAGATCACCTTTTGGTGTACACCATCGTGCCTAGACTCAAGTCCAGCTTCTTTCTGACAGACTTGCAGTACTGAATGCAGCGTCGTGAGCACCTACTAGGTAGGTTATGGATTATCGATACTAGGCTCCAGAAAGATTTCGTCACTCAATAGTTGGTGATATTGGGAACGTATGGAGCACAAAGATGCTATACATTGTGGATCCAACATGATGATTTGCAAAGCAAAGACAAGATAAGTTGACCCAGGTCCGAAATACCATCTCCCATGCACACACATTTCATCCAACAGCTTCATGTTACCTGGCCTCCGTGTGCCGCTGAAGCTGGTGCGCGTGGTTCGCACGCTTGTTGCATGGATCAAGCTCAATCAGGCTCGGAGTCGAGAGGAAACGGATGTTCTCCAGACTCGGCATGCCAACTGCAACACTTACCCGATGCGTTCACTGCCAGTAATAGTGTGATGACTGCATGGCGCCAGATCAGGAAGCTGTGAGCATTGACTAATAGTCTATCAATACTTTAGCCCCATTCACACAGATCATGGTTTGGTGAACTAGACTTTTACTTCGGAATACGCGATTATTATAAAGAGTTGGACAAGAGATCGACATAGGCCCTAGGACATGCCATAACAATCCACGAAAACTTCCAGACCTCCCAAAGTCTCGAAGTGCCTGCTAGTCTCCACAGAAGAAAAGCAGCCCTGTGATGGAGTTTGTGTTGGGATCAGGCTGTGGGCATGGCATCTAATACCCTGACGTGCATGTACTGCGATGACGTGAGTTTGCCCAAAGTTGGTGTGTCTGCACAGCCAAGGAGGCGGGGTAGGTGCATCTTATCTTCTAACAGAACCTGCAGACTCTCTCCAGCGCCAGATCAGGCTGAACCAAGCAGCTTATCTTTCGTTTTGTGTAGGGTGTCAATACAAGAGTTCTTCATTGGACTACAGTGCCATGGAGGTGGTCTCCAGTCTGCGGCGCAACCATGAAGGGGGTGCCAGCTGACCCCGGGCACCCCCGACTGTATGACTGCGGATCAGCGAAGCGGCTCCCAGCGAGTCCCCAGATATGTCTTGGGTGGCCTTTCTATGTACAAGTTCTACATGGAATGTGTCAACTCTCGGGCAGTAGAGCGCGAAGATGTCGAAGCAACAGCCCAGAAAGACGTGGGTGTCCCTTCGGCAGTTTCGTTCTGATAGTTAGTCCAGCGTGGCGGATGCCTATGTGGCTGCCTTCATGGCCGCCTCAATTTACAGCCTGCTTTGACTTGTGCAATCGCCGCTCATGGTCAATACTCAGAGTTTCATAAAACCCCCGCGACTGTCGGTGATCCTGCTGAAACCAGCTTTGAACTCCAGTCATCTGTGAATGCCATCCCTAATACCTGACGTCCAGAAATGGCACCTCAACGACCCATGACTTCTTCATCTCTTTTTCCAAAGTTGAAAGACGCTCATCGACGTTCTTCTGTCATTGGCCAGGACTACCTGCCAGTCAGCAGTCTGTACGATCTCATCACCAAGGAGACCGTCGAAAAGGAGCTCCCTAGAAGCCTCATCAATAGGATGCTCCCTGATAGCCTCCCAAGCAAAATCTTGAAGAACGCAAGACGGCTATTTGCAACCCTTGTGATGATCGGAGAGCCTTCCGCAATTCGAAAGCTGGTCGGCGATGGTCTTACCGATGACGATTTGCCGTTTGCTAGGCCAACTCATGACCATCACGGTGGTATTTTGGAGACAAAGGGGAGACTGGAAGTCAGGTCATTTCAAGACTGGAACAACGAGGCTAAGGTGGATATGTTTCTGGAAAAGCAATGGGACTTTCTTGCCCCAACATTGGATGTCTCGGGGACATCTGCGGTCTTTCAAGTGGATTCAAAATGCCCGCTGCCATTCTTGAGGGCAGCCCCACTTCGGGGTGAACACAGCAATATTGTCTACAAGAGCGAGCTACATGCAGCTCACCAAACCGGTTCTGAGGTGAGTCCCTGAATTTGCTCCCACAGTGAAAAATCCAGGCGCTAACAACTGGTATGCGAAGGCGCAAAATACGGACATGGTAATCGCACTTAAGGTATTTCACAGGTCTGAAGGGTTTGAATTATTTGAGAAGGAAAAGGAGAACCTCCTGAAGACTCGCGGTATCGAAGACAGACATCTCATTCGGCACTTGTTCTTCTGCGAGAGAGGTCAGTCTTACTTCATAGCCTTCCCATGGGCAGAAGGGGGGAATCTCCAGGAGTTCTGGATGCTACATACGTCAAATCGGGAGTACATGCTGTGGTCTCTGCAACAGATGCTTGGACTCAGTGGTGCTCTCCGGAAGCTCCACGACATCAATTTCCGTCATGGAGACCTCAAGCCCGGGAACATCCTTCACTTCCCACACGGCGGGCTAGGTAATCTTGTTGTTGCAGATGTCGGGATTTCGAAGGTCCACACAGCTGCTACATATGAGAGATCCATAAGCACCTTCACCAGAGCGACTACACCTTCATACGAAGCACCAGAAGCCACTCAGAAGACAAATAAGCCTAGACCTCGCAGATACGATATTTGGTCAATGGCATGCATTTATCTCGAATTTGTTATCTGGATGATTCACGGGTTCAGTGCCATCAATAGCTTTGCCGAATTCAGGGAGGACAGGACGTCCATTATCCCAACTTCAAACTTTTACGCGCTTCGGGGAGATAGTGCGGTTATCCATCCTTCGGTACTTGAGGCGTTTGTAGCTCTGCGAGGCGATCCCCGCTGCGGGGATGACACAGCGCTAGGCGCCGTCATCAATCTAATCACCCAGCACTTGCTCTTGGTTCAAGTAGACGATCGCGTTACCGCAGACATTTTGTACGAGAAGCTCGAACAAATCGTCCGTCGCGCTACCACAGACCCCTCTTTCATAATGAATCAAGCAACAGCTCCCCAGGAGAAACCAGCTGTATTCGGGCGGCCGGTTAAGATTCCCGCATGGTTGAGAAAAGCCACCAGCTGGGAGCAACAGGAGATTTAAGCTGGAGGATATGTTTTGTTCTCTGTGTTTCACTTTTGACCGAGGTCTTCGGCGGAAAATTTTGACCTAGGCACGATTTCTTTTTTTCAATCTGATCGGCACTTTTCGGACGTTCGGGACGATGTGTTCAGTTCACTTTTCAAATGAGTAATACTCTCTCGGAGTGGATGATTAGGCACCAGCCCGCGATACAAGTAACAAACAGTGATCTCTTTCTCTTCACCAATATATTACGGCACACAGTTCGCTCGCAACATTTCAACGAGGGCTAAGGTAGCACATGATAGCCGTCAAGCGCGAGTCGTTCTCATAGGTACCTAGTCAAAAAAGCTAATGGAGTCTTGGTTCCATTGCCTAACTACGATAGCTACATGTATCAAATAAGCCTTCCTCTGCGTGACAGACTTCTTCCAGAAGATCTGCCCGCGGTACTAGGAGATAGGTCATAACCTATCCTCCAAACGACAAACTACCTCTATTAAGAAACCAGATGGTTATAACGGAACTAGGGTACCAGTGGGAACTAGGGATGGATAGAACACATAGTAGCTCACGAGCAAGATTTGGAGGACGTCAGGATACGGCGTGTACTATATAGTATATAGCTAGAGCCTGCGACCCTTCACGCCACATACCCTCCGGGAGGTCTGCCGCAAGGGCGGCTGCGCCCTTGCCGCCATGGCGTTAAATATAAAACAAACAAACAAACAAACAATGTATCAAATAATGGGTAAAATAATCAAAGAGTCTAGGTCCCCAAAGTATTCTGGAACATGTGTGCTGTCAAATTGTTTTAAACTTACCTCGTGACCCACGGGGATTTACTGACGGCGGAGTCTTGGAGACCAGGGGCTGGAATTCGCTGAATGACGCTCACCTTCGCGTGACTTGGAGCACGACGAATCCGGAGCGCAAGCAAGAGAATGGGACCTGGCGCTTTGGACATTTTACGCTGTTCCATAACATCTTGCAGACGACGGGGGAGCTATTACGGGAGGTGCAGGCGCTGGTCGCGCAGTTGCGTTAAATGATGTGCTATGAGTCTAAGAAAGGGTACAATCTATATGTTGGATTCACAGGTCGAAAAGGAAAATACTCGAGTATCGTGGGTAGCAACGATCACCGACTGTAGTGGTGATATTGCTTGTTCTTGTTGTTGTTGAGTGGAAGTCTAACCAGGTGCCAGCGGCGGCAGGAAGTCTGGGGTATACCACCTCGTGTGGCTGAGCCACACGGACCACCGTGGCTGGAACGGACCGCGGCAGCAACCTCCTGCTGCCTAATGTAGGCCTATTCCAACACTATAATTTCCCGCTACTACTATATTTGAAGAAGTACCTCTATCGCTTTGTGCTTGACGGGGTTGGGCATTGTGCAGAGTATTATTGCGCTTCATTTTGTCCCGTCGTCAACGACGGTGCTGTTCCTGACGCGAACGAGAGCTTCGGCGCTAGGGAATGCCTGGCAGACTGTTGCGCAGGTTGCCTCCTCGCATACCAAAGAGTAGTTGATATGGCGGATAGGATGATGGGTGATGAAACTAGAGAGAGGATACTTTCGACGGGGACGGACGCCTTTGGCGTTAGAATTCGCCGCTCAGCTGATACAGGCAGGGTGGAAATAGGCCCGGCAGCTGTACAGGCTCGTCGCTTGCTTGGTCGAGACCGTAGCCGAATTTCTGAGATAAAAGCTACTTCTTGTCAGAACAATCATACGGAATCTCCAAGCTGTGGCAGGTATTAGTCTCGCCCCAGTTCCCTAAGTCAAAACTGACGGCCCTTGGTTTTCCATCTCCAATTCTGTTTTCGACACTTGTGAACATCGAGATATCCGTAGTCGCCGCTAATACCTAATTTCGTCCGAACGCATGACGAACTTCCAATCACACGCAGAATCCGGCTGACCGCCTGTTGGACCATATTTTTTTTGCACACATATATTTGGGCAAGCCTGTTTCCGAAGTGGAGAACTGCGGTGAATCATTCAACTAACGAGCCCCATCTTAGGATGAGCATCTCATAAGCGGAAAAAAAAAATACATACCCCTTTTACTCAGCTTCTACTACTGAAGCAAAAAGTCTTCATCATTTCGCTAGCATCGTGATACAAAATTTCCATTGCTCACGTGTAGTGGAAACCCGTTTCTTGCCGGTCGGTCCAGGGCTCCGGCACGTGGGGACCAGCTACATGACTCAGGCGAGTGAGGTCCACGTTCCTCTTTTCAAAAGGGGTTGCCACTCATGACCTAAGCCTTCCGTTAACTCAAGAGTCTAGACCGCGCCCCCAGTGGACCGCGCAAACCAAACATAGCGCCGAAACCGAACATGTTGCTCTCGATGAGGCGGTAGGACTGGGCATGGAGTTATAGGAAGACCCTTGGTTTAAGCCCCTGACGGAACAGATATTTGCGGCAGTAGAGACACAAACAAGACGTCTGGTTGGCTGAGCTCGGATGACAGCACGCTACAGCGAATCGGGTGCTTCCGAGTGGGACACACATCATCGAGGGGAACTCTTGAGTCTTATGCAGGATCTTCGGGTTGGCCCTTAGGCCCTGATCTCCTCGCGTCCAAAGCCAATTGCCAGTTGCCAGTGCTGATGTAATCGGTGCATAAAATCAACGGAAACCCCTTTTCCGTGATGCCAAACCTCTTCTGGCTGTAGTTTGGCTGCCGGATCCGGTCTCTCATCTACGCCAAAGTTATGCAATGTTCTTTTCTGAATCAGTGGCTGAGACAGGCCGGAGATGGTATAGTTGTTGCCAAAAGGGCTGATTCCATGCTCAGAACTGGTTTTCTGAGAAGCTGTGCCTGTTGCCAGTTCTGTTGCCAGAACCCTTCCCGCCGCTGGAAACACGTATTATTCCCCCCGAGGCTCAACGGCGCCCCGGCAGTGGCCCGGTGCTACGGCCCAATACGGCGGTACAATTGCTCTGCGGGGCCGTGGCACTTCCAGTGGCGCTGTACCCTCTGGCGACTGGCAATTGGCCTTGGCCGCGAGGAGATCAGGGCCTAAGGCCGTGCTACGGCACTAGTTTTCTTGCAACCTCATGGACAGCTCCGTGATACCTATTGTGTCATCTCGACCGATATGGCGGTTTATCACCATTTCCGAAGGCCAGCACATCAGCCGAAAGACGCGTCAAAGAGAAAACGGAAACCCCATGACGACATGTGCATAGTTTCATATTGCATACCATCCGCAAGCCAAGACCGCGCAGGGACTCACAGGGAGTCCCCTGGCGAATGACGGCAAGCATCCCCGATTTTGTTAGGTAATAGGAAGTCGGTGCCTCGACGAACTTGCGCCAGACCATGGTGTGCTAGCACGTTCATGGAAATTCGATCTGCTGCTTCTCGTGGAGCGGTTTCGAGTGGAGTTTGATGGATACGAGAAAGTATTTCCGGTATGTGAACCTTTCCAGGTTACCGGAGGGTCCGGGTGACAAGCTGCCGACGTCGTGAACCGCCGGTCCGGTTCGACTTATAAGAAAGGGGTCTTCCCCCATACTTTTCCCCACGATCCACTTGTGCCGTCTGAACTTTTCTTTGGTAATATATTGTGCTTTTGTATCTTGGTTTTCTTCTTCTCGCGGCTCCATCCTACTCCGCTGCCAAGTTGGAAGATACTCGCTCGTTCTCTGAACGTCGATGCAATGGCGGGAATCTCACAGTCCTCTCCCGATGACGACCCTGGCCCCGAGCCCGGCGGTGTCGGCTCGGCCTCAACGGCAGCACCTGAGCCGGTGGAATCCGCTTCCGAGCCAACATCCGGCTCCGACACGGCCGGGACAAGCACCCCTTCCGAGGCCGCAGCTGCAGCCGCCCTAAGAAAAGAGAAAGGCCGCGTCAGATTTAACAGTAATGCAGCCGCGACTAAGCCTCCAACATCACCACCACCAGTTCCAACTACACCCAAGCTTGCTCCGGCACAGCCTACTAGACCATCCATCTTACGAGGCGGCTCCGGCAGTTCCATCCCTACTGTGGCTACCTTTGCCAAAGAGGAACCCCATATTGCGGATGAAAATGAACGCCAAGAAGCCAAGTCTGCCGCAGCAGCAGCCCAAGAACGAGCCCGGCAAATGGCAGAAAATGTTCACTCCGGCTCGCCGACCCGCGAGAATCGAGACTCCTTCGAGTCCGCGACCACCACCACCGCAAGCGAGTATGACCTCGGAGGAGCGGAGGGAGCTGGAGGGTACATTGCTCTCCAAGACCTTCACTCTCGTCAGCCACTCAACGGCAAGTCTGCCGAGGCCGAGAAGAAAGCTCACGAGCACCAGGCCGCCCTCAACGACGAGGCTTACAAGATTGTGAGAGCTCACACCTGGCGCCTTGCCGAGAAATCCGAGAGCGTCGCCGGCCCATCCAACGCCCAAGATGCAGAAATGCACAAGGCCACTGAACACCTCCTACAAGAGATCAACGATGGTCAATACGATGGCGTCTACTCTGTCCCCGCACCCACAGAGTACCGCGGAAGTGTTCTTTCACAGCTGCTGAAGCTTTACAAGCCTGCGGAATCAGGCAATCAGTACCAGTCGTCCGGGCAGACCAACCGCAGCTCCGTAACTTCTTTCTCATTCGGTGGACCGCTGCCGGGAGCTGGCACGCCAGGCTCGAATTCAGGCACCGCAACCCCGACGACACCCAAGAAGAAGAAGTGGTACGAGGCGAACCGCTCTCAGGAGACTCTCGTCAACCTCATCGAAGCATCCGCCCGCCTCGCTAACCCCAACACGCAAGGAAAGCCAGACGAGTCACCAAAGAATGGCAAAGCGCCAGCTAAGAAGACACGCCCGAAGCACAAGCGGACTGCAAGCAACTCCATCGCCGCGTACCTGGCCAGACAGGAAGAAGAGGCCAAGATCACCGTCCATATCGCCGAAACGCTTTCCAGACAGGAGTACATTATCACGCTCTGCAAGGCATTGATGTTGTTTGGTGCGCCTACTCATCGTCTTGAGGAGTACCTTAGCACAACGGCCAAGGTTCTTGAGATCGATGGCCATTTCTTGTATCTTCCAGGGTGCATGATTGTCTCTTTCGACGATCGATCCACCCATACGACCGAAGTCCGTATCGTCCGCGTAGCCCAGGGTATCGACCTCGGAAAGCTCAGGGATGCGCATCACGTATACAAAGAAGTCATTCACGATGTCGTCAGTGTTGACGATGGAATCCAGCGGTTGGACACCCTCATCGAAGCCAAGGATAAGTTCCACGCCTGGATCCGAGTCCTCGTCTTTGGCTTGACCAGCGCGACTGCCGCCCCCTTCTCGTTCGGCGCTCGCATGATCGATCTCCCGCTCTGCTTCTTCTTTGGCTGCCTCGTCGGTTTCTTACAGCTCATTGTGGCCGCCAATTCCAAGTTGTACAGCAACGTTCTCGAAGTAACGGCAACTGTCTTGGTAAGTTTCCTGGCACGAGCCTTCGGCAGTATCAAGGGCGGCGAGCTCTTCTGCTTCTCGGCCATGGCCCAGGGAGGCATCGTCATGCTTCTACCTGGATACTTAGTTTGTAAGTGAACTCTTCGCAATACCCCACCGTGTTATCCCACCCTAGCTGTATCTCCTTTGTCTCTGCGCTTCTCGCGTACGTGTTGGGGATGCTACTTGCCCACGGGCACCAAAACCCTAGGACAAGCCGCTGATGGCCCAGTGTGTTCCGCCCTCGAGCTTCAGTCCCGCGCCATCGTTCCCGGTTCGATCCGCATCGTCTACGCCATCATCTACTCCCTCTTCCTCGGCTTCGGCATCACCATCGGCGCCGTCCTCTACGGCATGTTCGACGAAAACGCCGTCTCCACGACAAGCTGCACCAACTCGATCCCTACTTACTACACCTTCATCTTCGTGCCCCTCTTCGTCCTCTGCATCAGTATTCTGTATCAGGCAAAATGGCGCCAGATGCCTGTCATGCTCGTCGTTGCCTTCGCCGGCTACATTGTCAATTATTTTAGCAGCTTGCGCTTCAGCGCCGCGCCGCAGGTCGCCAATGCCCTTGGCGCGCTCACCGTCGGTGTCCTGGCGAACCTGTACTCGCGTTTGAGGCATGGCGTTGCGGCAGCCACGCTCATCCCGGCCATCTTTACTCAGGTGCCCGGAGGTCTGGCATCTACCGGAGGACTGCTGAGTGGTTTGAGTGCGGCCAATGCGATCACCAACTCGACGCACGCTGTCAATGGTACAAGCTCTGTTCAATACTCCGGAGGCGAGTCTCTGAACACGGTCGTTTTCAACGTCGCCGCCTCCATGATCCAGATTGCTATCGGTATTGCCGTTGGCCTGTTCATCAGCGCGTTGATTATCTACCCGCTCGGCAAGCGCCGCAGTGGTCTATTCAGTTTCTGAATGTATACCACGCTCCACGCACGGCATATTCAACTGCAACTCCGTAGTCTTCTCTTCAAGTCCTGTTCTCTTTTCTAGCATCATGTCTAGCCTTTCAGTCCATCGTACTCCACTGGACCATTCCATGTAGTTCAACAACCAGAACCAGACCGGTAGAGGCCCCTGCCCTACTTCAAGGTCTTCCAAAGCGATCATAGCACCAGTCCTCCAAGAGGAAACAACAGCAAAAGTAAAAGTCATGTACGTATGTAGATTATTACAAAATTGGGGGAATGCAAGGCGTTGGGGTGGATAGTAGGGAATTCAGTCGTTACCGACGATCTCGTGCTCTATTGCCAGCCGCCCTTGATGTGATGAAAAGCCTTTCAAGAGCTCTGATGGCGCGAATCTCATAGTCATCTATGAGACTTACCAGATCCCATTAAGAATCTATCGTCCATCGTGAAGCACTAAGCAGACAGCTCAAGGGTATCTTGCGCTATGCACAGGGAGAATCTGGCACAAGATCAGGTTCCTAGAAGTAAAGTCAATTATCGGGTGCAATGGAGGCCGAGAGGACTACCTAGGTGTCGCAGCGCCAGATATAGCGCTGCCGACTACTGCCGTACGATACCGCTTTCCACAAGCCGATTACCCGTCTTATACGGTAAATAGATACGACCCCCATACGGGTCTCCTACTTGAGAAATCAAGCCAATATCCACTATATATGTTTTCTACTTGCTACCTCGCTTTGTGATACTAGGTATATTGATGTTACGGCAACAGCGTTGGACAAGAGAAACGTTGAGGGGGAATTGCCTATGAGCAACACCAGCATCGAACGGTGTCTCTCACGGACCAATAGCTTCCGATGAGATATCATAAAGTAATTAATGTTATCTTCACGTGAGTTTTATCTGGCGATACCTACCAAAACCATCCGGTTGGTCCCTCTGAGTGATACCCCATATTATTATTGGAAGCAGGAAGTCGAGCGAGCGATCGAGCATCGGCATACACTAGCCTTCTCAGCCGCAAGTGTATCGCAAGCCGCACTGCTTTTGAGGCACGTTGAACGTATGCTTCCTGACTCCTGAATCCTGATTACATTTGAGATCATTTGGAGGAAAACGCCTTGAATTCTGAAATTGAAATAACCAGCAGCGCGACCAGTGTGGCATTTCCGCAAGTCACGTAGTACACCTCCTTTTGACTCAAATACCAATCCGATTCCAGAAAACAAAAAGGAGAATGGCGTCTACATGTAAGTGGTGCCTCCCAGAAACATGATTCATCCCGAATCCATGAGGCTTCTACACATGGCTGCGTGTGCGGCCGTATTTGCAACCGCAGGACGGAGGCGTTCTAACAACGCGGTCGTTATCCTTCGTGTGACCATGTCCTTCATGAAGTCTGGCGGAAGTAAGTGTCGGTCCAGGCCCCCCAACTTTAAACGCTTTCAGCATCGAAGGGTTTAGTCAGTCATCCCGGATCCGCTCCTTTGCCAAAGAGCTTGTATCCGCTTTCCGGGTTCAATCAGGCTGAAGGGTTCCCGACTCCCCCAAGTTCATGGGTCATGGCTCAAGCAAAGCCATGGCTCATTGAACCCTTCTTTGATTCCTTATCTCACTTCTGAGTCGAGAGTGAGCTTTGGCGACATTGAACACTGGCACCCTGATGTGATGTCACTTTTGTGGGAGGCTCGCCACTCACACAGGCAGAAGGGCAGCTTCAACAAGCATCTGAAAATCAGGGTGTCAGTGGCTCGCGATCCATGGTTACACACGTCCGGAAATCATCAAGTCTTATTGCGAGACCACAATCAGAGACATACAGTTCGGAATCGGAGTAAAGAGAACTTCTTCGGCGCAAATAAGAGACAGGGCCAAGCTATTGTGAGACAAAAAACGCCTCCGGCCGATTTCCACTTTCAGGTTCACCCCAACTTATTCAGTGTGAGGTGTCAGCCCGTCCGAACGAAAGCGTCAACTCTATTCGGAAAGCTAAAATGACATAGATAAAGTGCCCGGTTCTAACGATTTTCGATCAAATAGCCTCGATCTACCGCCACTTTTAGCTTGCTGCAAACAACGTTCCTCAAGCAGATTGGCCTACCCGAAGGCACTACGCTGTCATACCGGCTGGCTTACACGCACTTACACCAGCCGCATCGCTCGCCTCACTCCAAAAGCTGCCACAGGTCATCGATGCGAAGAGGGCTTTCCCTATAGAGGCTTGTGGCTCGGAGGCCGAGACGGATTTTGATGCGGCTTGCGTTCTGGCCATCGTCGCTAATCAGTTACGGATACAAAGAGGGCATCGTCATTTACGGCTTAATACCAGGTGCGAGGACGTCGGCACGCAGCATTACATCCCGCACTTGTACAGACGAGGCTCAAGGAGGACGATCATTACATACACACTGCGCCGGCAGCCTGTCGAAGCTTGTATAACAGGTCTGGAACCACCTTTCTCGACGTCCAGAGTACATACTTATCTGGTCCCCTAATTATTGACTCTGCTCTCTCCGCAACCCTAGCCAAGGGACACTTCATCTCTTAACAGGGTGCTGGGCCATCATCGGTCATCATGCGGTTCACAAACCCATTCTCGCATCCTCCACGGGACACTTATGAGCGACATTCTCTCATCACCGCAGAGCAAGATGGACGAGCCTCGCCTTCAACAGAATCGCTGGACGAGATCATCGACATCGAGAAGCATGAGTACCCCTTCTTGGTCTCAGTGAGATCCGCAAGGAACTCAGTGTCCTCGTTTCTCAACGAACACCTTCACCTCGGGGGCGACCTAACATGGACGGATCGCCTCCTCACACTCCTCACCAAACTGAAGCCATTCATCTTTCTCTTCCTCCCCACCTTTTTCGTCAGCCCCTTCAACTACTTCACAACATCCTCAACCCAGCGCCCGAAGTCAAAGAAATTAGGCCCAACAGCGTACCTAGACGGTCTGCGCGGCGTCGCAGCCTTCGTCGTCTACATCTTCCACTTCTCCTACCTCTGGTACCCCGACCTCCGCTGGGGCTATGGCCTCGGCCACGAGATGTTCTGGCAGATGCCCATCATCCGGGCCCTACACTCCGGCCGCGCCAGCGTTACCGTCTTCTTCGTTATCTCGGGATTCGTCCTTACACTCAAGACGCTCACAATGATCCACAAGGGTAAAATGTATCAGGCGTTTAGCGCATTGGCCGGCTCAGCATTCCGCCGCCCGTTTCGACTGTACCTCCCTATCTTCGCGTCGACGTTTATTATTGCGCTCTTGGTATATGGAGGGGAGTACATACGGGACCCTTCGGGAGCACCTGTACCCCCCGGGGCCCGACTCTCGACCAGCAGTTACATCACTGGTTCTGGAGTACGGTGGACTTGATGAACCCTTTCCGAGTTATCGTGAATCGGGAGAATATGAAGGGAAGCGAGTACGATGGGCATCTCTGGACGATCCCCGTCGAATTCAAGGGCTCGTTGCTCGTCTTCTTCCTCTTACTTATTTTCGCTCGAGCAAAGAGATGGATCCACATGGTTGGCGTCACAGGCGTCACAATCTGGTTAGTCCGTATCGGCGATTGGGACCAAGCTCTCTTCTGTGGCGGACTCCTTCTCGCAGAGCTCTCCATTATCCTCCCCAGCACCACCCCGACGACAGCAGAGATACCCGAAGATGAGCTCCCTAGTCACAAACTGCGCGTCGTCAAAAGAGTCGGCTCGAAATCTCTCCACATTATCCGCCACGTCGGCACAATAGCCCTATTCTTCCTCGGTCTGCATCTCTTCTCCTATCCCGAGTACTACGGTGCCTCGACCCCTGGCTTCATCACGATCTCGCAATGGGTACCGGACTACTACAAGGCCATGGGCGACCGCACCCAACTGTTCTGGAACTCCATTGGTGCCATAATCTTCATCTTCGCCATGATGTATTCTCCGCCCGTACATGTATCCTTCAACCTGAAGGCCATGATTCTCAGGGGTCGCAATATCCGGCTGCCCTGGCATCAGACAAGTTCAGACCTCAACGACACCGAAAAAGAAGAGATTGCGGCGGCTGTGTCCTCCTCTTCCACAGAGGCCGAAGCAGACATGGAAAGAGCCGAACCTCTCCTTCAACGCCCCTTCACCACCAGTTTCGCCCAGTACCTCGGACAGATTTCCTACTCGTTGTATCTATGGCACGGCGCCATTAATCACATGGTCGGAGTCAGGTGGCTATCACCAGCGCACACAGCGTTGCAGCTCGCTGGTGCCCAGGCCAAGGTGCTCACGGAAGGTGGTAACGCCGCTGCTGGTGCTGAGATGGTGAACAAGGCATGGAGTGCGTACGCGCTTGCGTTCTTCTGGGGGTCCTTGGTGAATACACTGGCGTTGTTTTGGGCGAGCGATGTGTTTAATCGGATAGTCGATGTGAATGCTGTGAGGTTGACTCGCTGGCTTGGCGAGAAGGCTTGGAGGAAGGATTGATTTCCAGGGGTAGTCTAATCTAGTTCGCTAACCTTGCATTCGTGTCAGCATAGCCTTATCAAATCAAGTTTAGCCATGTTATTTAACTCGATGGCCCTACGAAGTACGTCGGAGAGTTCCCCAACCTCATGTGCAGTATTCTGGCTTAGAAATCGCTCGCTAGACTCATGCAACATTAGACCATGCACTCTTTTCATCCACACGTAGACAGGTTGCGGTGACGCCTCTCAATAGTATCGTTTCATTTTATACAGGAAGTGATCACCCCGAGGCTGTCTACGCCCGCTGTACTCATAATTACCAGTTTCCAAGCTTGTCATCAAATTATGCCGCCGTGAATCCGCATCCAGTTTTCCCGCTCTCATTAGCAACCGCCGTCGCCGAGCAAACTCCCTTGGGCCCGGCACAGCATCCGGAAACACAGTCCGTGTTCGACAGACATTGGCCGGTAATAAATTGCTGCCCATTCCCTTTGCCAACATTCTGTGAGCCAGGAGTGCCCGAAGAGCCAGCACCTGCACCTGCAGACGGAGCAGTTTGAGGCGGCGCCGCAGCCTTAGCCGCGGCGCCGCCGCCGGTGGAGGTAATGGCGGCACCCGCTCCCGTGCCGGTGAAGCCGCACCCCGCCTTGCCATTCTCTGTTGCGACGGCTCTGGCGGCACAAGCACCCTTGGGACCATTGCAGCAGCCCGAGGCGCAGTCCGCGTCAGACAAACACTGCCCCGTAATGAACTGCTGGCCGTTACCGGCACCCACGTTCGACGATGTCCCTGATCCGGCGCCGCCTCCACTCCCAGCGGCTGCCTCCATGGACGGTGTGGCCTGACCTGCTCCTTGGGACGCAGCAGGGGCAGCAGCAGCGCCACCATCACCGAATCCACATCCTGTTTTGCCTGCTTGGAACTGAGCTCCGAGTCCGGAGCAGATGCCGGCGCCGTTCAGGGTTGCGCAGCAGGTCGACGCGCAGTCTTTGCTGTTGAGGCAGGCTCCGCCGATGAACTGGACGCCGTTGCCATTGCCGACGTTCTTGTCACCAGATGGGTCTGGCGTCAGGGGGTTGGGGATTGCAAGGGCAGAAGCAGCGACTGGGGTATGTTAGTCAGAGCTGGATATTGGGGTGACGACGACCCGGAGACGGGAGATGCGGGAGAGAGAACTTACAGAATGCTGCGGCAAGAGAGAAGCGAACCATGATGTAATGAGAGTAAGAAGAGAATGAAGTACTGTCAAAGTACTGAAGTATAAGAAATACAAGAATGAGATGTAAGTGATCGATGCTGGCGCTTTGAGTTAGATTCAAGTCCAGCTCGCGGACATCTGCCATCTTAAGTATGTTCCCCGTCTCTCCATTCTTTGACGATGATATATCAATCCGAACATTCCTGCACACCTGCCAGGGCTCTCCGCACTTGCTGATGCTTCCCGTCTGACAAGCAGGTTAGTCAAAGATGCGACGCAGGTTTGTCACAGGGGCACGTTTCTGCAACTGAGGCTGAGCAAGTGAGCAACCAGAAAAGATGCAGCTGAATGACCAACATCTTTCTCTTTTCGTTGCGTAGGAATGCTGTCAAGATTCGGGACCGCCACCCGGGGATCCTGATGCCGTCGAAGCCCCATGAGACCAGATGATCAGAGACCATGGCGCGGCGTGGACCAGTGAGGTTGTCGAGGCTGACGTTGGAGAACTGGGTCGCAGACGAGGCCGTCCCTGTCGTGCTAATGTTTCGGATGGGACGAAACATCGGCGAACGGCAAACGGGCCTAAACGCGCTCTCGAGCCCCTGAATCAGGGCCACCGACAGCTGCAGAAAAAGAATCGTCGACTTGCCTCGGTGCAGAAGAAAATAAGCAAAATATGGGATCCGTAGAAATTCTGCATTGCACAGGAGCCCCTCCCCTGCCACGATCTTCCGACGATCCAGGTTTCCCCATCTTCACAGGTAGCGTGCGGTCCAAGCCCGTAATGGCAGCTCATTCGTCTGTTGTCTTTGGTCTGGCTGAGACCAGCATTGCGAAACGGGAGAGGCTGTCAGCTTGGTGTGATCTGTCCGATGATGGGCCGTTTGAAGCGAAGGCTCTCCTATTATTCGCGAAGATGGATTCGACTCCACGGTGACCCAACATCTAACCCCATTCTTCTGGGGTTGGATGTGAGAGAAGTTGTAGTCTGGGGACATGGTGCGGATGGATGTCTGGCCCGCCTCAAAGCATTGAAATTCCCGTCGACTATCCAGTACGGCCATATGTAATACCTGATCTAAGCCTCGCAGTGTGTTGTTCACATCTCGTAAAAGGAGGTTTGGGAATCCGTGGTGCTGCCTGGGCGAGATCCTTGAAAGGGGCAAACCCGAGTAACGTTGCTTCACGACGTGACGTAAAAGGAACGCGACGGGCTAACCATCATGCCGATTTCAGTGTTTAAAATCATCTTTCGAGAAGAATGATTTTCCCGTGGCATTGTTAAGACAACATGCCAAGAAGAAGACAGACGTCGTTGGATGTCAAATGTTCAGCAGAGTTTCGCGAAGTTGCGAGGATCAGCCAAGCGGTGCCCTGTGAGGAGGAATTGACTTTCCTACAGCGCAGGGGCTCTCCTGTTCAGTGCTCTTTTGGCAGCTTCGGGGGATCCAAGGCCTCCCGAGGTCCACTCCACTGCCCTGAGCTGAGCTACCTTACCTTACCTTACCTAAGGTACCTTAGGTACCTTAGGTGAGGTGCCCTGCCCTGAGGTGGGCTGCTGGCGAAGCCTCTCTTATCTTATCGCTTATCGATGGGCCATCTTATCGTTATCTCCTCTCCACCGGTGACGAGGTGTCCCTCCCTCCTCCATCGGGCGAGACCTTGTGAATCGCATCTTCATCTCATCACCGAACTTCGTTCCAGAGGCCATGACGAGAAACATTGCCGCGCAATAAGCTAATTCCGGCATCCCCAACACACAAAACCCAACAGGGACTGGGTGCTTAGCCATGCAAAGTGGCTGTTGGCTTGCATCCTTCGCTGCTTCCCCGGCAACTCTGATTGGACCACGACACAGGCTTCAGTTGCATCACTTCTTCCATTGCAGCAACTCGCCCAGGGTCTACCGGCGCATCCGCGGTGTTGATCTGGCTCCTGGAATACTCCCAACGGCTAACCTGCATTTGACACCTCCCAAGACGCACCTTGAACCTCAAAGCTGCATCGCCCTAATCTCGCCCTATCCCATCTTTGGATCCGTCGGCCGATCCTAGCTAAGACATGTCGTTGGCTGGAAGCAGTCGAATCCCCCCTCCCTCAGGGTGCCTGAGCAGTGACATCAGGTATCCCAACATTCCAGGAGGACCCCGCTTGATGGCTTGCGGAATTCATCGCACCCTTCCATCCTAGTGTCGACTATTGAACTGCTTCTACTTCAACATTGGGGCCAATTACTGCGTGAAGGACTCAAACCATAGAATTGAATCATCTTCGATATGGCTACGCCAGCACAAGACGTCGTAGTGGAACCGGATGACTTCAATGACAACGACTCTTCTCTAGGAGATGTCGGCAACGTACGATCCCTCCACGTCCTCGCCAAGGTGCTTTCGTGACTGATAGTGGCCGTAGGATGGAACCTCCTCAACCGCAAGTTTGAACAGCTCAATTCTCGACTATCGCAAAGAGAATGGCCGCACCTATCACAAGTTCCGTGATGGGAGTCAGTAGTGACGCTTCAGTATGCTCCTTGCTCCTTCACTGACACCCTGTGAGAGTACCACTTTCCAAACGACGAAGAGGAAAACGAGAGATTGGGTTAGTTTTGCTGAACACCTCCTCCATTCGCAAGACTGATACTAAGCGAACGCCCGAAGACCTTCAACATCACATCTTCGACCTCTCTTTCGATAGCAAACTCGGGCTGTCGCCGCCAAACGAGCCCGAATCCAACGTTGGCCGCGTATTGGACCTGGGAACGGGAACGGGCATCTGGGCCATGGATTTTGGAGACGAGCACCCTGGGGCCGAGGTTGGTGTTGACACAGCAGTATGGCCTATAGTCTTCTTTTGCTGATATCGCAGGTCACTGGCGTCGATCTGTCACCCATCCAACCGCAATTGTCAGTATTTCCAACCGCTTTCACCACAGGCATGTTACTGACAGAGCATACAGTGTGCCGCCTAATGTCAAGTTCGAGGTAGACGACATCGAGGACAGCTGGACTTACTCGCGTCCGTTCGACTACATTCACAGCCGGATGATGAACTCTAGCATTTCCAAGTGGGAGGAATACATCCGCCAATCTTTCGAGTAGTTACAGACTTGACTCTTTCTCTACGGGCCAGGCTCTGATGCATCATCACAGGAATCTTACCCCCGGCGGCTGGCTCGAGCTCCAGGAGTTCGGCCTACCCCTCTCTGACGACGACACCCTGAAGGAGGAGCACGCTCTCTATCAGTCCATGAAACACCTCGGTGAGGCGGCAGCCAAGACGGACCACGCCTTTGTCGACCTCGACGCACTCAAGCCTATGCTAGAGGCCGCCGGCTTCGTCGACGTGTCGGAACTGCGCTTCAAGTGGCCCAGCAATACATGGCCACGACACGCAAAGTTCAAGGAGCTCGGCGCCTGGAACTACGAGAACATCACAACTGGGCTGCAAGGGTTCCTCTTGGCGGCGCTGACTCGCGGGTTGGGCTGGAAGTCGGACGAGGTGAACGTGTTGGCCGCCCAGGCTAGAAAAGATGTCGGGGACCGGAGTATTCATGCATACTGGCCCATGTGAGTTGTCATTTTGTGTCCTCAGTTGTCTGATGGTTGTGACCTGGGGCAGATTACTGACTCGTGAAGGATCGTGGTGTATGGGAGAAAGCCTGGCTCCGGTTAAGACCACGCCAAGGAATCAAGGAACGATCTGTCCGGGCCGGAACCGTGAAGGACGGGCCGGGTGGGTTCCTCCGCACGGAGCACATTTCTCCAACATTGGAAAACGCAGCCATCCTTACCCCGATTTGATCCACATTTCCCGAGCAGGCGGACGAGAAAGTTTTTCACGGACGAAGTCATCGAGATTTCGGACTGACCGAGCGAGCCCTACTCACGCACACACCTGCCAACCCAACCCATCTCCCTCCATAGCACCACGCGGAGCCGGTTATTTCAACAATCAATAACCCGCCTTGCTAGCTCAATCGGTAGAGCGTGAGACTCTTAATCTCAAGGTTGCGGGTTCGACCCCCGCGTGAGGCTCAAATCCTCGCCGCGATTGACCAAATCATTCTTCGGGTTATTTTTTTTTGGCTTTTTGTCTTGTCTGCTGGTATCTTCAGTCGCCTTCTGTCGCTGGGGGCTTTGGTTTTTTAATTCATTGTTACTACCGATTCTCATAGAAGCGTAGGAGATACTTAGCAAGAGAGAGAAGTACTATGCTCAAAGTCTACCGTGACAATGGAAAAGAAGAGCAATCGCAAACTGCGGCTGTATGGAATATGCCCATCGTACTGACGGTAATCAATCGTAAGAAATCATCTGCAAGTATGCTATGGAACCACCAAATCCTAACCACCTCACCCTCACATCCGCCACCCTACTGTCCCCGTCATTCATCCTCAACCTCAACCCCCCTAAACTCAAACACCCGATTCCACTCCGGATCCGCAAGCAAATCCCACACAAGTTACTTCTCAACCGCCCACGAGATCTCGTTCCCCTCGTCTTCTCCACCGGGACCCACCCCCACAGCCGCAGGATGAGGCGGGTAAATCACCACGAGCCCTCCCGTCACAGAGTCCCACGGACACCGGAACCCGCTAGGGCGACCGAAGGCGAAGTCCGCGGTGTACGGGTCGGCGTCACGCCAGTCCGTGACGAGGAGGGTCGTGGGTGGGAAGATGTCGGAGCCGGCGTAGAGGGTTAGCTTGTTGCGGATGTGGGCGATGCCGGATAGCATTGCGTCTATGGCGGCTGGTGTGATGCTGTCTGTGAGTTGGCGCATGTACCTGGAAGACACTGTCAGTGACTTTCAATTTCTTGTGTTCATCTGGTGTAAGGCAAAGGCTGGTTGGACGAGATTCGCAGGGGAAGGATGAGTAAGGGAAATATGAACTCACCACGCAAGCTTGGAGAAAGGCGCCTCCTCAACAATCTCCTTGATTGTGAACTGCGGCACAATCTGAGTGCTCCTCGACGCGATAGCCACAGCAATCACATTCCCCTGCGTGCGCGCCGGCATCGGCTTCCCCGAAGCATCACACAAGCGTCTCACGTCAACAGCCTCGACCCATTCAACGAGCGCCTCTGGATCAGACTTGTGCAATCGGGCTTTGTGCTTTAGCATAACTCTCAGTAGGTACGCATTAAGAGCATCATAGCTCGAGATCCAGTTGCAGTTGTCGCTATTGCTTTCATCCGCAGCCAGGGCCGGGACCGGTGTCGCCAATCGCTTCAACTCAAGCAACTTACTCCGCGGAATATGAAAAAGCAACCTTGAAGCAGCCCTCTGATCAGGATGTCGCGAAGGACGAGGCGGTGCGTCAACGAGCTGATCAGCGGGCGGGTCCGGGGCCGTGACGCGCGAGAGGTCCACGCACGCGGGGTCCCACGGAGGCAGCTCCGGCAGCGTAGCAGCGCTAGCGACTTTCGCACCCGACGCCGACGCCGATACAGCCCAGACGGCGGCACAGTTCTCAGCCAACTGGTGAAGTTCGCCCGCCCACCCCGTGACGTCGTTGGCGAGGTGGTGGTGCATCATCATCAACACCAGCCCGTCACCGGGGATAAAGCTCGCTTTGAAGGAGGCTGCCTTGGGGTTGTTCTCTGGACGGTTGGAGGGCTTTTCGGCGGGTGTCATGGGCGCGACGCACCATAGGTTCAGGTCGGGGCCGAAGGCGCGGTTGCTAAAGTGTTGGCGTTCAAAGTCGGCGTAGGAGGGATGCTTTTCATCATCATCGTCGGTGTTGTTGGTGTTGGTGTTGGTGCCGTCGAGCCATTGGACGTGGAACTCGACCGTGTCGCCACGCTTCTTGTGGAAGCACAGGTCGCCGTCTCCGCTGCCGTCGGGATTTTCTTTCAGTGTCCCGCAGAGGCGGCGGCATTGGCTAAGTGTGATTTCGAGGCCTTGCTTGAGGACGTCGACGATTTTGTGTTTGTCTCCGTCTTGGTCGAGTTTGAAGAAGAGGGCATAGGCGCAGTAGATTGTGCCGGAGCAGTAGTCTAGCGTGCAGAGACGGTGGTATTCATCTTCTGGGTCGGATTCCCAGCCTGTTGGGTGGAGGTTATACACATCGACTTTGGGGGTTGTCTTTTTCTTCTGTTGCTGGAGGGGCTGCGGAGGCTGCTGCCCAAGTCTGCTGCCCAAGTCTGCCCCTCAAGAGTGATGACAATACTTCCATGGCAGGGACCAGGCGATAGAAGAACTGAAGTGAAGACATTTTGAGTTTCAGCGATAACAGATCAGGCTGTGGACTGGCTTGTGGCGTGGGCGGGTGTAATTTAACCCACGTTCATGGTCTCCACCAGCAGAGCAACATGGAAGGGGGGGAATGAACCCTCAATTATATAGTGATAGTCCAAGACTTCATTGTAGCATTTGACGTGGGCCGCTCCCAACTTGCAGTCTTACTTGCAGCTCGATGACGGGGCATTGAAGACCAAAAAGGGAGTGCAGGGCGCGAAGCTGTGGAACGTCTCGCAGCCTGATTTGTTGGAAAGCACAACGGTTGCTTGGATCTCAAGACTTGGCGTATGTGAGTTATGACCTTTCATAAGACGAAAGAGAGATCGAATGTTGTCATTGGCGCTTGACGCCAATGGCTGGATACAACCTCCCTCCCTTCGAAACTAATAATGGGGGGTTGTTTAGTCCACAAAATGTAGCTCAGAGTCGAGTTGGCGGTTGAAAAGCTGGTGAACCTTGGAGTCTCGCTATCAAACTGGCGCGATGTTTGCTGTTACTCTGAGACATGGCGTGGCAAGTTGTTAAATTAGAGAGAGGAAAGAGAGACTTAGTTCCAATGATGGCGCTCAGCAAGTCCTCTAGGTCTTTCAAGTCTAAGTACCTGATGGCCAAGGGCGTTTGCCGAGGCGAAAGACGAGCTTAATCGTCACCGAACTTGATCACTCATCAGTACCTACTCTCAGCCTGTCAGTCGTTCCGTGCAGATATACAGACGACACGATGTAACATTTCCTTTTCATCAGGCTTAACGTGTGAGTTATGTCTGCGCTAGGAAAAACGTAACTAATGATAGGTCTTATTGGTAGTTGAACAGTTGACTCAACATCTGTCGGGCGCAAAAGGGTTTCTGAAGTTGTGTTGGTGGCGTCTAACTCAGATGTAGATTGGCTAAGGACATGAAACTGTGCAACTCACCTGTAAGTGGTTATCGGCGTTGGTAGCCGTGGTCAGAGTCAACTCAGAAGCAAGGTAACAAAAGTGTCTCAGGTCTGGACTAGGCAACTAGACCAGAACTAGGTCTGAATTGCGCCCGAGCTGCGTAGTCTCTCCATTTAGGAAGAGTGATTGGTCTTTGGCGGGTACGAGAAGAAGAGACTAGCTGAGCCTCATCCTACAGAACTTGGAAAGCTGTTTGCTCAAGGGTTGGCAAATGCGAAGAGCTGATGATCGAGCATGTAGTAACAATTTGAAATATCAGGAACAAGGCTGTAGAGTAAGTAGCAGGGAGACAACAAAGGCCTTGGCAGCAATGGCGATGTAAAGTGGTATCATTGAAAGTATCCTATCCCAATAGGTTGATAAATGGCTCCGGCCACTTGCCCATCAACAGTGGCCTATCGCCCAATCGACCACTCACCGGCGCCAGAATCCTCAGCTTGCGCTTCTCCTTGTCAATGTCGGCAATGTACACATACCCCATCACATTAGCCGTCCGTATCGTCTCTGGCGAATCCTTGACCGAGGCGTAGACGATGGCCAGCGTCCAATGGGCCAGGAGCTGCGCCGGGTCCACGCGCATCAGGCTCTCGTCGGCACCGCCGCCATACATGGCGTCTAGTTGGGCAGGCGGGGTCAGTAAATGATGGTCTGTGCTTCTCAGAGGTTTCTTCCGGGGGAACAGAGGCGTTTGAAAGACATGATAACTTACTGTCTCCTAGTTTGTATATTGCCAGGCTGTCAAAATCGACTTGCTGCGTGGCGGGACTCAGCGTCTGGCCGATGCTGCCGAAAAAGTACTCCTTAATGGACGCCTCGCAGGCCTGTTGCGTATAGCCCACGTCGCGCTCGACCACGCCTTCTGATTTTTCCAAGAGGAGGATACTGTACTGCTCGCCGAGGCTGGTCCTTTCCGTTGAGAAGCGCTTAGCAATCTCGGCGTTGAGACTCGCTGAGCCCAAGACAATGATGATGTTGACTGTACTCTGTTAGCATCCGCAGAAAGAAACAGTGCCGCAAGTGGAGATGGAAACATACCTGAAAGTTCCTCCACAACATGCACAAAGTTCTCCATAACAACCTGATTGGTCTCCGTCACGGCCGGCGTATCGATAATCATACCCGACCCCTTGACCTCAGGATCCTGCCCCAGCCTCGACGTCACAGTCGCCGCCATCTTACTCACGAGCTCCTTGTACTTCGCCGGGTCCTCCTCAGAGCTCGCGTGGCCGTAGTAATACACCAGCGGCAATTTCACCGGCACCTGACTCGGTCCGCTCGTCGGCGTAGTGCCCCACCCATCAACAGCCTCAACATCCAACAACGACCCGACGACGCTGGCGCTCAACGTCCCCGGCAGACTCAGCATCCCCTCCTTGGGATCCGTATTCACTACCAACGGCTGCGCGCCCACTCTTGCAGCATAACTCGTCAGCGTCCTCGTCAAGCTCGTCTTCCCCGTCGTCGGCGGTCCGCAGACGGCGATCCGCGGCCCCTCCCTCCTCTCGGCGGCGGCGCGCTGGCGCATGGCGGTGAGCTGGAAGTGTAGGTTCAGGACCGAGTTTGCGGGTGAATCCTGTGGTTTAGCGTACTCTGCGACGGACTCGTCTGCCAGCACGCCCTCGACCTCGAGTTCACATCCTTGCAGGGTGAGGATCTTGGATTTGGTGCCGGCAAAGGTGTAGATGTGCTGGAGGGCGAGTTCGGTGCCGTCTTTTTCGGCCGTGCCGGAGAGGAGTTTGAGGGTGATCTGGGTGTCGAAGGCGACTTGGAAGCGCCATTCCCAGAAGGGCTGGAGGCGGATTGTGCGGGTTTGGTTTGCGGATGTCGGTTGCTGTGGTGGGTGGGTGTGTTAGCTGGCTGTTCTCAAGCTCTCTCGATTGTGTGATTTCAAGAGATGGTTGTTTTGCTTACTGGCGCCACGAGGTGGCCCAAGCCGGGGATCGACATGGTTGGATTATTTGATAATCATAGGGCGTCGGGTACTGAGAGGGGTAGGCGTTGCGACCTCTGAGGGATCGAGGAATCGTCAAAGATACAATAATTAGAGTCGCGTGGAAAGTGACCGCCAACGCGCCCACTGGGAATTTCAATTGGGGACCTTGACATCACGGCTGGGGGATGCTGGAATGGTCCGTGCGGGAGCTTCCCACACCTGGCGGGGGGTTTATTTGGCGGGGCTGCGATTCTCAGGGTCGTCGTCACTGTCGCATGCGGCTTCCATGTTCCTGCATATTCTCTAGGTCTAGCGGGACTGAAGAAATAATGGTGCGCATCGTGTATACTTCTCAGACTGATTAAACTGTTAGGTAGTTATGTCTGAAACCTGCAGTCCATTCGAGAAAGACTCTACGCATGACTGTAAGAAACAGCTACAGAAGTCCAGAAACATCGGCAAAAGCGCACGATCCAGGGATCCACCTCGGTGCGGCGATGCCCCTCAGGAACCTCACAGCCCCACTTCTGATCCCCCCGCTGCCTCCGCCTCGGCCGCATGTTCTTCCGCATCAACCAATCATCTCGCCGTCTTACCTCGGACCTAACTAGCAACAATTACGCAAGCCCCCCACGCCTCACCAGTCGCTCGCGCCTCACCCCAGCTCCGCCACCCGTACCACCCGTTATGTACGTACCTACTGTACCCGGCTCAATTACTTCGCTGCCTGCTGACCTCACCTGAGCCCGCGGGACCGAAACCTTGAGAGGCAAAGAGGCGCAAACGTCACCTTATTTGCACCGTCCTGTCACCCACCATTTACTTTTTAGCATCCTTCAGAAAAAGCGACACATTCACATCACTACAACAACACCGCAGAGACCCTCAAGAGTCTCTTTCCATCACTCCATACACATACACACGAGCATCACGCCCACCAGAATGTGTTCCGCAGACATCTTCCTCGGCCTCCTGGCCCTGCTCTTCCCGCCTCTCCCAGGTACGTCCCCCGTAATCGCGCATTCCAGCGCATTCCCACAAACTCCCCCATTGCGCATCGAACCATATCTAACACCGGTTACTCTTTCATAGTCTGGGTAAAGCGCGGCATCTGCGGCGCAGACTCAATAATCAACATCCTCCTCTGCCTCCTAGGCTACATCCCAGGCCTCATCCACGCCTGGTACATCATCGCCAAGTTCCCCGAGCCAGACTACGAATACGACTCCGTCCCGCAACAGGACCGCGAGGGCGGCAACGGCCGCGTCACATACGTCTTTGTCCACGGAAACGGCAACGGTAACGGTCCTCACACCCAGGAACCGCGTCAGCAGCCCCGCCCCTCGCAGCACAATGGCAAGGGTGGCGGCGCCGTCGGATACGGTACCACGAACAACAGCAACAACAACGCTGGAGGGTCCTCTAGACAGCCGCAGCAGCAGCCTCAGCAGCAGCACTCTGAGCAGCAGGGTGCTGGGGAGGGAAGCAGTGATGGTGCTGTGCCGCCTAGTTATGCCGAGGTCGTGGCTGGGGATAACAAGATTCAGACTCGGGATTAGAGCAGAATTGGGATTTAGAGTGGCGTTGTAAGGTCTTTGACTCTGCTGCTGCTATCCACTGCTACCTTTGAGATTCTTGTTCTTGTTTCTCTTTGGCCATCGTGGCTTTTCTTCGCTTAGGCTTGCCCGGCTTGTTATTCTACTGGTGGCTTTTGTAAATTGGTTCTGGTTTGTATGAGCACGGGGAATTTGGATCCCGTCGCCATGTGGAGTTGGGGGGTTTGACGAAGTAATAACGTTTTGCACGAGTTTTACGCGAGACACTGGTGGGAATTATCACTGCATTATTCATATACACTAGGCACTAGATCCTCTCAATTCATCACTATGAAGGGGTATCTTGGTCCAATCTTTCCGAAACGCCGATGCCTCCGTGACGTAGCTACCTCGGAGGAAGTCTAATTCAATGACCCGTTTCCAGCCTCAAGCCGCAACCTTGCTCGTGAGCCTTCTATCCAGTGACCTCCATCCTCCCTGTGAGAGGGCCAACTCTGGTGATACTCTCGTGGTGACATCCAGCTGTTGTTCTGACTACCTTGACGAACTATCGCAGGCACTTATTTCCCAATCATGTTCTCCTTTCCAGTCTCCTCGTCTACCTTGATGGCAGAAGGGGCAGGGCGCTCATTGGGTACGGGCTCCTTGTAGTGTCGCATGAGGTTCTGCGGCAGGAAGGTATACCACTCCACGAGGACCTGGCCAGCCTGCTTGATGAACTTGATGCCAATGTTGAGCTCGCAGACGCAGAGTTGCAGCTTGAAGCCTGGCTTCAGACGCTGCAGGATTGAGTCTTCCAGATAGAAGGTATCTCGCTGTCCATCGGACAAATTGATGTCCTCTCCGTAGTCATAGCCATCCTCAATGACGCAGGGCTTTGTGACTATTGTTCCAACGGGCTCGAATCGGTGTCCCTTGCCTAAGAGGATGCTTCGGGTGAGCTTGCGCGACTCGACTGTGGACCGGTGAATAGAGATGATCTCGACGCTGCACTCCTCCTCGCCGATGACCTCAATGGTGCCATTTTTCAGAACACTGGTGACGGCATCATACTGCTCCTTGGTGGCAGTCATTGCCATTGCAATCTTAAAGACTGCTTCGGGGGAGAAGTTCTCTGGACGCTGGAACTCGTCGCGGTCTCCGAAGAAGTAAAAGTCCTTGCAAAACAGCTCCGACAGCGCCAGGTTGAACTGACCAGGGAACCGAAGGAGAGCTTGGTGACTCAACGGCAGGTCGACCTTGGCCTTTTGGCAGAAATCAAGAGCTTCCTTGACATTGGCGTCATACTCCGGGCATACATCGTGCTGGAGGATGTAGGTGAGAAAGTTCTCAATCAGGCCAACCGCCTTGCCCATGTGTGCGTAATTCCAGGCCGTCTCTTTGGGCAGAGTCTCGGAGCAGAAACCCGCGACTACACCGGCAAAGTCGACATCCCAACCTTCAGGATCATCCTCGTTGTAGAAGCGAGCGCCACCGCCGGAGCTGTGGACCGTGTCAATGGCCGTTGCCTCCCGCTTCTCCGCCGGTGTCATGTCCTTGAGATCGGCATCAAGGTTGCCGCCAAACATGCGAGGGGTGGAGTCGATGCCTCCCAGGAAGAGGTACTTGTTGAAGATCTGGTCGGAAGCACCTAGACGGCGGCGAGCGCGGTAGCGCTGGATGCATGATTGGATGCGTCTTTCCGTTCGTTAGTTGAAGGTGAATGGCCATATGAGGAAGGAATAGTCTTACTCGGCGAAGTTCAGGTCTCTAAAAGCCCACGTCAGTCATTGCCCGGGGCTAGTGAAGAATGACAAGAATCACTTACAGGCTGTAGATATTCTCGCGCTCCTCTTGGGCTTCGGCAGGAGTCATGGGAGGGTCGGCATAGAATTCTGGGAGACCATGTCAGCAAAGCACAGCCGCGATCGATTATTCTCCAATGAGACATACCCTCGAAACCAGTACCGCGATACTTGTGCATGGCAGTTGGGCCGCGATCCGCCGTGCTGGCCTTTTTGCCTGCCATGTTGTTGTGATGTTCTTGTTGAGGTTGAAGATGGATGTCCTATTGCATGAGAAGAGGAAGAGCAAGTCCTCAAGATGTTTGAGAATGAAGCGAAGAGAAGCAGGTTGGTTGCTTTGGAAGTGAAGAAGAGCAGCAGCGATTGATTCACGTCATTGAAGTCCTGAATAGTCCGCTGAATAGTCCGCTGAAGAGTAAGGCAACTACGGGTTAGGTATCTACCTACACAGAAAGCGCGTTTCTCGTTCTTTCCAATCTGAATTCCAGGCTCCTCTCCTCCTCTTTCCACTTAAAAAGGAAGGAGTCAGGCTGCATCGTCACCTTTCTCACCTCACGACTCACATCCAGAGTAAAGTTGAAGAAGAACACACGGTTATGAAGAGATGCATTCTCAAGCCGATTTCTGTTCCGCACTGATACAACAAAAGTGTTTTCAAAAAACATGAGATACTGTTTAGGCATGAAAGTCGACATGCGCAGATCGTGGGTTCGATCTAAACTTTGCCTGTTGTGCGAATCCATGCGACCCAATCACCTCAGGCACTCCCAGTTATCAGAGGCCTGCTGCAGACGATCTTCCAGACAAACGCAGACGGCGAGCCAATTGTCTCCGAGAGCATGGGTTGCTCAGGGGTTTGCAACGTGAAAGCGCGGCGGGTTGGTGGGAAGCCTGCGTGCCGTGCGTGCCTACGTGGGACGCGGCACAATGTCATTGGAATTGTAGGATGGCTTGCAGTTGCAGCGCGGCTTTTCGCTTCTTTGAGGCGAAAAACGTGAGGCGGAGTTACAATCACCATGCATGACAAGTCCCGTCGCATTCGTATGGCGTGCGCCGCAGGAGGAGGAAGAGGAGGAGGATGGATGATGACTGACCAAGGCGGCGGGCTGCATATTCCATCTGCTGCGTGGAAAGCCCAGCTGACATGATTCGGTCCTGTCACAGGAGAGCAGGAGGGGAACTTCTCGTGCGCTGGAGAGGCAGCGGTGAGATTATTGAATGCAGCCAACACGACATGACCCGAGCAGCTGGTGGTATTGTAAAAAGAGATAGATACGGGCCGTTGGTTCGATTTGGATCTCACAGGCGAGGCGATGCACCATTTTGGTGGTTGTGTTGGTGGACGGCATCGTGATAACCTGTCCAACGGTGTGATCCAGATCTTCGGCCATGGCGAAACTCGCGACTGGTATTTCGTGTAATGTCGACGCCGATTGACGGGATACAGTCATACCGTCTAGGTCATTCAAATTCAACAAGTCCCGAGAGCGAAGTTTCCATGGAAGCCAGAGTCAGACTCGGAAAGATACGCTGTAAGCGAGGTCACAGTCCAGCTGACGCATCATCCTTTGGCCTGCTAGATACCTCAGTCTATTGACGACAAGTGGGGGTTAGCTCGTTGACAACGACGCCTTTGATCAAAGCCTCGACTTGCTGTGTCGTGCAAATAAAGGGAAAATGAGCTGCGCCTATTCAGGCCCATGTTGGAACTTTGGAGCAAGGTTGAACAGAGGGGAAGAGACAAGGAACTTGAGTATGTAAGGCACTCGGCCGACTGTGGGACAGGCGGTTGAGGCCCATGGCTCACGGAGTGGCTCGAGTGTGGGATGCCAGTGGTTCGTGTGTGCGCCTGGATGTGGGAGCGACATGGGCCAGCGGCTGGACAAGGCGGACTTTGAAAGGAAAAGGGCTGAATTGAAGCCAAAAGGAGAGAGAGAGGAAGAGTTCATTGGTGATGTGGCTGAGCAAGATTCGCAGCTTCCGCCACCTTTTTGTTTTCCAACGTGGGATTCCCGCAGCGGCCGGCAAGGGTCTTTTTTGGAGGGGCACACAGAGCCTGGAGGTGGAGGGGGGCGGAAGAGGAAGTAGCGCAGCGGGGTGGTTGTCTTTTTGCGTTTGTTCTGGTCCCTTTTCCCCTTCGTTCCATCCCGTGCCATCCACCTCACCCCGTGGTAAATCATGCCTGCTGCTGCCGCCAGCACCGTTGCGACGTTGTGTCCTTGTGTTCTTCTATCCATGATCATCCCAGGCCGAGTTGGAGGAGAGAGAACAGCGCTGATTGCCTTCTTTTGTCCGCCAATACCTAATGCCGCTCGCACAAGGTAAGGTACTTTAAGGAGGTACCTACTTCCGTACTCCATAGATACAGTGGGTCGCCATAAACAATGGTAATCGTCGTTTTTACACCAAAAACAGCCAACTTTACAGATGTGCATCTAACTAAGTATCTTATTTTAATTTATATAGAAAATATTTATATAAAGCTAAAATTTGATATTTTATTTATTATAACTAAGTTAAGGGTTTTTTTTTAATAATAATTATCTTATGTTCCAAGTTATTAGATTTTAAAAAGAATTAAAATTAAAACTTTTCTTTTTATAGTGGATTTCACTATATTTTTAGCGCTTAGTTCACTAGAAGATCTGGATTTTTAGCGCTACGAGCGCTAATTTAGCCACTCAAATATAGCGCTTGAAATTTTCAGCTTTTTTATACTTTTTAATACACTACTTTATTTATTAATATTTTCTATTAATTATATAAGAAATCTATAATATAAAATGAAAAATTAATAGCTTTTAAGATTTTTTTCGTATCTATTAGAATTTAGTATGATTTTGATATAGTAAGTTAAAAGGGGTGAAAAAGTCGGGTTTAAGGTGTGTTTTAATGGGTGTACCGTTATTTTTGGCACCCGACTGACTGTACGTACTCAATAGAACCCTCCCTCAGGCCAGGGGATGGGGCACGACGATCCACTGTAAAAAGTACCTTGTGCTGCTGAAAGTACCTGACACTCCAGCTGTGGGCTTCGCAGTACTTGAAGTCAGTTCGAGGTACAACACCGCAGCGCCTCGAAGATACGTACCCTTTCGCGAATGGCATTTTCAATCTCGCTCTCGCGCCCAAATCAATTTGGCTGCTGCTGGGCTGCCAGCGCCTACCAAACACACTCATTCATTCATCGTGTATTCGTGACTACGCCTCCTTCTTCTTCCTCCTCCTCCTCCTCCCCCCCTCCCTGTCATCTAACCTTGTTCCCTTGTCACCGTCCTCCCACACCTCCGGACCAGACCAGCTGCATTTTAACCTCTCCCCGTCCCCTTCATCTCGACACTGGAGCCTCGTTTCTTCTCAAGTTCTCACCACTGCCGATCCACTACCCTCGCGCCTCCATTCGCTTCCCTTGCCAAGCCGACCCGACTGCCGTTTACCGACATCTACTCAATAGACAGCGCCAGAAGACTAGAAAGCCAAGAAGACAGACACGCGCAGAAACAAATCAGTTCGCCACGCTGCGCTACGACCATCTAGCATCACATCCGTTACAAAACTTTCCAGTCACCCCGACTTTGACGCGCCAGGCACATCTAGGATATCCCCTGGGCAAGCGAATCGCCCATAAACACTCTTCGACACCCACCGATCCCCTCTAGTTTTTCAAACTTCCCCAGCGCATACAAGATGAGTAAATCAAAGATTCCTAATCTCCCTGATCTCTCTGATCTCATCGATTACGATCATACTGTTGCTGGCCAGTAAGTAGTTGCTCTGCCTCGTCCTCGGCGCCCTCCTTTGCCGACCGACGAGGTGCGCTGCGAAGCGCTATGAAAGAAGCAAGACTCTAACATTAGTTTGCCACTTTCAGTGCTGGAACCATGACCACTGCCGATGGCACCATGTTCATCAAGCCCTGCACCCAGGCAGAGCTCGACTTTTACCAATCCGCATACTCAGACCCCGCGCATTCCGACTTCAAAGAATTAATGCCTGAATTCTGGGGAACCCTGAGCCTCGTCGACCCTTTCGAACTCAGCTCTGTCGAAGACGGCGTTCCCGGTCCCGTCGCTTCACCCGAGGCCAAGAAGGAGCTCGAAACCTCCGTTACCGGACAGCCCCCGGCCGATTCGCATCAGGAGAATGGAAAGTGGGTGCAGAACAAGTCAAAGAAGATCAAGACTGATCAGTCGGTCGTCCTTAACAACTCGGGCTGGGGTTTTGCCTCGCCCAACTTTCTCGACGTCAAGTTGGGCGTCAGGCTGTGGGCCGACGATGCGCCTGCCGAGAAGAAGCGCAGATTCGACGACATCGCGAGCAAGACCACACACGCCCCCCTGGGCTTCAGGATCGCCGGTATGAAAGTATGGCGCGGCTCCACCATGAAGTCCGAGCTGGACCACAACGACTATAAGGTATACGACAAGGACTATGGTCGCACCTACGTAAACACCGATAACGTTGTCGAAAACTTCCGCAAATTCATCTTCAACAAGGCCGCCGGTATCGATGACGACCTAGCGCGCGCCGTTGTCTCGGCTTTCCTCCACGATCTGCGAAACGTTGAACGTGTTCTCTCCTCGGAAGAGAGCAGGATGTACTCGGCCAGCTTGCTGTTTGTCTTTGAGGGAGATGGCGAGAAGCTCAGGGAAGCCATTGAGCTGAACAACGCGGCCGTCGATGGTATCGAGGCCGCGGTTGAGGCCAAGCTTCAGGCAGATGGCGAGAAGCCTGGTAGAACTACCCTCCGCGTCGATAGTGGCATCGAGCTGATCGAGGAAGACCGTGTGACGTTCCACATTCCCGATGACGGTGACGCTTCAGACTCCGACTCCGACGACCAACTGTCCAAGGTTTTCACGTTGAAACTCATCGATTTCGCCCACGCGCAGTGGACCCCCGGCCAGGGTCCTGACGAAAACGCACTCAAGGGTGTGCGAAGTCTGATCAAGATATTCGAAGAAATGGAAAAGGAAGAGTGAGGTCCAGGCCTTCTCTCATGCCGGCTCGATAGAAAGTGCTCGGGGCACAGAGGCTACCGGCCCTCGGCTTCCGCAGCATAGGCACCAAAAGTTTTTGCAGGCCATGATTTGTGCGATAAACAAAGACCATCACCTACCAGCAGGCAACAGACGAGCACGGTTTGCTCAACGAATACAATACCCAGATACAGCCGAGCGGAGTTTGGTGCGAATTAGAAGCCGCTCCTGAGGAGGACAACAGGCTCGCATCCATGATAACGACTTTGAGATATATCATCATCATCATCACACCAGGCGTCGGGGATACCTTGCAAATTCATTCAATACCATTACTTTATTCTTACAATATGCGCGTCTATTGCTTCGTAGTCTCAAATGTATCACTGCCGCGTGCTAACGACAGGGAACCCAAAGGTTACCTAGCATCAACTATGGACCCTGCATGGAACCAATGCAGGCTGGCTGTACAGGTAGAACACGGACGACACCTACTAAAATTGCGGGAACCCCACATCCAGATGTTGCTCTGGCAATGCGGGAGGGTGGTGGGTGGGTTGACGTTCAGGTGAAGGAAATTGGGCGTGACGAATGCTCGGAAGTAGCGGTATCGTCAAGCAATTTTCATGGCACGATCTCGTGGCTCAAGAACAGCCCCAGTCTAGTAATAGTATATATCACACATAATCCTGCAAAGTAATGCACTGTTCTAGACCTACGGTACTGATCTGAATCGTCGCGAATAACTGAACTGACATGGAAACTCTGGGAGACTCTGTTCTGGAGACTGTGGAGTGATATCTTCTGGAGCTCCACCGCTGAGATTTCGGTACTTGTTCAGAGCTTCGAGACAGGCAGGTAGCTCTACAGACCTTCATGTTGGTGCCAAGATCTGGCTTTGGCTCTCTCTCGCCGTCAATGTCTCTGACTCCCCGTCATACTTACGCGCTTGCCCTTTCCTTAATTTCCCTTCAACAATCTACCTTTGAGCACCTTTAATTGTCATAAAGTCTGGTGGTAAGAGAAATGGAGAGAAATTAAAAGACATAACCGAAATCAATGAGAAAGTGACGCGAATAGGGTGGTTAAACGAGGAAAAAGCCGCAGAATGTCCACACGCCAGCCATGGCTACAATTCTGCTTTCTAGAACAACATATTCAAATGATGGTAAGTACTTCACTCATCCATGGACAAGCATCGGAAGGTCAATCATCAATTAAAAGGTAGCTCGAGAAAGGTTTCTGGCAGAGCTCCAGGTCCCGTCCCGCAAACAGTACGTACCTGGCCGAGAGCGCCGGGTGGCGGTTCCAGGTCTTTAGTAGGGCAACGTCGGAGCGGAAAGTGCTTTCTCCGATGCTTCCCTGTCAGTGCTGTCATGTCTCGGTCGCGCGCGCAGCGTGCAGCAACCTAGACTTTTTTGAGGCCTCAACCAGCGACCATCGCACTTCCGAGATCCTGTATTCACCCGCAGGTCCCTAACTCTCGACCATCATGGATGACCTCTTGAATCTCGAGCTCTTGTCGCTCGTGTCCAAGGTCACCTCCGAACTGCAGAACCATTTGGGTGTTTCCGACAAGACGCTCGCCGAGTTCATCATTGCCCAGCGAGTCGACGCCGAAGACTACGATGGCTTCAAGAAGAAGCTCGCCGGCATGGGCGCCGACTTCCCCCCGAGTTTAGTCGAGAGCGTCGACCGCTTGGTGCTCACTATGCACCCAAAGATGAGGGGCAAAGCAAACAAGAACAGCAACGGTGCCGGCACCAGCGACCAACACCACCACCGCAGCGCCGCAGAAAAGGACGAGATCTTCCGAGGCCTCTCGGTGCCCGACAAGCCGGTGGCGTACGATAGCATAGGAGACGGTGTCGACGCCATTGACGATACGCTGGCGCTGTTGGAGGGCCTGGAGGGCAAGGCGCGGAAAGATAAATCGGACTCGCGCAAGCGGAGCCGCAGTCCAGACGACGGGCGCGATTCAAGGCGGAAGCGGAGGGGGAGGTCACGGTCAAGGGAGCGGAGGAAGCGCGACAAGTACCGGTCGAGATCACGGGAGCACGACGATTTCGAGAGCGGCCCTTCACTGAAGCAGAGGAGTCGGAGACGCAACTACGACGACGAAGACGATGGCCGCTTTAGGAGGGCGCCCGAGCCCGAAGTCGACGATGCGCCTCAGTTGCACAAGGTGTATAGCGGACACGTCACTGGCATCAAGGATTTTGGCGCCTTTGTGAACCTCCACGGTGTTCGTGGCAAGGTAGATGGATTGGTACACATTTCCAGGCTGGTGGAAGGCCAGCGGGTTAATCACCCGTCCGACCTGCTGGAAAAGGGACAGGACGTCAAGGTCAAGGTCGTCAATATTGAGGCAAACAGGATAGGGCTGTCGATGAAAGAGGTGGATCAAGAGACGGGCATGGATCTCTACCCGGAGGACAGGATATCCTCGGGTGCAAATATGCAAGCCTTGGGCGGCGGTGGTGGCCGGAACGGTAACATGTTTGATGACGGGCCGATGCCGCCACCGCAGCATCAACCTCGCCGACAGAAGAAGCGCATGACGTCGCCGGAGAGATGGGAGATCCGTCAGCTGATCGCATCCGGTGTCGCAAAGGCCTCCGATTACCCCGACCTCGAAGAAGATTACAACGCGACGCTGACGGGCGACGGAGAGCTGGAGCTGGAACAGGATGTCGATATCGAGGTTCGAGAGGAGGAACCGCCGTTCTTGGCCGGTCAAACGAAGCAATCCCTGGAATTGTCACCCATTCGAGTCGTCAAAGCGCCCGATGGCTCTATGAACAGAGCTGCCATGTCAGGTACTGCACTGGCAAAGGAGAGAAAGGAGCTGAAACAACAAGAAGCGGAGGCTGCGGCGGCGGAAGACTCCAAGGTCGACCTCTCTGCGCAGTGGAACGACCCGATGGCAGATCCAGACAAGCGCAAGTTCGCCAGCGATCTACGAAACGCCAAGTCACAGATGGCCCAGAGCAAGCCCGACGCTGTTCCGGAATGGAAGCGAGCGGTGGCGCCAAAGGATCAGGCATTCGGCAAGCGGACGAACATGAGCATCAAGGATCAACGAGAGTCGTTGCCCGTGTTCGCCTTTAGGCGGAAGTTCTTGGACGCTGTCAGGGAGCACCAAGTCATGGTCGTCATCGGAGAGACTGGCTCAGGCAAGACGACACAACTTACGCAATACCTCGCCGAAGATGGCTTCGCCAACGACGGAGTCATTGGTTGCACACAGCCCAGACGTGTCGCCGCCATGTCTGTTGCGAAGCGTGTGGCCGAGGAAGTTGGCACTCTGCTGGGTGAGGCTGTTGGATACACGATTCGATTCGAGGACAAGACTAGCCCGGCGACCAAGATCAAGTACATGACGGATGGTATGCTGCAGCGTGAGATTCTCGTCGACCCCGATCTGAGGCGTTACTCGGTTATTATGCTCGACGAGGCCCACGAGCGTACCATTTCTACGGATGTCTTGTTCGCGCTTCTGAAGAAGACGATGAAGCGTCGGAAGGATCTCAAGGTTATTGCCACATCAGCAACCCTCGATGCCGACAAATTCTCGTCGTACTTTGACGGCTGTCCCATTTTCACGATCCCTGGTCGCACGTTCCCCGTCGAGGTGCTGTACTCGCGCGAGCCCGAGTCTGATTACCTCGATGCCGCGCTCGTCACCGTCATGCAAATTCACCTTACCGAGCCTCCAGGAGATATCTTGCTTTTCTTGACGGGTCAGGAAGAAATCGACACATCGGCCGAGATTCTATACGAGCGGATGAAAGCATTAGGACCCAACGTCCCAGAGCTTATCATCCTACCGGTGTACTCTGCACTCCCCAACGAGATGCAGAGTCGTATTTTCGATCCCGCGCCCCCCGGCTGCCGAAAGGTGGTCATTGCAACCAATATTGCCGAAACTTCCATCACAATCGATAACATCTACTTCGTCGTTGACCCTGGTTTCGTCAAACAGAACGCCTACGATCCCAAGTTGGGCATGGACTCATTGGTCGTCACCCCGATTTCTCAAGCTCAGGCAAATCAACGTGCTGGCCGTGCCGGACGTACCGGACCTGGAAAGTGTTTCCGCCTGTACACCGAAGCAGCGTACCAGTCAGAGATGTTGCCCACGACCATTCCTGAGATTCAAAGACAGAACTTGTCCCACGTCATTCTCATGCTTAAGGCCATGGGCATCAACGACCTGTTGCACTTTGACTTTATGGACCCTCCGCCTATCAATACTATGCTTACGGCATTAGAAGAGCTATACGCGCTCAGTGCTCTAGACGACGAGGGCCTGCTGACGCGTCTGGGACGAAAGATGGCAGACTTCCCCATGGAACCGTCGCTGGCCAAGGTGCTCATCATCTCCATCGACATGAAGTGCTCAGCCGAAATGCTCATCATCGTCGCCATGCTCAACCTGCCCAACGTCTTTTACCGCCCCAAGGAGAAGCAATCGCAAGCGGATCAGAAGAAGGCCAAATTCCACGACCCGCACGGCGACCATCTCACTCTGCTCAACGTCTACAACTCGTGGAAGCAGAGCAGCTACTCGAGCCCGTGGTGTTTCGAAAACTTTATCCAGGCCAGGTCCATGAAGCGCGCCAAGGACGTACACGACCAGCTCGTCAAGATCATGGACCGGTACCGGCATCCCGTCGTCAGCTGCGGGCGGCACACGCAGATTGTGCGGCAGGCGCTGTGCTCTGGCTTCTTCCGCAACGCGGCGCGCAAGGATCCGCAGGAAGGGTACAAGACGCTCATCGAGGGGACGCCGGTGTACCTGCACCCGAGCTCGGCGCTGTTTGGGAAGCAGGCCGAGTGGGTCATTTACCACACGCTCGTGCTGACGACGAAGGAGTACATGCACTGCACGACGAGCATCGAGCCCAAGTGGCTCGTGGATGCGGCGCCGACGTTCTTCAAGGTTGCGCCGACGGATCGGTTGTCCAAGAGGAAGCAGGCGGAGAGGATCCAGCCGCTGCATAATAAGTATGCTGGAGAGGACGATTGGAGGCTTAGTGCGCAGAGGAAGGGCGGTCGTGGGGGTGGTGGTGGCGGGACGTGGGGTTAAACTCCCCGGCGGGCATGGTCTATGGGGAGGGGAGGCCAAGGGAAGAGCAGGGCGGGTGTATGGATATGTGGATGGCGAGGGTGGTGAGGATTCAGGTTGTTATAGCTCAGTGAATATACCCAAGAAGAGAGATCTGATGCACACATCTACGGTATCCGTACGTGTTCTGGGATAGCGAACGCGTCATCCGTGATCCGCAAGACTGACGACGAGGGGTGTCCGGCATTTGTCAGCTTGATGTTTATCTTCTTCTTGATGTTGCGAAGAATGGTAGCCAAGACTGGAGCACAGAGTTACAGACTCAGCGAGAGCCTCTTCGGAACTAGTTCGGAACTGCCGGGAGAGACAACCCGCCGAGGACTGAACCCATGTGGTACGCGGGGGGTTCAAGTCAGTTCTATAGTCAAGACGTCGGGAGCGTAGGAAATGGATCGGTAGAAATGGTCAAGCATCGATAAGCATTCGCCGAACTGAGGAGGACTTGGCTTTCGTGATGACTGAACCTTGGCGTTGTCTCGAACTGAAGTCCGAGGGTGGCCCTTTCCGGGAGCAGATTGACGCCGTGTTGCGTATTTGTAGGCTGTGTCCAAGACTCTTGGGTCTCATATCGATGGAGACTGGAATGACTCGTCTTGACTCGTCTTGACTCGGCCGATAATATGCACAAGGGGAACCGGAGAGGTAAGTCGGAGCCGTTCTTTGCACCCGACTCGGCGATGTAAGTGGTTGGTAAGGATTCTAGAACGGAAAACTTGGCAGGGTGTCGGATATGCATAATCCGTAGAGACGGGGAGATCTAGCTTGAGATTCAGTCCTACGGGTACTTAACTCCAGTTCCTTAAGGATCTGGCGATGGAGAGGTCGGTTATTTAGACTTTATCGGTAAGAGATGGGAAATGATACGATCGGAATGACTCGCAGCGGGGTTCTCTCAGTGTTCTTTTTCTTCCATTCTCTAGTCTTCACTCTCCTTGCCTTAGGTAAGGAACTCATCCTGGCAGGCGATCAATCAAATGAACCCTCTTTTGCCAAATTTAGTGGTTAATTCCTGTATATTAACTGTCGATGCTTCCCGCTGCGAGCGTGAACTCTACAAAATCACAAGAGCCGCGCGCATAAAGCCTACGGCAGCGTCCATCGGAAATGTGGGTTTCCTCTGATTTTCGTGGTTCCGCACCGTCTTCCGGTGATACCGCCAAGACGTTTCGGGATGGGATGCCGTTCAGCAGTCGTTTGCGAGTGCTTTATCCGGCAGTGGTCTAAGGGGTTGGGTTTCGGCGTTTGGCCTGATGTTTCCGAGGGGTAGATCATGTAGAAGGTATTACAGTTACATTAAGACCTGAGGGATTCTAGTATGAGTTGGTCGGATAGTGGGGGAGAAGGGAAACGAAGGGTTGCTGTTTTTACAATAAGGTTGATTTTCCCCCCTCCACCATCCTGCGTTTGGAAAAGACCGGTCTGGAGTCTTAGTTCTCTTTGATGGATGGAGGGCGGGTCTCGAAGTTAGAGTTGGGACAAGTTGCAGATACTCGACCCAAAGTTTGGATGGCATCTGTCAGAATTGCAGTGCTGTTTCCAGGTGTCATGAGACGAGACGAAGACCGACAGATCCGACGACGACAATAGGGAACTGGATAAACTCTTCCAGCAAGACGAAGAAGCGCCACCAGCAACTAACGAGATATCTGCTTACACGCCTTGCATGCATTCGACGAAGCCGACGCCGCGATGACACGCCACCACCGGCCCGCGGCGCTGCACCTCGCCGCCGTACTCGCGCTACTCTCCGCCACGACGAACCTGCCCGGCCAGATGTTCGTGACTGGCGTAGCGGCGATAGAGGATCTGGAGGCCGAGGACGTTCCGCCAGAGTGCGCGCAGTTTTGCGCGCCCATCGTACAGCTCACGGCCCGGTGCGAGGCACAAGTGAAGGCGCAATTTGGGACGGACAAGCGGGATCTATCGACTCGACAAAATCAAGATATCTTGGACACCAGAGATGTGGAAGAAAGAAATCTGAGGCGAGGGTCTGGGAAGAGAAGAACACGAAGGGATTTGCAGAGGATGCTGGGGCGGAGACTCAGCAGCAGACAGGAACTGGAGTCTGACGGCGATAGCAGCGACGAGGAAGAGGAGACAGCGAACCTGACTCCCGGGTCGGGGCTTGTAGCGGCGCCTACGTTGGGCGTCGGACGCTCGGCGAGCGAATCGGCTGCTAAGGAGGCTGCTGAGGCGGCGACGAAGAATGCTTCGAGGGTGTGTGTTTGTGGGGAGAGGGGGTTCGATGTTGCTGGGGCTGCGTTTGGGTGTTTGTCGTGTGTTTCGCGGAATGTTACGGCTGTGGAGGCCAATGAGGGTGAGTTTACCTTTCTCGAGAGTCGATGGTATTGAAGAGACTCGGTTTATGGATGGAGTAGGGTTTGCTGACGGCGAGGGATAGATATCAGGGAGATCATTGGAGAATGCGGCTTCGTTGCCGCGCCGGCCGCGCCGGCGCCGCCGGTCACCACCTCTACGACTACGACTACCTCTCCGCCGATAGTGCCGCCACCGGTGTTGAATCCGGCAGTAACAACAACATTACCCGCAAACTTGGCGCCCATCCAGCCTTTCCCATCTTCGTCTACGCTCTCATCCTCGTCATCGATACCCCTACCACCAGCACCAGTCATACCACCGGCCATTCAAACGTCCACCTCAACAACTCCACCGCCGCCGACTTTCCCATCGGCAGTACATACTTCCCCTCTGTCAACTCCCCCGCCGCCGCCCTCCGTACCGCCCGTCAATGTGGCGTCCTCGACGCCGTCTTCGGGGTCCATCACACCTGTGACGGTGTTTGTTCCGCCGAATTTCCAGACGTTGCCGTCCATTGTGCCTCCGAATGATTTCCGCGACGTGCCTGCTTTGCCTGATGCGAATGGGAACCAGATGAGTGGTGCGATGGGAGGGTTTGGGATGCTTCGGTGGTGGGAGAAGGGAGGTGCGTGGGTGATTGTTCTGGCTTTTGTTCTTCTGAGTTGAAGACTAAGATGATCTTGATGGGAAGGTCTGAACTTATCACTATATGAACGGTGGTCACAGGAACGGCTTCGTCTAGACATGACGTACTGATCAAAAGACTCTTCCATTCTTCCTTCAAACTTAACATGCCCTGATTGAAAGATCCATGTCAACACGTGATTCCACGTTCAGTCCCGAATCTGAAGTGAAAAAGTCCAGTTGACCTGAATATCATCATACACGATGACATCCTACCACGTGCTACCAGAGTGGTGAGTACTTGAAGTAAGATATTTGATATTACTGAGTATTGCGTTGAACAGGAGGATATTCTCAGCTCTCGTTTCATGGTTCCTTCTGGTCGTTCATTGTCTCTACAATATTGCCAAGAAACTCTCCGGACTTTGTCAATCTCGAGTAACGAGCTTCGACATGCTCCAAGCTGTGAAGGGAATTGAAGGACTTGAATCGTATGGAACCTACTTACCTTAGAGGAAAGTAACTCAGCCCGTGCAATCGATTTATTAACAACCAACAGCTCGATGCCATACGTCATTTGGCATATGTCTGACCTATTCCTAGCCTATTATCGAGGAGGAAATTGTTAGACCGCCCTGACGAAATCCAAAGAAATATCCGCTGTCTAGAAAAACTCTATTCAGATTTGAACTTTCCACAGACCGAGTGGAATAACTAGGTGCCATTGGAAGATTTATTCCTTATACTCATGAGCATGATAGTCTTTGAATATACACATCTAATGGTTGTTGCATTTCAGTGTGCTAAGGGGAAGAGGAAATACTATATGGCTACACTCTTAGAGAACAACCTGGAAACATTGTATTGACGACGAAACAATTGTAGACAATGGACTTGCATCTTAATCGATTCTATGAGAAATAAGTCGAGGGACACGATTGCGCAACGTTCTTGCTCCCTGTTTCTTGCTAAAATACAGTATAAACCTAAGGATTGCTGTGGTCACTCTCACAGCCACACCGGTATGCTCGTTCATGCCACTGCCTTGGACAAGAGAGAATCCACAAGGTTATGGAATGCAACGTCAGCCAAGCTGAAATCAAGGCAAGGGCCGATCATAGCCCGAATAGTGGCACTTCCGAAGCAGTGCCGTTACAGTGCAAGGGGATGTATTCGCAGGCGAGAAGGCAGACTCCACCAAGCCCTGCAGTCCAGATGTGAAGTCAAGCGGATGGATCAATGCAAGCAAGCAGACACGGCAGAGTCGATGTTCGGATACTTGATTGTTCGTACAGAGGGACTGGGAAAACTTGGGTTGAAGACCTGGGTCGTTGGATCAACAGACTTCACCCGGGCATGTGGGAGTCTAGCATGACCGCAAGATCGTTAGCGAGTGCTCTCCAGTGGATGGGACCACCAGATGCAGAAATCTGTTGTGGATCGCGAACGGCTGAGAGTACCCATACTCCGTACTCATTGCCGGTGTTCGATCTGGCGCAGGGTTACTATCTAACCTGCATAATCGTGTACAACCTCGAGGGATGGACTGTTCACGTTGAGCACATAGAAATTGGGCGATGCCGCATGGAGTACGAAAATTATTCTCATGGAAGAAAAGAAGAGCCCGAAGAGTAGATGGTTGTTACGAGAATGATTGACGATATGGATATTTGAGTTTCTATTCCCGTCTTGACACACCAATGTTTGGTTCAATTTAGTTTGAGGCGCATGTCCAATATCGAATTTCAAGATGCTAGAGGACACCCAGCTCAAGAAGAAAGTCGGTCAACGGTCAACCAAGGTGAAGGAGATGAAGGGACGCCTTATTTAGTACGCGGGCCCAGGGATCGGGAAATATTCCTTGATATCATCCTACGGTCCACTTGTCTTCACGGTCTTAGCCAAAGCTGAAAGGCCAAACTGCAAGGGGCACGTAGCCGAGGCAAAAGCGGATCAAAGCAGCCATCAAGCGAGGGCTGCCATCCCATATTCGAGAGACGAGAAAACCACAAAAAGTCGTGCGTCGACAAAATAGCTCTCGATTCGAATTATCCAGTCTGCATTCCCAAGAGTATGGGTTGCAATTTAATATTTATTTCTGTGCAGCTTCGCCTTGTGGAATGCTCCGAAAACCATAACCCGGGTAGCACAAGTTAACAAGACAGGGAATCCACATCCAAAATCCGTGCCGGGTTTTCTGATAACTCCACCGGGGCGAACCCCTTCGCTAATACATATTCGAATACGACGGCCGGGCGCTACGCCGCAGAAACCAGCCCTGCGAACGTCTGGATTGGTCGTTGACTTCCGAAGCGGGAGGCTCAGCCCCTGAGCGGGAGCAATCAAGGCGACACGTATTTTCTGCCCTTGGAAGTTGGGAGTTGGAGCCCTCCAATCCCGAAAGATGTGTGTATACGGGTGTGGGAACTTGACGGGTTTAACGCGCCGCGTGGCCAAGTGGCCAAAGACAGTCCGTCGCTCTGATGTAACGGAACTAAAAGAAGACCGGCGGCACTTAGGACTGTTCATGAGTTGTCATGACTTGAAACATACACCAAGACACTGAAAGTGAAGTAGAGAAAACGACTTGAAGAAAAGCCGCTGGTCTAGAGGATTCGATGCAATGGTGCAGAAGATCTTTGCCAATCACGCCCCCAAGAGCGACCAGCGCCATCAAGATCTCGGCGGCTTGAGTGAGACAACCCCTGTCTGGCGCTGTCTAGCGCGGGACAATGGCTCGAATGGTCAATGGAGAATAAAATAGGGGAACGGCGGAATCCTGCCCGTCAGTTCAAAGAAAAACAATCCACCATGTTCACGGCATCCACTCAGACCACCATCCGGCCCCCGTTGCAATCCACTTCGAGTACAACCTGTCCCGATCAAGGATCTGTTCCTGGATGTCAAGCAGGGGGTGGGCTTACATGCGCCCTCCGCTTCATTGGCCTCGGGACAACCACACCTTTGCGCGGACTGTGCCTGAGCCGCCAGCCAACCGCCGTGCCGTTCCTGGCGTCCCATGAACAAATGCGGACTTAGTGCATGCGTTCGTGTGTTTGAGGTTCTCTGGGCCTGCAGGAAACATGTTCTTGTGTCCACTCACAAGCGCATATGTCAATGCACAAGTGGCATAGAGACATGGGGTGGAACCACGATTACTTACGTATGTTGGCAGACGATGCACAAGAACCCTTGAGATATCTCCAGAACCTGCAGACTCTGTCAAGGGGTCGAGAAGAGGAGCGGGCTATGTATGTTCTAGTTCGTTCTCCATCCAGAGCCCCTGAACGAACCACTGCTTCCCGGACTTCTCACCAAGCCTCAGTCGGTATGAGGAGACCCAATGACAATGAGATTGCTGGAGAAACAGGTAGGCCATAGGCCCCCCTGGACATCTCAGCCCGTCGTTCCGCGGGTGAATCGAATGGCCAGGAGCAAATCTGGGTCGATCGTCTTTTTCGGTTCGGTATAAGACTCACGGTAACCCCATGGCAGCAGACGCCTTGCGCGTCTAGGTCCTCCCTCTCACCTTCTTTCAAGATTCCTGTTCTGGTCTCTTAAGTCATTCTTTTGTTCAAAACAAAGCCTTTGTGATCCTTCATTCTATTCTGTTCACTCCCTTTACAGTTCGAAGACCCATTTCTGTCGTTTCTTGACCGTGTTTTATGTTTCTAGTTTCTGTCGTCTTATTCTAGTTTAAACCCCGTTCTCTGTTTCTCATATCAATCTTTAGCCCATAATGGCGCCTTCGCTTTTCTCCACGCTCTCTTCCGCCCTCCTCCTCACGTCATCCGCGACCGCCTTGCAGACCTACCAACTCGCCGACAGCTACGACTCGACCAACTTTCTTGAGAAGTTTGGTTTCTTCACGGCATGTACCAAATCAATGGGCGAGGCGCAAGATCTTTGACTGACCTTGTTTCTTTAGAGCGATCACTCTACCGGAAACTACAACGATGTTGACCCCACCGGTGGATATGTCAGCTACAAGTCGGCAGCGGATGCTCAGAGCATGGGTCTCGTGAAGACTGAGGGTGGTGACCTTTACCTCGGTGTCGACTCTACATCTACCCTCGATGCCGCTGGTATCGGCAGAAGCAGTGTAAGAATCGAGAGTACAGCCAAGTATGGCCAGGGACTCTTCGTCATCAACTTTTCTCATCTTCCTAAGCCTGTCTGCGGTGCCTGGCCTGCGGTGTAAGTTGCTTCATCTCATGTTCCCCTCTCCCTTCATAATGCTTATGAGATATTCATAGCTGGACCGTCGGCAACCCCTGGCCCGCCGCCGGCGAAATCGACATCGTCGAGACCTGGAACGAAGACAATGTCAACAAGGTTGTCCTTCACACCGACGGCACCATCGCCGAGTGCCGCATCGACGGCACCAACATGACCGGCACCATCAGCAAGCCCAATTGCGCAAACTACGCCGCGGGACAGTCCGACAACGAGGGCTGCGCCGGTCTCGACGCCGCAGCCCCCTTTGGATCCGCCGAGGGAGGAGTCTACGCTATGCAGTGGACCGATACCGCTATCCGCGTTTGGGGCTTCACCCACGCCAACGTTCCCGCCGACATCGCGAGCGCCAACCCCAACCCCGACGCGTGGGGTACGCCCAGCTTCACCACCAGCACCTGCGCTGCCGATAAGCTCTTCGAGGAACAGAAGCTCGTGGCCAACATTGATTTCTGCGGTGTGGCCGGCAACGATGGTATCTGGACCCAGACTTGTGAGGCGAAGACTGGCATGACCTGCAAGGAATATGTTGCTGCCAACCCGACTGCCTTTGCCGATGTCTTCTTCAAGATCAGCTCCATCAAGTACTACAACCTCAAGGATGGTAACGCGACTGCCTCCGTTATCTCCAGCCAGGTTGCCGCTTCTACTGTTGCGCAGACCGCCGTCGTCAGCTCCGTTCTCTCCACCGCCGTGGCCTCCGAGAAGCCCGTTGCGACTTCTGCCGCCGCCGTCGAGAGCTTGACCACCCGCCTAGCGACGTCCACCGTTTACGCTACCAACATCAAGACCATCACCTCTTGCGCCGCCGAAGTCACTAACTGCCCGGCCCGCGAGACCCCTCAGGTTGTTACCGAGGTCGTCCCCATTACTACCACCATCTGCCCCGTCGTCGACGTCCCTACGCAGTTGACCGTCATCAAGACTGAGGTCCACACCATCACCTCCTGCGCCCCTGAGGTCACCAACTGCCCGGCCAGACAGACCACCGTCACCAGCCAGGCCGTCATCCCGACGACTGTGGCCATCCCCGTCGAGAGCTACACCCCTGGAAAGCCAGCCGGTGGCGATGCCCCAATCACTGTCAGCTCCCAAGAGCCCGTCGCTGACATCACCACCGCCATCACAACCTACAAGACCAATATTGTCACAATCACCTCTTGCGCTGCAGAAGTCACAAACTGCCCGGCCAGGACGTCCACTATCGTCACAAGCAAGGTCATCCCCACCACAATCCCCGGTGCTCCCGCCGTCCCCACCACCGCCGAGTCCGCGAAGCCCGTCGTCACCGAGCCCGTCGAGCAAATCACCACCTATCTCACCAACATCGTCACCATTACTTCCTGCGCCGCAGAAGTGACCAACTGCCCCGCGAGAACCTCCACCATTATCACTAGCGCCGTCGTCCCTAAGCCTACCACCGAGGCAGGCCAGAAGCCCGTCCTTACCACTGACGTCCCCATCGTCTTGACCACCTACAAGACCAACCTCGTCACGATTACCTCCTGCGCCGCAGAGGTCACAAACTGCCCGGCCAGGACCTCGACCATCGTCACCAGCGAGCTCATCTCCACCACAGTCCCCAAGCCTGTCACCACCCCCGTTGTCGGCGGCACCGCCGTGTCTGAGAAGCCTGTCCCCGCAACTTCCGGAGCTTCAACCGCCCCTGGCGCCGGTGTCCCTACTGTCGGTGTCCCTGCCTCCAGCAGCACCGTCTCCGCCGAGAAGCCCGTCCTCGAGACCCCGGGAGCCTCCGGCACCCCTAGCGGTCCTCCCCCTATTCCTACGACCTTGGTCGTTGCACCGTCGGTTGGGTTCAACGGCACTCTTACTACCGCCGTGATCCCTGTTGGAACTGGGTCTACCTCTCCCTGTGTGGGCGCCGCGTGCCCGGCGACCACCACTGGTCCCGTTCAGGCCGGTGCTGGTAAGCTTAGCTCCGGCGGCCTGATTGCGGCTGCAGCGGCGTTGGCTGTTCTGGTCATCTAATGTGGGATGTAATCTGCCATTTCATGTAGAGAATGTTTCCTTCTGTCTTATTTGTATACTATATGGTTCTCATAGAGTGCATATACCCTTCGGTTAGCATGGGAAGCGTTGGAAAAGCGCCTACCAATGTATTTTTCAACTGTTCATACAGCATGTCTATTCATGCAAATGCCTCCCTACTGTTGAAGCGAATGGTGAAGATCCTAATTATGGAACGAAATCGGCCTTGAGTCCGAATGTGTACATCTTTTATGCACTGGTTTGGAGGGTTGCATCCGAACAACTCAACGAGTTATTGGGCAGATGGGTACCTCACACACACTAGGAAGCGGGCCGTACCGTGAGACCGAACGCCTCCATATGTAGCCTGTCTAGAATGGTAGCGTGCGAATCATTCATGTATGTACCTTGGCACGCGGGTGACAAAAAAAGGGACATAACATATTCCTCTCATGTAGACTACCTTATTACAGCATCAAGTAACTAGTGAATTAAATATAATAAAATTTTCATATAGTTATTATTTACCTCGAAAGTATTTCAGTATTTTTATGTATTTAATTTAAGGTATTAAAGTAGTATAGAGTGTGCTGGAAGTACGGGAGCTGATGATACTAAGTGCCTTAAGGTGTGTCCTTTTTTTTGTCACCCGCGTGCTTGGGTAAAGTAGGTGGAAGGTCTGTTGAGGCTGGCTTCGCCGACTCTCCGGCTAGGAGCATAAGTCTCTGCTGTCATCTAATTACTTCAATTTCTGCAATGCCATAAACTACCGGTAGTCTGGGCACTTATTTTGGCGTAAGTATGTGTGTATATCATCCCTTGAATAGCATCTTGGCTCTAGCCAGCCTAGCGGAATGCCAGTGCCGTGATCTCTTGGTGAGACACCCCATCTCCTCGTCATCAAAGCGCGTCAGGGCTGCAAGTGGAACGGACTCCAAATGACCGCCGAACGACGTCAATCGACCTCGAACATCAAAGGTTTCCCCCTCACCTCGGTCAACTTTATGACAGCGCGGCGTACGGTATCTCGATTCCAGCGGGTATGCGAGCCGTATTCTTGACATTTGGGGAATCCTACCGCAGTTTAGCGTATACGCGATGACCAGCTACGTACGTCACAAACGCTGGGTGTCGTAACCCCCCTCCCCTCACCGTGTTACCGCGTACCGGTGGTGCAATACACCAGATTGCGCCTTCGTGCCACGAGCGGCCTAGGAGGGTTTCAAACATTGACTTTTGTCATAAAGCGCTGCTTCAGCTGCTGGACGGGACATTTGCAGTTCTTGCTCTCTCATCAACGCAAAGTAAAAGCTCATAATCCTCCTCTTGTGTGGAGTTCGCGATCCTATCCACATTTACCCGCCCAATTCTCGTCATCCACAAATCGACGTCATTGTCATGGCTGACCCAACTGTCATCGTTTTGCCCGGCGCGGCTGATGGCTCCCATCACACTGATCAAGAAAGATCGCAGAGTAAGTTTGGTAGGCACCAATCAACATTGGTAAGCTGGAAGACTCACATTTCTTTAGTTGCATTGAAGATCCAGAATGCCTTGAGTGAAGGACAGTCGCCAAGATCGGCACAAGATGGCCCATTGCGGCAAGTTCTAGGTATTTAGTGTATCCTACTTTGTCGACGATAACTAGCAAACATTCTAACAAAGGTCTTAATATAGCTCAACAAGATAGCTTCTACAAGTATATCAATGTGCGTGTTCACTTAGTACTGTTACTCGAGCTTTGCTAACTCACAACTTTAGTGGGAAGACCCTCTTCGTACACTCGGCGTGTACATCGGCGCCTTGAGCGTTTTGTTCGGGGCACACTACTTGCCTCTCACTCAATTGGCATTGAAGGCCGCAGTAACGACTCTCGGAGGTAAGATCTCAAGCACACCAACCCAGTAATGCTCTCAGGCGCATTGAATGCTGAACTTCGCTAGTTGTCTCGGCTGCCGAATATGCCAGCCGGTCATTCGGTTCCGACTCCTTATCCACCCGTCTGCGACCGAGGCAGTACAGAAGACTGCCAGAGTCCGCCCTCAATAACACTCTTAGAGATGTTCACGACTTGATTCAATATGCAGTGGTAGAAGCTCAGCGGGTTATCTACGGCGAAGACCTGGGCAAGACATTTGGCGTGAGTACAGATGCATCATCTGATACAGGACGTCCTGGCTGACACATCTTCAGGCTTTTGTCGGCTTTGCATCTTTGTATGCGCTCATCAAAGTCCTTTCTCCGTTTTGGCTAGCCGTGGTTGGAGTGACTGCCATCTTCGTCGCTCCTCTCGCTGCCTCGCCTCAGGGACGAAAGGTTGCCCAAGACGCGTCTATACAGGCTCAAAACGCGGCCAACGTGACCGCTCAAAAGAGCGCAGAGCTTGCTCGCGATGGACAAGCAAAGGCGGCTGAACTGTCCTCCAAGGCCCAACAAGCGACTTCTGATGCCAGCACAACTCTCGGCAACGCTGCTCGAAGTGGTCAACAGACGGCGTCCGATGTGACCAGCACAGCTACCGAACAGGCTAGGAACTTGCCGCAGTCAGCCACACATGCTCTCAACAAGGCCCCTGGCTCCCTTACATCGATCTTGGGAGACGAAAACCACAGCGCTAATGGTTTGTCGGCAAGCAACAACAACAACAACCGCCCCGCAGATGAGCGCTCTCGTCAGCAGCCTTCTGGATACGTTACTAGCACTGGAACAGATGGACTATCTCGTTCGTCAATCAACGAGACTGAGATCCCGAGACGTGCGCCCTTGGATCTTGAGGATCAGCTGTCTGCCGAGCAATCTAGTCTTCCCACGCTTCCCAGATCTCTGCCTGTCAAGTCTGACATCGAAAATTTGGGGAGTGGAACGGCTACGATTCTCAGATAGATGACTGCATCAGGTCAATTCTCGGTCATGATTGGAAGAAGAGAGGAATGGTCTTAGTTAGTTTCACGAAGATCGATTATAAAATAGAAGCTTAATGTTTACCTCTTCACATGATTGACAACGTTGTGCACTATAGTTGTTGAAGGCCTGACATGGGAAGAAGCTTGAATATTTATAATGCAATGGCCAAAACCAAGATTGACGAGCTTCTCAATATATCGACGGACTCGCAACTCCCTTAGAGAGATTTATGGTGCTAAGGCATAGGGGAAAGTCTAGATTGAAACTCGATGTAGGATGGTCTAGGACGAATTAGTGTCTAGAAATGATCACTATCGTACGTTCCTCTACTGCTAATGAAGTTTCTCACTGCGCGATAATTACTAAAAGTTTAGAGGTAAGGGTTCAATTTCTCAGTCCCTAAACTAAGCTGTAACCGCGTGTTCTATACAAAGATTCCTCCGCAAATTAATTTTATGTAAATTAGCGACAAACTCATTTCTCGATGAGTCTTGCACCTTTTTTTGGTGACCAAAGGTACTCCAATCTCAAGCTAGTTGGTTCGCTTTCTCGAGTCTTGCTTTCATTTTGCAATAGGGTTGGAGTTCAGCTGTCTTTCTCGATACGATACAGCAAAGTGCCATGTCCGAATGAATCATAGCCGCCCGAGTTGGGGCTGTAGTCACCACCACCGCCCTCAATATTGGCGGTTAAGTTGCCATTGACAAAGTCACGGAACTCCATGGACCACGAAGCGTTGAGACCCTTGACTTCCGCATAGTGTGAGTAGATTGTTTCATAGCCAGGCCGCACATCGAAACGAGCTTTGGGAGCGACGACTTCCAGCACGCCCTCCCAGCTGCGATAGGGCGTGTAAGGAACAGTGTGGTTGGTGTTGTACTTGGCAACATACTCGGCGCTATCTTGAAGTTAGTGACCTGCTGGAAGTCTCAGATTGAGAAAGGATAAGGACTCACGCGTTCAGGATCTGGCGGCCAAAGGTGTCATAAAGATCAGCTCCCTGGTTCCATCCCTGTTGTCCGATAACTCCTATGAGCGCGATGCAGAGCAGAGCATGCCCCTGGTCACGGCCAGATTCTTGAATCTGCATTAGAGTCTTTCTGCTGGCTTCCTCCGTAAAGTTTGCGATTGAGAGATAGGGCAGGGCACCATTGGCTACAACCTCGGGCTGGCCCGGAAGCCCATTCTTGAAGTAGTTGACGGCGTAGTCGTACATGGTTCTATTGTCGTTGAAGATACCAATGGCCATCAACGATGCGATGTTACAGAGATCCCAATTGGCGTAGTAGAAGTCTGGCTTGTTGTTGTGGTGCTCGAGGAAGTCGCGGTTATACACCGCAAAGACGCCGTTCAGCATACTGCCAAAGGCTGTCTGGTTCTTCTTGGGCCAGCCGGAGTATCCACGGAGAAGCTCGGCGGCGTTGGCGAACTGGTAGCCGTAAAGTCCTGCCGCGAGATACTTGTCTTCGGTGCCGTTGATATCGACGAGAGAAGAGCTCCAGCCGTCGAGAATCTTGGCTGCGTGGTCTGCGTAGGAAGTGTTGCCTCCGACCAGCCACCGAATGGCCAACTGGTAAGCCGAGTGGGCATCGCGATAAGCATAGCCGTAGTTGTTGGTGGGCGCAAATGTTGCGTTTGTGCCGCGAATAAGAGTTGACTGCGGTGTTGGCTTCCAAGATGTTTGAGCTAATTTCCCAGATTCCAGATGCTGCCAAGCTCGGTACCAGGGCTGATCTTGGGCTTGGACATGGCTCTTGATTCTTGCGATGTCTTTGGAGGAATGTAAGGCGCCAGGATGAGCGAATGATGTGCCATTAAGGCTATGCAGCTGCTCAAGGGGTGAAGCTGCCGCGCTCCATGATAACAGAGGGAGGAGAAAAACGACCTTGAAATGCATGGTGACTGCCTGAGACCGAAGAACTCTGATCGTTTAAGAGTGACCAGATGTTTGATACATCGAGTATAACCATTGACGGCTTTTAAGCAACATAAAAAACCTGAAGGTGCATCATCAATAACCTTGCAGTCAACAGGAGTGCATACCCGTTCACAGCACCGGCGCGATCTCCCCCGGTTGACAGTCGATCCTTGCTCTACCCCACAAACGCGGGATGACACGACCCGGCCCGCTGCGTTGCGTGGCCGTCTTTTACGATCGGCGCGGGCGACACCGAGATCTCTCCCGGATTTCCGGGGAGCAATATTCAGTTGAAGGTAGACAAAGCTGAGCCCCTCGGTTGAAGCCTAGTATTTCCTAAGTCGCAACACACATCTTAGTCAACATACACAGTACATGTACGCTCAGCCGCTTCACGTCTCCGATTTGATGTAAAGATGTCATAGAATCGCGGGCAAGAGTTGAAGAACATTCACGTTCTGTATTAGGATCGCATCAGTTAAGTCTACATAGAAGATAATAATAAGATTAAAAGTGAGCTTTACAAAGAGAAAACAAAGAAAAAGCACAGCAGAAACCGAACGGCGCCGCATTCGCGTCCTTGGAGCAACTAGCGATGAGTTGGTCGCCAACAACAGCTTGAGAGTTCGAGATAACAACACGTCCGGCCGGGTTGATGAGTGAGAAGGTGAAGCTGCCGTATTTTTTAGCATTGACAAATAAGAAGTAGGAGAAGCGATTGGAATGGCTGTTTAGCATGATTCAGCGTAGGCAAGCCCCGATATATCGGACGAGTTTGTCGTTCGCCCAGGCCCCGAAAACACAAGAGAAAGTGACGAAGGAGTACCCCAGTTCCCAAAGACTGATCGAATTGGGTAGAAGAACCCGGCAACGAGGTTAGTGCTGACACAACCAGTGTTCCCGGACGCAGCGAACCAGTACTGAGCCAGTGGAGTGGCTCCTCGAGGGGTTGCTCCTTTGGAGGGCTGGCCACAAGGAAACGCGCTGATGCTGCCGAGATACAGAACGTCGCGGTTGTCGGCGTTAGGTGCGTAGCAGAACGTGTATGTTCCGGTCTGGTCAGGACGGAAATAACCTGTAAAAACGAGGGTAAAGTTGTTCGCGTTGTACGTGATTCCTCCGTAGGTTTGGGTCAAGCCATCGTAGTACTGGAACGTCGCCGACGAGCCCGGTGTCTGCGGGTTATATGGCGTTGCGGTCGAGCCAGCTGATCCCTTAGAAGGAACCCCAAGTGAATTTGTGCTGCCCTGAGCCAAGGGTGCTTGAGATAGGTAGTAGTCAGGACCAACACCTGATCGACCATCGGACACTCCGTATCCACTGGCAACCTGAACAGAGTTGGCATAGGCCCTGAGAGTCAGTCCAGATGTGGCACAGTTTACCGGCGGTGTAGCGCAAGCACCAGATGGCACAGAGCTCGTACTCGAGCTGGATGATGTGCTTGTGGCGCTGGGTGTGACGAGTGTAATGACGCTCGTGGTTCCAGCTGGATCGCTCGGAACGATTGTTGTCAAGCCCGTCTGGGAAGCCGTGGAGGTGAAAGTCGTGAGGAACCCAGTTGGAGGGGGCATAAATGTAATGATACTCGTAGTCCCGGCAGGTTTAGATGGAACTATTGTCGTTACTCCCGTCTGAGTGGCGGTGGAAGTTTTAGTTGTTAGGAAGCCAGTGGGAGGAGGAACGAAGGTTATGACACTCGTAGTGCCCGCTGGGTCACTTGGAATGATTGTAGTTTCCCCTGTCTGGGTGGCCGTCGACGTCAGAGTTGTTAAGAATCCGGTGGGAGGAGGTACAAAAGTAATAACGCTTGTGGTTCCAGCAGGGTCAGACGGGACAATCGTAGTTGCCCCCGTTTGAGTGGCCGTAGAAGTGAGGGTTGTCAGGAAACCCGTTGGAGGAGGTATAAATGTGATGACACTCGTTGTGCCGGCCGGGTCACTCGGGATTATCGTTGTCACTCCGATCCGGGTAGCTGTGGAAGTGAGAGTTGTGACGAACCCGGTGGGCGGAGGTACGAACGTAATGACGGTAGTAGGTCCCCCACCGGTGCCGGGTGGAACTGTTGTCAGTCCCGTCGTACTGGCAGTCGACGTAACGGTAGCTGGAGGCGGGCCAGTGACAAACGTAACAATGGTAGGAGGGCCACCACTCGGGCCAGGTGGGAGAGTTGTTAGACCAGTAGTAGATTCCGTAGATGTGAGCGTTACTGTTGCTGGTGGAGGACCAGTGACAAATGTGATTAGAGTTGCGGGGCCTCCACTAGGGCCAGGAGGTAAAGTCGTCAAGCCAGTAGTGCTAGCTGTCGAAGTTAACGTCACAGGCGGAGGGCCAGTAACGAAGGTCACAATTGTTGGGGGTCCTCCAGGGCCGCCAGGAAAAGTTGTCAAGCCAGTGGTGCTCGCCGTAGATGTGAGAGTGGCTGGTGGGGGCTTGTAACGAAAGTGAGAACTGTAGGAGGGCCACCGGGGTCTCCGGGTAGTGTTGTCAGACCGGTGGTGCTAGCGGTGGATGTCAAGGTCACAGGCGGAGGACCGGTAACGAAGGTGAGGACGGTGGGTGGACCACCAGAGCTTCCAGGAGGAATTGTGGTTAGGCCGGTAGTGCTGGCGATTGAGGTCAGGGTGACTGGTGGGGGGCTTGTCACGTATGTGATGACCGTAGGAGGGCCACCGGGATCTCCAGGAAGAGTGGTCAAGCCCGTTGTACTGGCGGTAGAGGTGAACTTTACCGGCGGAGGGCTTGTCAGGTAAGTGACAACAGTAGGAGGCCCTCCATTAGACCCAGGCAGGAACATACTAGATGTATCTATCAATCAAGAGTAATAAGGATGCCGATAAGGTGTATCTAAGGTGTTTTGGTATAACGCGTGTCCATCTGGAGATTAGGATTATACTCCTATGCGGAGACTTCAGGGACTTCGAAAAGGAGAACTGGGATACTCAGCCAAGGTAGAATGATGATGAATATGGCTATTATGGACTGCGATGTCTCTCCTAGTTAGGTGTCATTGTGTCTTGTGTTCAAAGTTAAGGCTCCGTGAAGGAATTTAACAGGGCAGTATGCTCTTTTTCGGCTAGAATATCGCCACACCATCTAGTCAATTGACTGGACTGGCTAAGCTTTAATCACTCTTCTTGAGGAGTGGAGTAGGTCTTGCATCCAGTTGATGCAGACTTTTCAGTGACAATATCCCTACAGGTACTTTACTTAGTAGGTAATACCTCATATGCACTCGTACCAAGAGTCACCCCCCATGACTATCAGATATCACTTGCATCTCGCGATTGTTATGCGGTAAAGTATAACCCGAGCTCTGGGCTAGTTCAAGGTCGGAAAGAGATCGTTCTTGGCGTTGAGCTGAGGCTGACGAAAACTACCTAACCTTGGTTTCGAGGGCAGGCCGCTGGACTCGCAAGGGGAAAGAAGTCGTACGAGAAATGGAATGAACAGTCCCAGCCGGTCTTGACAATACTTTTCCATCTCATTTCATGTCTGAAAGCGGCGTCTGTTAGACATGAGCTTGGCTTCAAGAATTGCCTATGTCTTAGTACCCAAGAGAACACACGAGCTGCTAAAGACAACAGAGTTAGTGAGGGCACATCGCAGCTGCGTCTCAGACTCTAATGCTTCGTGGTCGGACGTCATTCGATGTACTCCATTCCCCACTGACATTTTCATAGCTACGCAATTTTCAGACATGAGTTCCAAAATGTTATTCTCTCGTGAGTCAGGCAAATTTCACCGGACGAACTTTTGCATGACTCACCGAGACTGGGTAATGCCGATGAAATACTCTTCCTGATTAGCTGCAAGACGGATGCGGATAACGAGTCAAACCTTCATGTCGGTTGTTACTCGGTGAGTACTCCGGATACACCTTCTCTGTAATGAGGTTTCCGGATTCTAGATTCCGCTCGAAGTTTGTGCCAAGGACCCAAACCAAGATTGAATCTCACTGTCAGCTATTCGATCTTTGCTGATGCAAATGCATATGTCTGAGATTCAAGGCCGACTAGCAAGAAGGTACATAAGTCCAACAAAGAGCTTGCCATCGTCTTCCTCTCCATAGTACTCTTGCCTCTTCCACACGTTTGGTCTTCCATAATCGTTAATTCTGTAAACTTCTTGATATCTTCACGAAGATCATATCCTCGGAGACACCATGAAGAAAGAATTTACGTACGCCGTTGCAATCTTTGCAGCAACGTCTGTGACCTTGAGCACAGAAGCTAGGACCTTATCAACTAAGACAGCTGATTGCTCTGTGAGTCTTGGTCTTGCTTGAATCCCGGATTTCTTCTTCATTCTGATTACATAACTCCTAGTCCATGTCCCCTCAAAACAATCTTCCAACGGCGACAGTCAGCCAAATCGGAACTTCTGCTATCAACGGTAAGCGACTGAATGGATGCCCCATTTTTCCGTATTTTTAATCGTCAAATAGGGCCATCAAACAATCCTGGAGCTACAGTCACAGCGTCTGACAATGTTTCGACAGCGTCAGGAATAATTGTGGTGCCGACTTCAGGACCAGCAGTCCTACCGGGAAGCCAAGGTTCTGCTTCGGAAGGTTCCGAGACTATCCGTACTTCATCGACTACGAGAGCCTCACCTTCTGGAACTACAATCGTCCAGGCTCCCACGGCCGGTTCTGAGAAGTTCAACCCTGTGTCCTGGCTGTCGGGAATTTTGGCTGCCTTGGCATTGATTATGTAGGACTATCTCAGGGATACGTTTTCTCAGGGGTCATATTCACTCCAAAACTTCGTCAGATTCCTGTCAGGGTTTACTACGTTACAAGGAGGACAACTGTAACCATTCAAAGTTTACCAACACAAGTTCGAAGTATTCTGAAACCTGGAAGTGCACTAGCCGAGCGATTATTATCAAAACCAATTGATAATACATCTCCTACTCTGCTGACTTACTGAATTTCACCCCTTCAACGTGTTCATTGACGAAAAGGGGTACAAAGTCTTCCACCATGTAACACTTAGGCTTCGGCATTTCTTCATGATCTCGTCCCCGACCCTCAAGTTCTCGAACGTGACGTTCTTCACCATCCGATCTTGGTTATATCCCATAATCATCGATGGATTGACAACCTTCGAGCCTTGTAGCTTGACCGACATGTTCTTGACGTGAACGTCATGAACGACGCGACCCGAAGCAGTGGTCCACATCGCGTTTTTCATAACGCGAATATTGATGAGCTGTCCCTTTGTGATTTTCTCAACTCTGACATCCTGGATGTGGATATCATGGAGAAGATTCTCGTCAGCAGCGTTGATAGCGATACACCCCTGGTACCACAACTGATTCTCTTCGTGGTCCAAGATATCGATGTTGCTTATGTGAACATGGCTGGTGGTTTCTGGCTTTGTTGGGTTGCCGTGTGTACCCATGTTGATGGCATGAGCAATGTCCGGCAATAACACACAATTGCGGATCGTGATGTTCTTTGAGTCGCCATACCAGTCCCAACGATGAGAGTACAGCGCGATAGTATCATCCGAGTTTCGTAAGAAACAGTTCTCGATAGTGATGTCCGAAGAGCAGAAGAAGTCAACTCCATCGCCATTGCCTGCAAACGAAAAGGATCGATACCTGTTGACAAGAACGTTCTTACACTCTCCTGAAGCCATTGGCTCCAAGAGAAGTAACCCCTTCAACCTGAATGTTGCTTGCTCGGCTCATGTGGATGGCGCCGCCATGCTCTCGGTAGACGTATCAACCCTCTGGCCCGAGGATAAAGCCGTGACCTTTTACAGAAGAGTTGAATACGTCAATGAAGTTCAGTCGACAAGTGATGAAAGCGCCGCCGGCCAGATACACTGTCTTGCCTGAAGGCACCATCAAGTTGACCCCGTCGGTGACTTTAGAATATGCCGAACCCTGATTGATGCCCGGTCCGAAGTACCAGATGTCCTCGGAATCAGCCGTTGGCGCATCTTTGTCGATCTGATTGGTCAAGAGATGAAGTGCTTTCCACTTGTCTCCGTTGAGCTCTATCATTACATCCCGTGGCTGATCAAGATTGAAGACAATCGTGTCGTTTTCGACTTGCGCTGTAATGCCCAGAGAAAGAGGCCGTATGGCAACCGTCTCAATGGCACTCGCCTTATATTTCACCCTGACTGTTGTCGGTGCGCTTGAATCGAAGGAAGCCAGAGCCACCGTGTGTCTGTCGAATGCATTTCTCGTGGTGTTGGCGTTTGCGACGTCGACTGCATATGCCGGAACCGAGCGCCATTGTTGAGGATCATCTCTCGATTCTACTAACGGGCGAGCTTCAACGATGAAGTCTCGGTTTAAGGGGAGACCAGAAGGCGCCTCGTAAATTTCGATTGATTCCGATGCCATCTTGGTAGAATACGGACAGTATTTTAGTCTGTCCGAGAATAGTGTGGGAAGATGTCGATGAAACAGCGTGAGTCTGTAGAGTTGAGGTAAAAGAGCGAGAGAGAGTATGCTGTTCCCGCAATCGCAACGCTTCAATCACTTCAAGATGATATTGAATCTGCTTCTGCAGGGGAATCTGTGGAATGGAGGTGTTCTTCAAAGGTGGTCGCTAAAAGACTTGGGGATGGAACAAGGGTTCTTGAGCTAATGCAGGTCTCTTTCTCAGGCTTCTGAAGCCGGGCCATCTCTCGGAATAGCTCCGTGAATTGCTCTCAAGCCCCGCTAATGAGATGTCGTGGAACAGATTTGGTCTGCGTGTCAGTGAGGTTCTTCGGAAATGTCAACGCCGAGTATGAAATGAAACGGCGGCGATTAATTCTCATTGGGCCACATGTTAAGTCAAGTCTCGTAGCTTTCCCCGATGTTTTCCCCGGCGGTTCGTTTCGCCAAAGGTGTATGAAATGTCTAGGGTCCCACTGGAGCCATCTCCAACGGAGTAATACTCTTGCAAGAAAGAATAGCCATGGAGAAAGATTGTCAAACAGCAGCAGATCCTGAGCCAAATTCGAAATCATCTGCTACGATGCTTGTCCCAACTCAGAATGTTGGTCACACCACAACTAGAAGTCTTCTTCGCCACGACACTAGAAGCACAGGAACAAGGCCTTCCGAAAAGGTCCCTAGGGCTTTACTGGGTTTGGGTCACATACGAGACGACTCGTACGGTTTACCGCAATGCACAAATCTTACTTTGGCTTGGTTTCACGTACAAGTAGCTGATAATCACGTGCATCATTCCCATGGCGGATTTATCGAGAAGGAAATCTTTCTCTCCCGCACTTCTGGAAGCAAACGTTCAGTTCCAGATCTCCTAAACTTGCAAAAAATGGTTCTGCTATTCTCCTAGCGTACTAATTAACTGTCCCATATTCATATGCTTAGCGCCAGAGTAGACGGACTGCACATTCAACCTGATCTTTTTCATGCAGTTGGGTCTCTCGCGAACTTGTAATTCGACGAGCGGGATTTCAACGGCAAAAATGGCCTTGTGGCGTCGAGACTTGGATGTGACCTCAGTAACATTGTCCTTTTCTGCATTGCTACAAAACTATTAGCATCGCATTGGCAAAGTGACTGCGTCCTCATCTACGAACCTCAACAGTGTACGCGACACAGGTCTGTAACGACAATCCATTAGCGGTTGAAACATGGTAGTATGGAGGCAGAAGGAGCGTACACATCCTGCCATACTCATCGAGCAACACTGTTCGGAAGCAGCGCGAACTGAATGGGGGTGATCCCGGGTAACCTTCGAAGGGTCTTCTGCCACCAGAGCGGCAGCCGCCGCCACCAGAGATATGATCGTGAAGAAAATGCCTCCCTTCATTATTGGATTGTGAAATAGGTCGGCCAAAGCAGATAAGTAAGTGATGAATGAGTAAGTCAAGTCGTAGAAAGCCTTGAGGTACAAGCAAAGGCCTTGTCATCGATGATTGTACATCACTTAACTTATCCCATCGGGTGCGGAATAGCTCCATTTTTGCCAAGGGCGGGGTAGACCCAATCAGGGGTTGTGAATCTATTGAGTTAACCAATAGAGTTATAGTACCTAAATGGCCTATATATTCTGCGTATGCCAGAGGTACCAATAATCCCCTTGAATATATAAGGGTACGTTACAGTCTAAACAGCCCTTCCTCGTGTATCTATGCGGTTATATGATGCTATTCCTAGATATTTTACCTAGCATCTAGCGGGCCCTTAATACCTTTATATTACTATAATAAGAATAAGGGGAGTTAACCTTCCATAACCCCTTTATATGGTGTTCCTATGGGATGGAGGTATTCCTTTTATCTATAGCCTGTCTAGGCCGTGACCTCTGCCGCCCTTATGCGAATGGTCTAAACTACTAGATAAGCTGTGCTGTAATTAGTTACTACTAGCGGTAATAGGTCTTTACCTTCTACTACCTAGGGCTGCCCTAGAGCTGTAGTAAAAAGCTATTTATAACTAGTACTTCGAGTAACCTCCTTGTCGAATAGGGTGGCTGTATTGATAGTAGGACCTTATCTAGTTACTCATATCAACCCCATTCATCTTGTGATTATACTCATCGATTGCCCTAGGCACTAGAAGGTCCTTGCGGACGTCTAGGCTAAACACTTGCCGGGTAGTTAGCCTTTTTAGTAATAGTATCCCCCGCTGGGCGGCGGCGGTTACAAATAACTTCCTAGCCGTCCTGGAAGACAGTTGATAGGAAGAGTACGAGGGCATTATCCTTCGAGGTGAATTGGTTGACCTAGTTCCTAGTTAGCTAGGTGTGACGCCCGCCGCAACTTGTCACTGTGGGCGCGTAGCTATATAATGCAGAACAAGGGACAATGATGCCGGAGTCATCATTATCGAAGCTTTTGCTTTGTGCCACAGTTGGTTGCCTTGTCCTGCTCGTAACACTAGGCTGAGTAGGGCTGGGCGGGCTGGTAGCTTACCTCCCTATCTAAAATAGGGATATAGTATATTTCGCCCTAGGGGATACCCCGTCCTTTAGTCTCTTTCTTAGTAATTAAGATCATATCTATCCTACTATTCTTCCGGTAGGTACTAGAAGCTCTAATCTATTAATTCCTTAGGGTACGAAAGAGACGTATAGAGGCGAAGAGGTTGTTAAGAAATACGTGGTAGGTTGCAGCTGGAAGTAGGGAAATAAGGGTAGTTACTACCTGCTGCGTTGGTGTCAACAGAGCCAGCTTTCCAGCAGCTAGCCCAGCAGGCCTAGCCAACCGGCCTGGGCTGGGCTGGGCAGGCTGGGCCTGGGGGACTAATGAGTATGGGCCCTTTCCATGTACGTGCCACAGCCACCGTATATAGTAGCCAGACTGGGCAAGGATCTAGATCTTATAGCTAGTTAGGATAGTTTTCGTTGGAATCGTTGTTATCTCAAGAGATCGACTTGTAAATCGGACTATAGCCTCGTCGATTATAAGGTCTAAACTAGGTATATAAAGAGAATCCCTAGTCTCTTGGATATAGGCTAGCTACTGGTTAACCTTCCGGTATACATCTGGCATTTGATCTTGGCCCCGGCCCCGGCCCCGGCCCTGGCTGGGCTGGCTAGGCTGGGCTGGCTGGCTGGGCCGGAATTCAGCAGTGTTAAATATCCGTAGTTGCTGGAGTAGTAGCTGAAAACGGTCCCGGGATATAAACTGCGTAAATAGGTGGATGGGATCCTCCCTCTCCTGCTAGGTTAACCAGTAGGTTAATAATTTAGATTCCCTATAGATCCCTATATATAATAAGATCCTTAAAAAGAGGTAGATCTTATTGGCTAAAGTCTTCCTCTATTTATTTGCTCTAGAGGTTCTAGCCCTAGGGCCCTCCTTAGATAAGGGCGCCGTATTTATCTATTATGCCTACTGCTCTACGAGGCTCTGCGGAACGTATTAAAGAAATAGTTTAAGCGGGCTTACCCGCAGCCCCTATACCTCTTGGGCCCGGGCCGGTACGTCGAAGGGCCGGAAGGAGCCCGGAAGACCATACTTAGTAGCCGGAGGTTCGCGGGGCCGGACTATCGCTACGTTATAGCGCTCGGGCGTATAATCTATATTACAGGTAGTAGTAAGGTCTTCTGGAAGGACCTCAATGTTACGACCCAACATGCACGACCAAGAACAGGGCCTGCCCCGCAGGCTTACGACGGTTACGATACGCCATACATGCACAGGACAAGGGGACACAAGGCACCCTCTCACGGAACGGAAGAACTATGGTACAAGTCACGTGATGATAAGATAAGGATCATTTGGGATCAATATGATCCAACACGACTTGGGGGCTAAACTTAGCGCCCGGCACGTCCTTTTGTTACCAGACGTTAAATACATCATCATCATCATCATTGGGGGCTAAACGATCATTCTGGATCAGAATGACCCAAGACGACCCAAGGGACAAGGGACATGTTCAGGATCAGGACTTGTATATAAGGATGGACTTGAGCTGGACTCTAGGACAGACTTCCATAGCTCTTCAGCAATTAACTTCGTATCAGATCTTATGATCGCTTTCAGCTATCTTTCCTGAGAACCTCTTTGATAAGACTACGATTGATCACCGCAGCCTTCACCTACCCTTACGATTGACAGACATAGCTTCCCTGAAGCTATCCCCGACTACGATTACTGTTACCAGTTCCGCAGCCTCAACTTCTGCAAACTACCCCTACGACTAGCTGGCCGTAACACTCAACTACTACATAGTTGCGTATAGAAGTAATAGAAGTATTAGATGTAATAGAGGTATCAGAATCACTAGAAGATATCATAGGATCAATCAAACTGGATATTGCTACCTCCATAAAAATGATCGTACTCGGCGTGATCTGATTCCCGTTGTTATTTACTTTACTGCGTATCCGTAAGGCGTTCTTCGGTGATCCCGACTGTCAGGAACTTAGACTTCAGCCGCTAGGCCCATTCAGAGTGCAACCAAAACTTTAATCTTGAACCATGAGACGATCTCGACTTTACAGTGGGACATACTCGCCGGTGCTTAGTTCGGCTTCGACTGCTTCGCCGGCTCCCACTTGCCCCGTTTTCTTCCAAAAGAGTAGAAAGCTTCGATGGTGATTCTGCAAGCCAGTCATGCCAAGGCTCGGAGCCTGGAGATGCTCCCCTGTTGTGATTACGCGCGCGTGCCGTGGTAGGAGTTCATCCGATACTGTTGCAGTCACGAACTACCTTAAATATGACTAACTTACCAGCTGCACCGAGTCTAAGATTTGTTGAATCATCTGAATAACAGCTCTTACACTCATTCTATCACAATCATTAAACACTCTTTACATTCTTTTTTGAAAGTTTTCAACTTGACCATTCTCTCTTTTTCAAAATGCAAACTTCTTTCTTTATGGCTGCTCTCCTGGCTGCGGTTGTGCCCGCATTCGCCTATGAAGTCGGAACCGGCTCTTGCTGCATCGCTCAGCTGAAGGCTTGCCACGAGCAAGGTGCCGACGCTTGCATCTGGACCAACGCGGCCATCTGCGTCAACAACCCCAAGAACTCTGTCCCCATTGACGAGACTTGCAACGAGCAGTGCCCAACTGCATCTGTGAAGACTCCGGATGGATTCGTCTACAAGTTCCAAAAGCATGCTGTTGGGCAGCGATTATCAGGTAGGGGGTCAATGGGATGTATTGATGAGTATGAAGAACGAGTGGCTATGGGAATATCCCGACTATCTATATAGTGAGTGGAAGACCCTTTATACTGGCATATCCTTGGCAAACTTAGTCATGCTTGTGTAAGACCATATTGTTTGACAATCGTTGTAACGAGTGTACTGGGATGGGCCTGACACATGCGTAGGTTCTTCTAGGGCATTGGTGTCTGCCAAGTATTAAGGTGCTTGGAACAAGAGCTAACAAGCTTTCAGCGCTCCCGCCGGCACCTGTGCTTGCAGTAACACCAACCCGAACGTTGGAAAGTACTGCTATGGGCGAAAGAGGAACCAGTTTTGATTCACTGAGAGGGCCTGAGATCCGACTTTGACAACGCAAGATGGCACTATTGTTTTGGAACAATGAATTATGAGCTTAGACCATGAGGTCAATGTTGAAAACCCAAGAATGGTTCGAATTCGCCGTTTTGTGACCCTCGCCGATTCCCGTCGAACTCTCTTGAAGAACTGTGGGACTGTAGATACCTGAGGCAGCAGCTGGTGCCCCAGGCACTAGCTGCCCGATCCACCTCCTGGTTGATCTAGCCCACCGTAGCCACCTTTCACCTTCTTGACGACATCACCAACCAACCAACAATACCAGTCGTATTGCCTCATTGCTTGCCTCGTTGATCCAGATGAGCAGTGTGTACTGCCCACAAGAACTCTAAGTGTCTCAAACCCAGTCCCGTCTCATCACTCCTTACTAAAAGCATCGACCAGCATTGGAGCATTGCGATGACATAATCATACTACAAAAAGCTTGGGAAAACGTGACGGTAAACGTGCCTCTGAAATGCGCCGATGATTTCCTCGATCTGAGGGTCTTGAGGTGGGATGACGTGAGACATAATAAGACCACAGACGCCGTTGCTTCGATCAATGAACTGTAGCTGACGGTTAGCAAGTGCAATTTAGAGAGACATGACAGACATCTAACCCAAAATTGATTTGTTCCACCACCCCACGCCAAAGTCTTTTGACCCCGAGGGCACTGCGCCTCTGAGCGACGACCGTCGATCAACATCCCTCCCAATCCCCAATCGTAGAGCTCGCCGCGGTAAAAGTCGCCGATGGTCAATTTCCGACCTTCGAACCACGCTTGAAGAGCTGCTCGACTTTGATCTGACAAGTTGCCCTGAAACATCAGTTCCACAGAGTCGGGCTGGAGTACACGCGTATCATTGCTGAAGATGGAAAACTAGAGTTGCATGTAGTCTCCTCCGCTGCAATAAGCCCCATGACCCCCGAAACACTCCCTATCGACTCCCTGGTTCAAAAATAGTATTTCGGGATGTACCTCAAGTCTCCCAGTATTTTCAATTCTTTCCGTGAGGCTGGCGACCTTGTGATGTCTCCCCTTGGCGTGTGGCCAGAAATTGACGCTAGATGCTTCCAAGGGTGCCCATAAATATAGTCTCAGGTAAGTTTCCAGCGACATGCTGGTAAGCTGCTCTACCAGCTTGCCCGCCCAATCAAGTCCGCATCCATACTCCCAGCCTTCCCTCGGTTCGAATAGGAGCGGGTCGTCAAAACGATCTTCAATAGTAGACCCCAGAATTTCCGGGAGTCTTCCTTGGAGACTTCGAAGTCGTCTAAGGCTTTTGTTTTGGAAGTAATAGCTAGTACCCGCGGAATGAGTCAAGAGATGGCGGAGGGTGATCGGGTTGCGATGCTCATTGAGGATAGGTGAGCCGTCTGGACGCCAGCCCACCAAGACTTTCTGGCGGCTCAGAGCAGAAAGCAAAGTGCTCACGTCGGTGTCTAGGGTAAGGAGCCTTCTGTCTACGAACTGCAGCACAGCTACTGTGGTTGGAAGCTTTGAGCTGGAAGCTAGCGTGAAGACTGTTTGCTTGTCGACGGGGGCTTGTTCAAGCCATGATTGTGATGGGCCGCCTAAACATTCGGATACGATATCGGATCCTGTTGGTATACACGTCAGCAGGGCAACCGTACGGTTGGAACGAAGTGTCAATAATGGTCTATTATTGCTGCGTCTAGAGGTGGAAGGAGGAGATTGTGGGCAGAGCCCACGATCTCCCAGAAGTGGTATATAAGTGAAAGGGCCGTTTGTAAGTGCCCATACTGCCTTCCGGATCCATCTTTTCTGCCGACTGCTCAGAGATCCAACAGATCCCGTCTTTGGTTTAGCTGTGGTCTGTGGAGGGGAGGTCTGATTGAGATTATTTAACCATCAAGACGTTTGGCGAAGAGTACTAACGAAGAGAACACGTCATCCTGCAAAGAATCACGCAGCAATTTCTCGAATGGTCTCATTTAGGCAAGGCTATACCCCAGATATAGAAAGACTGATTAAGTAGCGCTGGGCGGTTATTTACATTGGCTATTATCTCACGAAGATCGACCATTTTATATCGGAATGGGAGGGAGACTGAGACGCCTTAAACTCGCGTTCAAAAACTCAATGTAACGGTTTCAATGTGAGAAACTCCGAAAGGGTGCGCGAGAAAGAACAATCGGTGTAGTGGATCTGGGTAAGTAGCTCTAGATTCATCAGGACTGCCTCATTGAGCGGATTTGATCACGTACTAGTATGGAGTCCAATATTCACCATCACATCAGGTAAAATACCTGCCTACCTTAGATAAGTGATCACTTGAGTGGGGGGCATCTGGTTTGCCCGGACGTTCCGCAATGCAGATTGTTGAATAGGATATCTGAGAAAGAGAAAGTCAAATTGCAATACGAGGGTAGCTCTGTGGTGTTCGCATCGCCAATCTGCACCGGAAACGGGGCGTATTAGCGTGGTTGAAAGATGTGAGAAATGCCAGCAATGGAAGCTTCCCAAGCTCGTTTTCGCATCTGTGGGGGTCAGACTTTCAAAGTCGGTCGACTCAAGTCTGTGATTGCTGTTGAGCTTTGGTTGGGGGTCATTTCGACGGGCCTCCCCAGTAAGTCTTCCTTTGAGCTTCCTTCGCGACCATTGACCACGACAGGTTCAAAGAGGAATGATGTGACAATGTCAGCCACGGTCGTCATTTGCGTTTTTGCACTTTCTCACGTTGATCATGTTTCCACATCGTTTAAAATGAAACCGCATATGTCAGTTCAGTAATTATATTCAGGTTGAAAGACAGATTTGAGGTGATGTCAGAAAAACATTTATTCAACTCAGAGTTCGAGCAACTCACTCTCAAAGTCTATCATACAAGTTGCAATTCAGCGATGATAATCTGATGTGACCCAAACACTCTAGAAACCCCAAGAGCTCACAGTAACCCAATACAAATCATTCTCAAACATAGGTTGACGCACAGACATGGATCTATCTTATCCAGACAATTACGCAGAGAATGGGAGTGTTTCTTTGATGCCAATGGCACTCAGAAAGAGAGGATTTTCAATGCTAGTGAGTGGCCAGATGGTGCCAGGTGTGGAGGGGCTTGCTAGTGGCTGCCACTCTCAACCCCACGCCCGGCATCCCCTGTCGCCGAATGCCGAACTTTTCACTCCACCGCAGCAACCCGACGCCAAAAAATTTCCAGGCGCTTCCTCCAAAGTATTGTCGGAACTTTTTTTTACTTCTTTCTGGGCGAAGATCCTCCGCAGTGCAAGATCTCGACAAAACCCAGACGAACGACAATGGCGACTCCCACGAAGGCTCCCGCAAAGGGATCGGGGAAGAAACAGCAGCCCAAGGTCATGAAGAGAGACTCGCGCCTCGAAAAGAGAAAGCAACAGCTGGAAACAATTGAGCAGCTCGAGAAAGCCGTAGCCGACTTTGTAAGTCTCTTTTTGCGCGCCCGCCCGCCACACCAAGCACACGACATTGGCGAACCTTTGGACCAAGACTAACCCAAGACCCTGCGTCTGCGCGAATAATAGGATCTCAAGAGCGAATACACCAACTTCTCCGACCTCCCCCTCTGCGAAACAACCCGAAAGGGCCTCGAGAAATCCCACTTCGAGACCCTCACCGACATCCAGTCCCGCGCCGTGCCCCTCGCCCTCAAGGGTAACGATATCCTCGGTGCCGCCAAGACGGGCAGCGGCAAGACCCTCGCCTTCATCATCCCCGTACTCGAGAAGCTCTACCGCGCGCAATGGACAGAGTTCGACGGCCTTGGCGCCCTCATCATCTCCCCGACCCGCGAGCTCGCCGCCCAAATCTTTGAGGTCCTCCGCAAGGTCGGCCGCTACCATAACTTCTCTGCCGGCCTCGTCATTGGCGGCAAGAGTCTGAAGGAGGAGGCCGAGCGTCTGTCAAAGATGAACATCCTCGTCTGTACGCCCGGGCGCATGCTGCAGCACCTCGACCAGACCGCCGGCTTCGACGTCGACAACCTACAGATCCTGGTGCTCGACGAGGCGGACCGAATCATGGACATGGGCTTCCAGCACGCCGTCGACGCCCTGGTAGACCACCTGCCCTCCACGAGACAAACTCTCCTCTTCAGTGCGACGCAAAGCAAGAAGATCTCCGACCTCGCGCGCCTGAGTCTCAAGGACCCCGAATACGTCGCCGTCCACGAGGAATCCACGCCCAAGAACCTGCAACAGCATTACATCGTCACCCCCCTCCACGAGAAGCTCGACACCCTCTTCGGCTTCATCAAGGCCAACCTCAAGAGCAAGATCATCGTATTCTTCTCCTCGGGCAAGCAAGTCCGTTTCGCTTACGAAGGCATGCGGCACCTCCAACCCGGTGTCCCGCTCCTCCACCTCCTCGGCAAGCAGAAACAACTCCAGCGCATGGAGATCACAAAGCGTTTCGCCGACGCAAACGCCTCAGTTCTCTTCGCCACCGATGTCGTCGCCCGCGGTGTCGATTTCCCCGCCGTCGACTGGGTCGTTCAGGTCGACTGTCCCGAAGACGTCGACACCTACATTCACCGCGTCGGGCGTACCGCCCGTTACGAGCGCGACGGAAAGGCCGTCCTCTTCCTCGAGCCCAGCGAAGAGGCCGGCATGCTCAAGCGCCTCGAGCTGAAGAAGGTGCCCATCAACAAGATCACCGTCAAGGAAAGCAAGAAGAAGAGCATCAAGGATCAGCTCCAGAGCATGTGTTTCTCCAACCCGGACCTGAAATACCTCGGTCAAAAAGCTTTCATCAGTTACGTCCGCTCCATCTACCTGCAAAAGGATAAGGAAGTATTCAAGTTCAACAAGCTCGACCTCGACGCCTTCGCCGCCAGCCTCGGACTCCCCGGTGCGCCGCAAATCAAGATGCGCAAGGGTGAGGACATCAAAAAGGTCAAGAACGCGCCCCGCAAGGGCATGTCCTCCGACGAACACGAAGAGGACTCGGACGACGCCGCAGGACCCAAGAAGCCCAAGAAGCCCGAAGTCAGGACAAAATACGACCGCATGTTCGAGCGCACGAACCAGGACGTCCTCTCAGGCCACTACACCAAACTCGTAGCCAACGGCGACGAAGTCACCGGCGACACAACCGATCCCACCGCAGCAGCCACCGGAACCGCCGCCGCCGCCGACGACGAAGAAGACTTCCTCTCCGTAAAACGAGTCCTCGGCGACGCCGACCTCGATGCCGAATCCGCCCTCGCCCCCGGCGCCAAGCCAAAGGTACTATCCTACGGCGGCCAAGACTTCATCGTCGACTCCAAGCGCCGCGAAAAGGCCCTCCAGTCCAAGAAGAAGATGCTCAAGTTCAAGGGCCGCGGCGAGAAGCTCGTGTTCGACGAGGAAGGTAACGCGCACCAGATCTACGAGCTGCAGAACGAGGACGATTTCGAGAGGGAAGGACCCGCGGAGGAGCTGCGGCAAAAGTTCGTTGCCGGCGAGGCGGCGCGCGTCAAGGAGGCCGATGTGGATGATAAGCTTACAGCCAAGGGACGGCGTAAGGAGAAGAGGCTGAAGAGGAAGCAGAGGGAGGCTGAGGAGCGCGGGGAGGTTGTTTCGAAGAGTGCCGAGGGACCTCAGATTGCGGGCGGAGATGACGGTGATGAAGATCCGTTGGCGCTGTTGCGGTCGTTGCCGATTGCGGGTGAAGGCGGCGACGAGTACAGCGGCAGCGAGGACGAGAGGCCAAAGAAGAAGACCAAGAAGTGGTTCCAGGACGACTCTGACGAGGAGAGGGAGAAGAAGAAGAAGGCTAAGAAGGGCGGCAAGGTGCTCGAGATTGACCGCGAGCCCGAGACGTTGGAGGACCTCGAGGCGCTGGCTTCGGGCTTGTTGAACTAAAAGATATATACCCCGTTGTGAGGATTGAATCGGAAGGACAAAAGTTAGTATGCCATACTTAAAGCACTTGATTATGTAGAGTGCGAGCATCATTCATCAGCAAAAATGTAATTTTAAAACGTTATGCATTAAATACTCTCTCTAAGGACTGCATCAAAAAGAAGCCCAAGGGGTATCGTCAACCCCCAACGCCAAGTGACCTTTTTAACCCCTCGTTCCCTGAATGCCTGAAAAACGTCGTGTCTTGCAAAAAGCCACCCATAAACCAGTGTCTTACGCTCATATATAGCGAGACCCAATCGTATAAACGCCGGATGTGCGACGACCAAAAGACTGTATCCTCCTCGCCTGTGCTTCGGTCCCCCCTCACGCCTCGCTCTCTACGCCATAGAGGCGCACTCTGTACAAGCAAGTATGGTCGGAACCATAGTTACTAGTAACGTGGAGCACAATGTGATCCGTATAGGCTCCCAGGGAAAGCAGCTCTGAGCTGAGCTTATGTACGTGTGCTCCGTTGAGCGTGTCCTTACTTTCGTAAGTGAATTGACCAATCTTGACCCAGCCATCCTCGAGTCTACTTCCTGGGAAGTGGGCTGCAGCGAAGTCGGCAACGCGGTTGCGCGTGTGAAGATCGGGGATGTATGCCAGAATGTCAATGTCCTTTGGCCTGGCGTCGGGATTGAGCGTAGCCCCAGGTAGAATGTGCTCGACGACGAGATGCTGGGGGACAATCTCTCGACTGAGAATGTAGCCGATGCGGACACCGCCTTCTTTCCCGTCTCTGTCCACGACAGCCATGCCGCACCAGCAGTCTCCTTCGTCCTCCCAGCCAACCTGCGTTGCAGCCTTGGATTGGATATTAGGACCCCGCGATGTTTCTCTCTTATAAAGCAGGGTGCCAGGTCTGGCATTGATGAGAGGCACATAATCCGGCGTCCCATCATCCCCATCCACAATAGCACCACTGCCACGGGCCAAGTAATTGACCTGATGGCGGAGTTCTTTGTCCCAAACCGCTCCAATCTGGCCTTGTGCAAGCGCTTCCAGTCCAGCATTCGCAATCGCCTGGCGGATCATGCCATCAACAACTGTTATCATTTCGGTCCGGGTGA